ATCATCGGGCTGTTGATTAGGGGAACCCTTACATTTTTGTTCTGTATACGCTCCATGAGTGTTTTTCGGGGAATCCAGTATTTTTCTAGTAAGATTGGATATCTCTCCTTTCCATATATACCAAAATTACCATACTTTTATTGGAAATAACCACCCGATAAATACTTTTCTGGGAACCCATTTGCATCCACAAGTTTTTTTTAAATTGATCAAGGCCCATAACTCTGACAGTAATTAACAAAACAAAACATGAACACACTGACAACTAAGTTGTCAAAACAGTAATGAGTTGAACAACTCATTGCAACTTCGCAAAGATGCACTTAAAGCCTCTAAAGGGTTAACAAGATTTCGTAACAAAATGAAATAACTCTGGAGGTTATCACTCGAAAATCATAGCAAATCACCTGGGCTCAAAATATTTGTAACAAAGGGATGTCGGGAAGTTATCTAAAATCATTCGAAATCCATAGCGTTCTACAGTTCTACTACCTTTTAATAGTATATAGAAAGATATAAATTACAGAATAATTGCATTATAATTTGTAACAAAGGGGAATAACTCTGGAAGTGGAAGTCATTGTCGAAAATCAATATTTTAGTTAATAATTGCAACCCATTAAGTGCTAACAAGATTTAATAATATAGGGGCACAACTCTGGAGATCATTAGTTAAGCCTCTAGTTTACGACAGACTTCATAACTGAAGGGCATAACTATGGAAGTTATTATTGGAAAACACTAAAAATCCACAGGTTTCTTCTTCTGAATGAGTTAAACAACTCATACAGATTATAAAAAACAGATAATAATTGAAGCCACAAGATTTCAAAAACAAAGGGGAACAACTCTGGAATTTATATAAATCATTGAAATTATTTAGGTCCCTCCTTTCAATAGAATACACAGCCTATACATTTTTTAACTAAATGAAATCAAATCGGCTTTAACGTCCTACTTTTCTGCATCAACCGGCCTAATGAAGTCGGGCATAATCATTATCAAAATTAATCAGTCAGCTTTAAACTGGACACAAGTACAAATTCGATGATTTTGTGTGATTTTAATTGATTTTTACGAATTTTTAAACAAAGATTCGATATTAAATGAATGTGAAAGAAATCAGTGCTAGAAACACAAGATTAAATATACCAGGGTTACAGTAAATATAAAGCCATAAAATGTATAAATAGCCATGCACCTACTTATCTTGGTAATCTTTATGTTTTTATGAAGCCGACAAATATTCACTTTTTATATTTTAATCCTCTACTTGTCTTAGTCATTGTTTTATATCATATTATTTTTACTTCCACAAAAGTTGACAATAATGCTATATGAACGATTGTAAAAATAAAGATAAATTAGTGTAAAGTTACGCATATTCTCAAAGCAACAATTAACAAGCTAAAAGATAGGTTGCCAAGCAACAAAACATACGCCCACAGCAGCTAAGTCATCTGGGCAGTCAACAAGGGTTGTCGCATATTTTTTCTTTTGTCAGTAACAACTCATTAAGTAGTTATCAGAAATCATCAGAATTTGTTTCGATTGTTGATTTCATGACCTTAAACACCATGTTTAGCCTCTAGCACATCCACAAGATGCGGAAATTGATTTCTTCATTTCATGGATGTAAACACTGTGTATAAATTTAAAGTCTATCAGATATTAACTTTAGCTTCTAAAGCATCCACAAGATATTTCAAAGTGATCAAGGGCGATAACACAGGCATTAATTATTGTAAATTGTTGAAAATCAAAAGGCTTCGTCTCATGCCCTTAAACACTGTATCAATTTAAAGTCAATCGGATATTAGCCTCTAGAGCATCCACAAGCAAGCACTTGTGGACACTGGCCGGACAGCCGCACAGGGGCGACAATCGATCGATAACTTTTCTTTGCTTCTGGCGAGAGATAAGTTCATGGGATAAACACTATTTTGTTGTTGACTATTTAGACTCGAATAACAAGACACTAAGACGCATTCTGACACACTGTGCTTCCTGCCTAATGCTGCAGTTCATAATAATTATAATAATTTTCATACATTCTATTTTTTTTGCGCTAAGCCACCATTTTCTATGAACGACTATGTTGACCAGTTAGATTGGCCTTTATGTGTGAATATCGCCGTGGCCTTCACTTGGACCCTGACTTCAAATTTCCCATCAAGCTCGGCACCTTAATAAATGTGTGCTATGCCCCTATTTCTTGCTGTATTATAGAGGTTAATGTTCGGGGTGAAAGCTGAGAAAATGCCCTAAGGTGAGGTGGGGAATTTATAATATTTATAACGTCACATTAATTTACAAAGATAGGTTGCCAGGCAACGAAACATACACCCACAACAGCTAAATCGTCGCATATTTTTACTTTTTTCAGTAATGAAACATTTATAATACACTAAAATCTGATTAAGAGCAACAACTCATGAAGTAATTATCAGAAACCCATTAGAATTTGTTTGTTTTTATAAAGTTCTGCCCCGGGCTTACGTTTTGTATACAAAACTTTTAATATCATGGATTTAGCTGTTGAAGACATAAAAATTCATTGAAAATCAATATACTTGTTCGTCTCAAGATCTTAAACTCTGTGTATCAATCTGAAGTCAAACGGATGATAACTTTAGCCTTTAGAGCGTCACAAAGTAATCAAGGGCCATAACTCTGGCAGTAATAATCGGAAATCGCTGAAAATCAATTGGCTTCTTTGTCTCATGACCTTAAACACTGTGTATAAATTTTAGGTCAATCGGATATTGACTTTGGCCTCTAGCTAGAGCGTCCACAAGATTTTTCAAAGTGATCAAGGGCCATAACTCTGGCAATAATTATCGGAAATCAATAGGCTTCTTCGTCTCAAGACCTTAAACACTGTGTATAAATTTAAAATCAATCATATATTAACTTTTGCCTCTAGAGCGCCAAAAGCAATTGTGGACGCAGAAACAACGGACGGGGGCGACGACAATATACGACCACATTTCAATGTGGGCGTATAAAAACTTCTTTTCCTGGATGAAGGGGGTTTGGGTGGCCAAATGGATAGCATATGCATGTTGTATCATAAGGTCTGTCAATGAGGCAAATGGTGTGGTTTTGATTCCTCAGATCGCCTGTCCAACCTTGTGGGTTTTCTCCCGGTCCTCTGGTCTGCTCCCACTGCTAAAGACCCCTATTTTTTTTTGTGTATCGCTAAATACCTTGATTTAAGTCCGCTTCCACCAAAGTGATATCATTGACAATTACGTGTTATATATGCAAATAAATTATTTAAAGAGTAATAAGCATAAAAATTAACAGATTAGTGAAAAAAATATATATATGCCTGTCAGAAGCCTAAATTGTACGAAAGTACTAGGGGTTCTTGATAACGCTGTATGGAAAGTTAACTGTGTATATTATACTAGAAATACAAGAAAGTTGCATTAACGGTCTTTCATACTAAGGGACGATGCCTCAGATGTAAATAGCGGTCTGTTAGATTAACAGGTCATCTACCAGAACGTCTGAAGAATGACCTTTCGAACTAATGGACGGACTGTCAGATCTATGGGTGGTCAACTATATAAAACTAGCAAAAGGTCTGAAGAACGAATTACCGTATTAATGGAAGGTCCTGACAACAGGTTGATCTATGTACGGGACTTTAAATGTGTATTTAATGCTAGAAATACGGGCTCAGATTAACTGACTCTTTTAGAAACGGACGATCGATTTAATAGGCTGTAGGGTAGTGCAAAAGTGCCCTAACTGCCCCTAACACCAGTAAAGGTCGAAGCTGGCCTTTTAAAATGATTACAGGATGAAGGTCGTATGTTACGGTCAAATACGTAAAAACTGAATTTAAAAATTGCAGTTCAGTTTTCTGTAACACGACCTTGACCCATGGCTTTGACCCAATAATCTTTCCGTAAGGGCATCTTCTATGCTTTCACCCAGAAAATTAACATTGATAATACAGCAAGAAATAGGGCCATGGCACACCTGAGTGCAAAGCCCCCAAGCTCGATGGGAAGTTTGGAGTCAAGGTCAAAGTCAAGGACAAATTTCCAAAATTTAAATTTGAAAGTTTTGAGTTCAGTTTTCTGTAACATGACCTTGACTCTATAAACTTTGACCCAATCATCTTCTGTGAAGGGTATGTTCTCTGCTTTCACTCCGGACATTAACTTCGATAATACAGCAAGAAATGGGAGCATAGTACACATTTATTAAGGTCCCGGTCTCAATGGGAAATTTGAAGTCAGGATCAAAGTCAAGTTCATGGTGATATTCACATGTAAAGGCCAATCCAAATGGTCAATGCTAAATAGTCGTTTATAGAAAATGGTGACTTAGCATAAAAATTAGAATAGTTATTATGAACTGCCGCGTTAGGCAGGAAGCACAGTGTGTCAGAATGCGTCTTAGTGTCTTGTTGTTCAAGTCTAAATAGTCAATAAACAAAATGGTGTTTATCCCATGAACTTATCTCTCGGCAGAAGCTAATAGGTCGGTAAAATGATCAAGTTATTTATCGATTAGGCTGAAATTTGGTCTGAGGTCATGGCTAGTCATGGCATCCCCTGAAAATTTCATATCTCTACAACCAGGGGAACTGGTACCGGTACAGGTGCGAAAGTGCAATTTGATGAAAATTGACCTATAGAGGATCCACAAACAGATGTGGACATCTGACGACAATATATATACATCCACATGAAAATGTGGACGTATAAAGAGCATTATTAGTTAAATTATCCACTGCCACATTTGCAGAAACTATTAAACTATAACAATGAATAACTCATCAGGCTCAATAATTTGAACCGAAACTTTCAAACAAGGCTATACTATTTCTTAACATTTGAAATCATAGTCTTTTATACTAAAATCGTGTCAATGACTACGCTGTGAAATCTGGAACTTCTCCTTTAACATAAACGAAGTGATCTCATCTGTCAATAAATTCACGAGAAAAAAAAAAATGAGAAAAAATGATTCGAACTTACCCACAGGGTTTAGTCGGAAACTTATGGAAATCTACTGTTCTCTGTTTACATTTCTTACATTCAAAAAATCTTTTCTTAGCTTTTGTTGATGTGACAGCATGTCTTTCTTCTTTACATTTACGAGCTAAGGATAAGGCTGAATATTTACACTACAAAATAAAATATGATTCCGTATACCATTTTACTTTTTTATAACTGCTCAGAAAATAAAATGTTCAACAATTTAATGTAGAACCAGAAATGAATAACATTTATTTCAAATTTGTTGCATTTATTAAAACTTTTTTTTTGTAAAAGGTATAACAATTTCAATAAGGTTTCCATGGCGACAAAGGGTTTACATTTTAGCCATGGCAGAAATGTTGAACATTGTGTGTATTCATCTTTAAAACTTTCATTTTCTCTTCAACACATTCATTTCCTCTCAAAATGAATATAGCTCTATTCTGTGGAATATTAAAATATATGAACCAGCACTTGCCATGCAACATACGGCTAAATTTTTCAAGAGAAAAAAACACCCCACTATTTTTCGCATAATCAGGGGCCATAATCCAGGAAGTTATAGTCTGAAATGTGTGATCTTTGGGATATAAACCAACATTGTATATATTAAGTTTCATCAAATCAGACAAAAATTGTGACCTCTAGAGGGACCACAAGCTAAAAACACAATTTTTCATACAATCAGGTGCAATAATCCTGGAAGTTAGTCCGATATGCGCGAATATCGACAGGAATCGAGATCTTTGGGTTATAAACATACATTACAAGTTTCAACAAAATCGGATAAAAATTGTGACCTCTACAGTGCCCACAAACAATTTTCGAACAATCAGGGGCCATAATCCATGAAGTTGCATGCCAATATCGAAAGGAACCAAGATGTTTGGAATATAAACCTATATTTCAAGTTTTATCAATATTGGATAAAAATTGTGATCTGTAGAGTGTCCACAAACAAATTATTGACGGATGGATAGCGGTGATGACAAAATATGTCCACATGAAAATGTAGGTGTATAAAAAGGGTCTAAAGGCAAAATTAATGTGACATGGGTGTATATAAAGTGATTTATACTCAGTTTTCTTTTTTAAAAAAAATTTATTGTAATTTGTAATTAGTTATGTTTGGTGAAATATGGAACAGTTGTTTATGCCTGCTAAGTATTCGACACTTTGTCGTTTGTGAATCATCCATCATTAATTACTTCCGCATTGTTTTGTTATGTTGGGTATGTTTTTTGGTCCGAAAACCATAGAATAATCGACACGTGTACTGATTATAAAATGTTCATTGTGTCTTAAATATTTGACATTAGGATACCATAATTTCACGGCAAGATATCAAAATTAATATTGATTGAAATGAACCGTTATAGAGCAACATACAACTACATTTCCATGTGGGCATTTAATAATAATGCTAATGAAAGAATCTGAAAAGGAAGGAGAAAACTAAATTCATGAAAATAATGAATACGAAAGAAGGAAAGAATCTGAATGGAAAAAAATTGGATGTAACGAATGAATTTAAAATGGAAGGAGAAACAGAATTAATCTAAAGAAATAATATGGATGGATGCAAAGAATCAATGGAAAGAAAGGAAAGACATAATATAAACATGGTATATAAATTTCAAGTCATTTGGAGAATAACTGGACCAAAGGTCCTAACTCTGATGATAATTATTGGAAATGGTAAAAAATCATTACATTTCTTTATCTTATAAACATAAAGATAGGTTGCCAGGCAACGAAACATACGCCCACAGCAGCTAAATCGTCCAGACAGTCAACAAAAGTTGTCGCATATTTTTTCTTTTGTCGGTAATGGAACATTTATAATAAATAAATTAAAGAATCCCCGCTCAACAGTAGCACAACAAACTTGGTAGAAGTAAAGATTTTTTAATCGGTATAACGTTTCGGGTTGAGATACCCTTTATTAAATATAACAATTAATAATCCTGTGGCGCCTTTATATACAACAAAGGTGATGACGTCACAGGATTTTAAAATTTATTGATGTACAAATGAAAGATTATTAAAAAAAAGAAGGATTGTTAAATTCAATCGATTAAAGTGTTGTTTCCGGCGGAAAAAATTAAACTAAAGAGATAGCTGAAATATATATACAATATTGCAAAATTAAGAGTTTAAATTTTTTTTAAAAATAATGATAAATATGAATAAAATATGAACAAAATGGGATGTACAGACAAAATTTAATTATTTAAAAAAATAATAAATATCTAAATGACAGCTATCATCAGGTGACTGTTTTCAGGTATCGTAACATCAATATCGGTAGTTTCCGGTGAAATGAAAAGAGATGAATATGTATTGTTGTGCTACTGTTGAGTGGGGATTCTTTAATTTATTTATTTTACTCCTCTGCCCCACTGGTTTTTCTTTCTTGATCCAGTATCCACGCAGATGTATTAGCCAGTCCCGCCTTAGTCACCTTGTCACAGGAGTGTTGCCGTCCCTCTTCTCGTATTCATCTATCTATACATATATTTGTGACTGTCGTTTGTCTGTCTGTCTGTCTGTCTGTTCGGGGTTGGTGGCTACACTAGGTCTGCCCCGAGTCTGAAATTTGGGGTATAGGGGTATCTCGGACCGGGGAGTAACATAGGCCAGGTGGCGTTAGTCTACCACTTCCGGTTTCGGAGTTATGACCTCCGAGCGAAGCCCGTCTGTTCGTGGTTGGCGGCTACACTAGGTCTGCCCCGAGTCTGAAATTTGGGGTATAGGGGTAGCTCGGACCGGGGAGTAACATAGGTCAGGTGGTGTTAGTCTCCCACTTCCGGTTTCGGAGTTATGACCCCCGAACGAAGCCGGGTATGGGTTGGCGGCTACACTAGGTCTGCCCCGAGTCTGAAATTTGGGGTATAGGGGTAGCTCGGACCGGGGAGTAACATAGGCCAGGTGGCGTTAGTCTACCACTTCCGGTTTCGGAGTTATGACCCCCAAGCGAAGCCGGGTATCCTGCTAGTTTATAATAAACTAAAATCTGATTAAGAGTAACAACTATTTAAGTAATTATCAGAAAATCATTAGAATTTGTTTGGCTTCTAGTTGTGCCCTATGCTAACGTTTAGTATACAAAACATTAATATCATGGACTTAGCTGTTCAAGTTACTAAAAATCATAGAAAATCAATATACTTGTTCGTCTCAAGACCTTCAACTCTTGTGTATCAATCTAAAGTCAATCGAATCATTACTTTGGTCTGTACAGCATCTGCAAGATTTTTTGAAGTAATCATGGGCCATACCTCTGGCAAGAATTTTTGGAAATCCTTGATGATATATAGGTGTGTCCGTCTCATGACTGTAAACACAGGGTATAAATTTAAATTAGAGAAAGAGAGAGAGAGGGTTTAACGTCCACTCGACACAACCTAGGTCATTTAGGGACTAACATATGGTTCAATTGTATTTCAATAATTTGCTTGCGCGTAGGGGTCTTTAGCAGTGCGAGGAAACCGGAGAACCCGGAGAAAACCCACGATTCAATTAGATGATAACTGTAGTTTCAAGAGCATCCACAAGATTTTTCAAAGTGATCAAGTGCCATAACTCTGGCAGTAATTATCGGAAATCGTTGAAAATCAATAGGCTTCTTTGTCTCATGACCTTAAACACTGTGTATAAATTTAAAGTCAGTCGGATATTAATTTTAGCCTCTAGAGAGTCCACAAGCAATTGTGGACGCCAGACCGATGGCCAACCGACGACGATATACGACATTTCAATTAGGCGTATAAAAACACAACTTTAAAGAGCCATTATGTAATAGATAAATATGCCTATTGCAGGTCTATATTTTGGATTCAAATTTTATATAGGCCTAAACTATCATTTAGACATTTATTCAGTCTATAATCCATTGAATAGCCAAGATTTAAATTGATTAGAACACCTGTGAGATTAAAACATTTAACGATAAAATGGAAATCAAGATTTAGTCTCAAGTTGATGCTATGATAATTTGAATGAAATTTTCAATTTATTCATTTTCTATTATCTATTTTATAAGTATTATAGCAAGAAAGGCCAACTCTGAATCTTTAACCTCAAGATCATTCACAAGATTTTTTTCAAGGTGATAACTGTGACAGTAATTATCAAAAATCTTTCAAAATCAGAGGCCTACTCTTCTTCAAAGTTCAACTACCAAAGGTTTGATTTTCATTTTAATCGTAAGTCAGGACTAGACACATGCTCCTTGTCACTCTTCAAGTGCCAACCCTGACAAAAGTGAGAACTTGAAAAATCCTGAAATATTCTCAGGCTATGTCAGAATATGAACTCTTAACAAGACAACCTCGCAATCCCTGTAATGAATGAAAGAGAGTGAAACAATGAATGAAAAATTTAACAAGCCTTGTACTTTTGTGATTCTAATTGATAATACTAATATGACATTTCTATTAATTTTTTTCAACCTTTTACACACTACTCAATAAAGGTCGATCTGAAAATATTTAACTCTTGCCTCTAAGCAACCAAAGATCAATATGTCACATTTTCCCCTGGTTAAAAATCTTTAAATCCTATCAGTTTACTGTGGCAGGTGGATTAATGATTAACAGAGCAAATCGGCTTGTCAGACACTGATGACGTCCCAAATGTTCTTCTATAGGGAAATTCACGTCTGTCCTCTTCGACGACACTCAAAGAAAAAATCAAAACAAGGCGTCAGATATGCATAAAATCAATTTGATTTTTTGGGGTATATTTTTCCCTTATAAAAATATTCAGGGCCAAAATTATTCTAATATTAATGTTATTTATCATATTAAAACAACTTTTTGTGGTAGTATTCTTCTTTAAAGATACATTATGTGAAATTTAGATAAAGAGCTGAACATTCTTGCTGTAAGAGATCAAAAGTAGATAACGAAAAGTGAATTTTTTGAAAATTTCAGTCAATTATGTTATTCTGGGCGAAATTATGAATGGAATCAAATTTGTATTACTTTTAATCCGAATAAGACTCTTAATATATAAGTATAGAAAGTTGTGGTTAACTGTATTGTCAGACCTATTATTGGCAATCTCTGTTTGTGCTGTCAAACATTTTTCGGAAAATTTCACCTTGTTCGATCATTAGCAATATTAGCGTTTAATATGACAGGCATTGTCTAATCCCCTCAACATCTCTGGTGACCTAGAGAGCTAATTATAAGTTTGTCATGTGAATAAATGTCTAAATAATAATTTATATAGCATTTGAAGCCAGAAAATGACCTGCAATAGATAAACTGAGCTTTTACGTAATTCCTCTTCAACACACTAATTCTCAGACATGAATGTACCTTTATTTAGTATCATCAGCAATTATTAGCTTCTGAATAAGGTTTTCAGACATTCAGTTGATAGCAGCTTCCATTAATGGAAGCATTTTTTATTCTAATATATTTTTATATGTGCTTGTTAAAAACATAATCTTACATAAAATGGTTTTTAGAATATATAAATAACATTTTGATGGTATTTCTAGCTTTGGTTTTATTACTACACACAGTTTTTATTGGCTTTGAATGGTCATGTGACAATATTTTATTTGGCTGTTATACTTTATCAGATAACTTTCAAAACCACTTTTAATTAGTTAGAATTTGTGGCTCTTGGCAGTTTATTCTTATTACCAAAACATCATAGCTCTATGGATTCATTCATATGATTTTTTATTAGTGTTACATTTGTAGTTCATTGCGGTCTGTGTCTGTGTAGTTTGTGTGTTGTGGCCACAAGTTTGTCTTACAGGTTTTGTTTTTGTGTGTGGTCCTCCTGCATGTTCTTACATGTATAGTATAATAAATTAGAACTTGTCTCAATAAAAGATAGGTTCCCAGGCAACGAAACATATGCCCACAGTAGCTAAGTCGTCCGAGCAGTCAACAAGGGTTGTCACGCATGAAAATCTAATTACGGGTAATAACCCATTAAGTAATTATCAGAAATCATTAGAATTTTTTCGATTGTTTGTCTCATGACCTAAAACAAATTACATTAACTTTAGCCTCTAGAGCATCCACAAGATTTTTCAAAGTGATCAAGGGCCATAACTCTGGCAGTAATTATTGGAAATCGTTGAAAATAAATAGGATTCTTCATTTCATGACCTTAAACACTGTGTATAAATTTAAAGTCAATCGGATATTAACTTTAGCCTCTAGAGCATCCACAACTGCCATAACTCTGGCAGTAATTATCGGAAATCCCTGAAAATCAAAAGGCTTCTTCGTCTGATGATCTTAAACACTGTGCATGAATTCAAACAGATATTAACTTTAGCCAGTAGAATGTCCCCAAGATTTTTCAAAGTAATCAATGGCCATAACTCTGGCAGTAATTATTGAATATCGCTGAAAATCAATAGGCTTCTTATTCTCAGTTAAACACTGTGTATAAATTTAAAGTCAATCAAATATTAACAGGGGCGACAACAATATACGACCACATTTCAATGTGAGCTTATAAAAAGTTCATAGACTGCATCTCAATATACACAAAGTTGTTATTTTGTGACAGCAAGATTTTTCTAAATAAATACACTTATACGGATAACCAGGGATTGCTAGGCAAGATATGCCCACATTTTGCAAGAGATGGATAGAGAACAAGCTAAAAACAAAAGCGATTTTTTGTACAAGGAAGTTACAATCCAATATGCACGAATATCAATAGGAACGAAGATCTTTGGGTTATAAACAGGTATTTCAGGTTTCATCAAAATCGGATCAAAATTGTGACCTCTATAGGGTCCACACCCTTGATATACCATATGTTTACACTATTTGCGTACAAGGGGCGGCCATTTTGTCTGTCAGTTTTGGTCCCGATTTTCACGATATTTGAACTCGGCCAAGATTACAGTGTAACAGTGATACATTCGAACATTTTTTTAAAATCGGATAATAATTGTGACTTCTAGAGGGACTACAAGCCAAAAACATAATTTTTATGTACAATCAGGGGCCATAATTCAGGAAGTTACGATCCGATATGCGCAAATATCGAAAGGTACCAAGATCTTTGGGTTATAAAAATGCATTTCAAGTTTCATCAAAATCAGATGAAAGTTGTTACCTCTAGAGTGCATATGGTTCAATTCTATTTCACATGCTTGTTTGTAGGGGTCTTCAGTAGTCAGAGGAAACCATAGGACCCAGAGAAAATCCACGAGGTTGGACAGGTGACCCTACTCCTTGTCACGTTCAAGTGGGAGAGAGAGAGAGAGAAATGGGGTTTAACGTCCACTCGACACAAACTAGGTCATTTCGGGACTAACATATGGTTTAATTTTATTTACATAATTCGCTTGCGCGTAGGGGTCTTTAGCAGTGGGAGGAAAACGGAGGACCCGGAGAAAACCCACGAGGTTGGACAGGCGACCCTACTCCTTGCCACGTACAACCGGGGATTCGAAACCACGCCAGTCGACTCAATGACAGACTTCATGATACAGCGCGCGCACGCTTACCATTCAGCCATCCAACCCCCCCGTTCAAGTGGGGAATCAAAACCACACCACTTGACTTAATGACAGATCTTCTGATCTAACATGTTAAACCATTTGGTCACACAAAACCTCTTTCTATACTTTGATGAAATGCTTAAAACAATTACTAGCATACAAAATTTCAAATATAAATATCTAACATCTGCACAAAATATCTAAACTTTGTTTTGCAGAGCTTGTTTTTGGCACCATAACCTTGTGATGTAGCAGGAAATGTAATTCTGACTCATTATAGACATCCCATACCTATCGCAAAGAAGGAAAAGGGCTACTATTCTAATAACAATAGCATTCAATTTCACTTCCCTTTTAATATAAATCTCAGCCAATAGCTGTTAACTTATTAAGACAATATATATCCAATTATGAACAAAAACATATAACTCTGACATTTATAGAATTACATTGAAGGTCATTAAACACAAGACAATATTTGTAGGAATAGTAAAGGCCATTTCAAACAAGACAATATGTGAGACTTGTAAATCTAAAGTTAAAACATGTAAATCTCATCAGTGGCTTACCCAATTTGTCTTCAATTTTGTACACAATTTAATTGTAACACATATAGCTGAACAAAGTAAAAAACGGTTGCCATGCAAGATACACCCACATTTTGCAAGAAATGGACAGAAAACAAGCTAAAAAAAAAATGTGATTTTTCTTACAATCAGGAGTCATAATCCAAAAAGTCAGGGTCCGCTACGTGCAAGTAAAAAATGCAACCCAGACCTTGGGGATATAAACATATATTTTAAGCTTCATTATCGGATACAAATTGTGACTTCTAGAGTGTTCACAACCTTGGTATTACATACTTTTTACACTATTTGCTTATACAAGGAGCAGCCATTTTGTCAGCAGTTTGGTAATATTTTTATGAAATTCGAACTAAGCCTTCATTGATGTAGAACGGTGATGTATTTAAAAGTTTTTTTAACATTGAATTCAAAAATGCAATTTTTCAAATAATCAGGGGCCATAATCCAGGAAGTTATGTTGGGATATGCACGATTATTGTAAGGATCCAAGATCTGTGTGATATAAACATAAATTCAAAGTTTCATCAAAATCATTTAAAATTGTGGGTCTACAACCTTGATATACCATATATTTGCACTATTTGTGTACAAGGGGCGGCCATTTAGTCTGGCAGTTTTGGTCTGATTTTCACGAAATTCGAACTCAACCATCACTATGGTACAACGGTGATATATTCAAATGTTTTTTTTTTAAATCGGATAATAATTGTGTCCTCACGAGGAACCACAAGCTAAAAACGTGATTTTTCGTACAATCAAGGGCCACAATTCAAGAAGTTACGATCCGATATGTGCAAATATCGAAAGGAACCAAAATCTTTGGGTTATAAACATGCATTTCAGGTTTCATCAAAATCGAATCAAAATTGTGACCTCTAGGAGGTCCACAACCTTTATATATCATATTTTACACTATTTGCGTATGGTACAAGGGGCGGCAATTTTGTCCCAACAGTTTTAGTCTGATTTTCACGAAATTTGAACTCAACCATCATTAGGGTGTAATGGGGATAAACTAAAACGTTTTTTAAATCAGATAAAAATGTGACCTTTAAAGGGACTACAAGTTAAAAGTGCAATTTTTTGTAAAACCAGGGAACATAATTCAGGAAGTTATGATCCGATATGCGCGAATATCGACAGAAAACAAGATATTTGGGTTATAAACATGTATTTCAAGTTTTACCAAAATCAGATCAAAATTGTGACCTCTAGAGTGTCCACAAGTTAAAACATGATTTTTCGTACAATCAGGGGCCATAATCCATGAAGTTATGGTCCCATACATGCCAATATCAGGAGCCGAGATCTGTGGGAGATAGACCTATATTTCAAGTTTCGTCAAAATCTGATAAAAATTGTGACCTGTAGAGTGTACACAAACAAATTGTTGACGGACGGACAGAGGCGACGACAATATACAACCATATGAAAATGTGGGCATATAAAAAGGTATACATGTAAAGTTACAGAATTAGTTATTAATTATCGAAACAAGTAGATATGTTAAGTTGCAGAAATAGGTAAATATTTATTAGAGATTAAAGAAATAGATATGAATAGTAATTAACTCACTTGTTTACATGTAAAAACAGTACAAGCCATTTCTGTTATAGATTTCATCTTTTCTTCCATAGTTTCTTTTTTCTCTAATAAATCAAAATATTTTTCCTCTCTTTCGGCTTCAGCCTGAATATTGAAAAAAAAGAACAAGTGAACTAAATATAGTGGATTGAAATCTGAATCAGCCCAAACTAAATAATAATATACAAAATATATGAAATTGAAATAAAAATTTAAACAGCACAATGAAATCAAGTCAATTGATGCGTTTAAACTAGGTTACTTTGGACTAACATATGATTGAATTTTATTTCAATAATCCGCTTGTGCATAGAGATGTTTAGCTGTGGGAGGAAACCCAAAAAAAACCCACGACGCTGGACAGACAACCCTTGTCACGTACAAAAGGGGAATCGAAACCATGCCACTTGGCTCAATGACAGACCTTACAATTTAACATGTAAACCATTCAGCCACCCAACCCTCCTGATACCTTTAAGAAACCAGCAGTTGGCCGGCAAGATAGCCCAATATTTTGTAAAAGCTGGTTAGAGAGAGAGAGAGAGAGAGAGAGAGAGAGGGTTTAACATCCACTCGACACAAACTAGGTCATTTTGGGACTAACATATGGTTTAATTTTATTTTAATAATTCGCTTGCCCATAGGGATCTTTAGCAGTGGGAGGAAACCAGAGGACCCAGAGAAAACCCACGAGGTTAGACAGGCGACCCTACTCCTTGTCACGTACAACCAGGGATTTGAAACCATGCCAGTTGACTCAATGACAGGTTTTATGATACAGCGCGCACGTGCTAACCATTTGACCATCCAACCCTCTGAGCTGGTTAGAGTACAAGTTAAAAAATACAAGCCAACAGTGAGGCTGATGTCCCCCGCCAAAATCCTAAAATAAATAGATGACACATATAAATTAATCACACATTTATTTTTTTTCAAAAGTATCGAGAAATCAAACTAAACACTATGTTTCATCACTCTCTATCAGATAGAATCAAGATTATCTTGTGACAAAGCATCGACCAATGAAATTGATTAGCTCTGCTTAGCTTCAGCTCGAAATGTTAATCATTGAACGCAGTCAAGACATTCACTTAATGAACATCTACATCAAGTTTAAACATTCTACCTTAATTAAAAGCAGAGTTGTTATGTTCCAAAGTCTTGACCAATTGCTTATCGCTCCTTAGCCTGAGCAGAAAATTGTCACCATCAAACTTAGTCAAGGTAATGACATAATGAATCTATATTCAAAGTTTCATCGCTCTCACTTCATTATAACCAAAGTTATCATGCCTCAAAGCATCAACCAATCAGATTGCTTATTTCTGCTTACTGTAAGCAGACCATCATCGAACTCCATCAAGGCATTCACCTAATAAACGCCTACACCAAGTTTGAACATTCTACCTCAATTAAAAGGAGAGTTATTGTGTCTCGACCAATCAAACTGCTTATCGCTGTGCTTACCCTCAGCAGAAAATGTTCATTATCAAACTTAGTCAAGGTATACACCAAGTGTCCTCACTCTCACTTAGTCAAGGTATTGATGTAATGAAACTATACACCAAGTTTCATCACTCTCACTTTAATTAGAACTAAAGTTATCGTGTCCCAAAGCATCAACCAATCAAATTGCTTATCTCTTTTTACCCTGAGCAGAAAATGCCCATCTTCGAACTCCATGAAGGCATTGATCTAATAAACACATACACCAAGTTTGAACATTCTAGCTCAATTAGAAGGAGAGGTATTGTGATCCAAAGTCTTGGCCAATCAAATTGCTTATTGCTCTGTTTACTCTGAACAGAAATTGCTCATTATCGAACTTAGTCAAGGTATTGATGTAATGAAACTATACAACAAGATTCATCTCTTTCACTTAATTAGAACTAAAGTTATCGTGTCCCAAAGCGTCAACCAATCAAATTGCTTATCTCTGCTTAGCCTAAGCAGAGAATGCTCATCTTCAACTCCATCAAGGCATTGACCTCATAAACACACCTACACCAAGTTTGAACATTCTAGTTCAATTAGAAAGAGAGTTATTGTGTCCCAAAAAGTGTGACAGACAGACGGACGGACAGACAGATGGACAAACCCATTTTAATAGTCCCCTGCTTTCTTCGAAAGGCGGGGGACAAAAATGTGATTTTTTGTACAATGGGGGCCATAATCCAGGAAGTTATGGTCTGAAATACGTGAATATTGAAAGGAAGTAAGATCTTTAGGATATAAACAAATATTTTATGTTACATCCAAATCGGACAAAAATTGTGACATATAGAGGGTTCACAATTTCAAATTATGCTATTTGCGTTAAAGCAGCGACCATTTTGTCGGACAGTTTCAGTCTGACTTTCCTGAACTTCAAACTCAACCATCATCAAGGTCTAACGGTGATATAATAAAACATTTTTTAAAATCGGATAAAAATTGTGGCCTCTAATACATTCCACAAGCTAATAACGTGATTTTTGGTTAATAAACATACATCTTAAGTTTTATCAAAATCGGATAAAAAAAATTAAAATAAAGGTTGATTTCTCATACGTAAGAATAAAACTAAAGTATTTATTGAGAAACACAGATCTACGTACATTATACTATACTTTTAAAATGTAAGTAAGTTAGCTTTTAACACTAGAACAGTTCCTATTTAACACCAATCATGAGATTATTTGGCTTCTATACATGCACATTATTCTGCACTGGGCGTACAATTTTATAGTTACATAGTGGAGGTCGATCATAGCCATGTTTGAAAATTGGGTTTTGGAAAAAAAAAGGCTATGTTTTTCTGGTGTGCAAATGACCGATGGGTCAGATCTAGTTACTATCATTTTCCATAGCCCTCAGTCCCGACCAGCATATACGGCCGATGTGGAACCCATGGTTTAGGTACATGCCAAATTTGCACCAATACCGGATATTAAGATTTCTTTTACTTCTTAATTTTGTCAGTTAGTAATAGCCATTTTATTACTTTGAACTCACACCTACCTCTTTATATGCCCCCATATGAGATGACTTGGCTTTTAATAATTTTTGAACTTCTGGTGAATTGATATCAACATTTCCTAATAATTTTGATCGTTTCTTTGGTGGTTCTGTATCTGTACTAGCTCCAACATCATTACTCTCTGAACATTAAATAAATATTAACATTAAAGACATATACAGCAACCACAAAACTTTAAAATAACAGAGGCAAGACAAGCGGTTGCCATGCAAGATACTGTATGCCCGCATTTTGCAAGAAACAGAGAACATGCAAAAGAAAAATGTGATTTTTCGTACAATCAGGGGCCATAATCCAGGAATTTACAGTCTGATACGTGCAAGAATCGAAAGGTACCATGATATTTGGGATATAAACATATATTTTAAGTTTCATCAAAATCTGATAAAAATTGTGACCTCTAGCGGGTCCACCACCTTGGTACATACTTTTACACTATTTGTTTACAAGAAACAGCCATTTTGTCGGGCAGATTCGGTCCGATTTTCAAAAAATTGGAACTCAACCATCATTAGGGTGTAATTGTTATATATTTAAACGTTTCTTTAAATCAGATAAAAATTGTGACCTCCAGGGGGACCACAAGCTAAAAACGCGATTTTTCATACAATCAGGGGCCATAAGCCATGAAGTTACTTTCCTATACTTGCCAATTTCGAAAGGAACTGAGATCTTTGGGAGATAAACCTATATTTCAAGTTTCGTCAAAATCGGATAAAAAGTGTGACCTGTAAAGTGTCCACAAACAAGGTAGCACAAACTGGGCGTTATTTGATGAATCTTGATGGTATTTAATACTTTCTGCATGGCAATCTATTAACTGAATATGTGTATTAGATTATAGATGGTAAGCTCAGTTTCTTTCCTTTTTTCATCAAATCTGAATGATACCCGGTCCCTAGTGTATCTATACAACTAAAATGTACTCAAATTGATTATCTAACATTTGATCATGAAGACAAAACGAAAATATCAATGATAAATAAACCTCTCTCTTGATTCAATGAGATTAAATAGAGACTCAACCAAAGATGTTACCCAATACTAAGAGGTATTGCTGGCTTATCTATATCATCTGCAGAGATGTTAAATGTTCCGAAATTTGTAATTCATATCTTTGTAGATTTTGAAATTTTTTGTACTATTTGTGGACAGATATTACTTTTGAGGTTTAACTTTCATAATATTTTAGCTTGGAATGGATTGAAATAATGCTCATTGGGCTTTAACATGTACATCTAAGAATCATCCTGCAAATAAATTGAAACTAACTGTGTTTTATTTGTGTAATATGAGAGGAACTTTGGTGGGGCAGAAACTTCATGTATGCATACACAAGACATCTTACATATTCCTATCTAATATGATTGATTAAACTCTTTTCTTGGTGTTAATCGAGTGGTGTGCCTAGAATAGTAGATCACATATGTCACGTCAACAACAGAGAGAAGGGAGACAACTACATTGACCGAAGAAGAATAGACTGGGATTTAACGATTCTGTTCATGTTCTATTACATGTTTTCTGATGTGTACATGGACAGACCACATTATTATTCCATTTCCATTGTCAACTGCTTTGTCAGCCCAACCCATAACAAATGAGTACCATGTTTTAAAAATCATGCAGACCCTGCAATATTCTATTTTAAGAGTTTAGCTCCCTAATTCTCGAACAAATCAACTCTCATGCCCACAAAAAATGATAAGAAAGAATATAAAGATATTTACCAATATTTTCTAAGACTCGTTTTTTAACTCGATTATGTACTGGAGAGACTTTTTTAACAGCATTGGGATTCTCTTTCTTACATCCACCTTTAGAACTGACTTTAGCTATGGCTAATAGCTGTTCAAATAACAAAACAGATCAACAGAAATATATGAAAGAAAGTACAAAAATTTAATATAAAAGGATAGGTTGCCAGGCAACAAAACATACGCCCACAGCAGCTAAATTGTCTGGGCAGTCAACAAGAGTTGTTTCATATAATAAACTACCAGCGGCTGCCAGGCAGGATACGCCCACATTTTCGAGAGATGGATAGAGAACAAGCTAAAAAGAAAGTGATTTTTCCTACAATCAAGGTCCATAATTCAGGAAATTACAATTCGATATGCGCAAATATCGACAGGAACCGAGATCTTTGTGTTATAAACTTACATTTCAAGTTTCAACAAAATCGGATTAAAATTGTGACCTCTATAGGATCCACAGCCTTGATATACCATATTTTTACGCTATTTGAGAACAAAGGGCGGCCATTTTGTCTGTCAGTTTTGGGCAGATTTTCACGAAATTCGAACTCAGCCGTCCTTAGGGTGTAACGGTGATATAATAGTATTACGTTATTTTTAATCTGATTAAAATTATGACCTCTATAGGGTCCACAAGCTAAAAACGCGATTTTTCGTACAATCAGGGGCCATAATTCAGGAAGTTACGGTCCGATATGCGCAAATATGGAAAGGAACCGAGATCTTTGGGTTATAAACTTACATTTCAATTTTCAACAAAATCGGATAAAAATTGTGACCTCTATAGGGTCCACAACCTTGATATACCTGATTTTTACGCTATTTGAGAACGAACGGCGGCCATTTTGTCTGTCAATTTTGGGCCGATTTTCACGAAATTCGAACTCAGCCGTCCTTAGGGTGTAACGGTGATATAATAATACGTTTTTTTAAATCGGATAAAAATTATGACCTCTATAGGGTCGACAACCTAAAAACACGATTTTTCGTACAATCAGGGGCCATAATTCAGGAAGTTACGTTCCGATATGCGCAAATATCCAAAGAAACCAAGATCTTTGGGTTATAAACATACATTTCAATTTTCAACAAAATTGGATAAAAGTTGTGACCTCTATAGGGTGCACAACCTTTATATACCATATTTTTACGCTATTTGAGAACGAAGAGCGGCCATTTTGTCTGTCAATTTTGGGCCGATTTTCACGAAATTCGAACTCAGCCTTCCTTAGGGTGTAGCGATGATATAATAATATGTTTTTTTTAAATCGGATAAAAATTATGACCTCTATAGGGTCCACAAGCTAAAAACACGATTTTTCGTACAATCAGGGGCCATAATTCAGGAAGTTACGGTCCGTTATGCGCAAATATAGAAAGGAACCGAGATCTTTGGGTTATAAACTTACATTTCAATTTTCAACAAAATCGGATAAACGTTGTGACCTCTATAGGCCTATAACTCTGGAAGTCACTGTGTATAAATTTAAAGATCAATCAGATATTAACTTTAGCCTTGAGAGCCTCCAGAAAAAAGTATTTCAAAGTGATCAAGAGCAATAACTCTGGCAGTAATTATCAGAAATCGGTGAAAATCAATAGGATTCTTGGTTTCATGACCTTAAACACTGTGTATAAATTTAAAGTCAATCGGATATTAACTTTAGCCTCTAGAGCATCCCCAAACAATTGCTGGGCAGACAGACCGCCGGTTGGACGGGGGTGACGACAATTCAATGTGGGCATATAAAAATGCAAAAATTCTGTGCCTAAAATTTATTTATTGTCATACCTCAATGTCTATATGTAAATTAACATATCAGGCAATGAATCACACGTCGAAATGAACAGTGGATGTTAAGTATTAACTGGATTTGCCATTGATTAACTTGTTGTCTAACAATTTTGTGGGAAGTACCGAAGTCGAATAACTTTATATTGGGCTTAAATCAGAATATAGACATATTTTATACAGTTTGGGAACCTGAAGATGCCTCCCTATAGTTGAGTTCCAGTAGATGGCTTACCTTTGCTTTGTCTATACTGGAATTTGATGAAGTTTTTTTACTGGTATCTAAGAACACATGTTGTCCTGGATAAAATCCACGACCAAGGGTAGGTGTAGCACTTAATGGGTCAGTCGGGGGACTGGGTTTATTTAAAGATGCTAATCTTTCAGTTTTTTTCGCCAACATTTTTTTCCGATGCTGCTGTAATAATTCTTTTGGTGTGATTGATTGCACTGGTGCATTCTGTTTCTCTTCTGAAAACATAAATACATCATAGTAATATTAAGTTTCATAAATTCATTTCCAAGGATTCTGTAAAAACTTTGAGATTAGACAGGTAAGCCTACTCATGTCATGTACAGAGTAGGAATCAAACTCTCGTTTTGCATAGATGAATACCTATAACCTGTAGCACAAGACTTTTCCACATAACCATACAAATATTAAAACTAGTCCTGTTTCAGTGAATATTGAGCCTTTCAGAAATGAATACTGGATAAGCTTAGCAGTTACTATCCCATATTAAGGATTCCATTATTGAATTGTACATGAATTCATGCTAGCAACCATTATTTAAAAAAGTATACCTGGGAGCGATCCTTTAATCAGATCTGGCTTATTTACTGTGGTTGAAGCCTGGTTGAGTTTATATAATATTTGACAGAATATTTATAGTGAATTTGACATTTGGTGTGCTATTTTCTTTTCTTAAAACTAGTTTTGATGTATTAAGACTTTGCCCTAAGCATTTAGCTAAGTTGCTTTTGGGAGCATTCTTTTACTTCTTGACATTCATGGAAATGAAATGAAATCGGGTTTAACGTCCTACTGTTCTGCTCCAACTACACTAATGATGTGTGCTATGAGGGAACTTTTGCCCAGAGACTCTTATATTGAATTCCAACTGCAAAAGGATCTTTTACGTGTGCGCCAATGTGGACACAGGACCTGTTTCTTGTCCCATCCAATTGACTATACACTGTCCCTTGCCAGGTCCTCTGTCCTGCACCACTGACAAAGGGGAACCATGCCGGAAAATCTCAATGAACACAGCGATCGAACACTGAACCTCCAGGTTAACGACCCAACATTTTACTCACTAAGCCGCTGTGGCTCCTGGCATTGAGAGAGAGAGAGAGAGAGAGAGAGAAATGGGGTTTAACGTCCACTCGACACAAACTAGGTCATTTCAGGACTAACACATGGTTCAATTTTATTTCAATCATTCGCTTGCGTCTAGGGGTCTTTAGCAGTGGGAGGAAACCGGGGGACCCAGAGAAAACCCACGAGGTTGGACAGGCGACCCTACTCCTTGTCACGTACAACCGGGGAATCGAAACCCCGCCAGTTGACTCAATGACAGACCGTATGATACAGCGCGCGCGTGCTAACCATTCGGCCATCCATCCCCCCTTCCTGGCATTCAATGGCTATTACCATATACATGTATCTATGTCATATACTCACCAGCTTCTTTAATTTCCGTTTTAACTAAATGTTTCACCAGATTCATTGAACCTGCTGATGGTGTGGTTACCAATTCCATACTGAAAGTATCAAACATTGACAAGTTTAAAATGTATTTACTTGAAATGTGTATTCACTAGTTATTACTTAATTGTTATACGTTGCTTCAAGAACTAATATTTATATTTAAAGATCATCATGAACATTTTGAAAGATTTTAAAAGTCAATTTATTTTCAAAAGTCATCTGAAAATGCATAAACGACACTATTTTATGATTGTGAAACAGAACTCAAGCCAAACTTTAGCTGACGATTATCAATAAAAACTAACAATGATTGTTCTGTTGATGACACAAGATGTTGTTCTATATGATCTTTTTCTTGAGGTTTTAGTTCGTGAATGGACATGGTCGTCACTTTCTGTTTTCCTGACTTTGTTTGTTGTGTCATAAGTTTCCTAACAGTGAGTTGATCTTGTTTTTTCTTAGCGGTTGATTTCAATCTGAAATATATAAAGAAATAATTCAAATTTCATTAGACCATATTTAGAGTAAGGATTTAATACATGATATTTATGGCAAGAATTCCATAACTAAACATGATCAGATATTGCCAATAAATGAGACACGGGTTGCTGGCCTCTAATTTGAGGTACGTCACAAAAGGTAGCTTAGATTCCATATTCGATTCGTTGTTCGTTTATAGAAATGAGTTATCATTCAGACATTAACAGACAATTACAAGAAGCTATGAATGATGGCATGAAAATCAATGTTTATTCTTGAATGCAGGCCCTTTTAGTAATACAATTTTCTGGATTTCTGTAACAAACAGATTCAATGACTCTATATTTTCAGTTTAATATAATTTTCAATAAATGGTAAGTCTATAAATAACTTACTCCATAGAAGAGAATGTTTTTCCACCATACATATAATGTGAACCTTTAGGAAAAATTTTCTTCTCAAATGATTTAGGTGTCACACCTGTCATGCTATATAAAAGAAGAATCATTGTAATATAAATCGATAACCAAATATCGTGCCTATCATCTTGCAATTAGCAAAACTGTATAACAAAAAGGCAACGGTTACAGATATAACTACATTCTTGGTACCTATATTCCTTCATAATATATTTGGTGTACATGTTTATATCAAATTGAAAATGGGTTTTAAAAATTTTAACTATCAGATGTTTAGATAATCTTAAAAATAATATCCTTATACATAATAATATCCACAAGAAAAATGTTCATTTAGTGAATGAATGTGTAGAAAGCAAGAAAGTTTACCTGCCCTGGAACTCGGAACGTTTTGATGAAGCACTTTTATAAGCTGACTGTACATGAAAGGAACAGAAACCACCAAATTTACTGGAAAATTAACATAATGCAACTTGAATATACAGCCACAATCACAGAATAATGATTTAAATTTTACGACAGATAAAAGTACAGCAACAATTGTTACCTGTAATCAAACGAGCAAATTCTAATGGCTTTCAAGTATGCCATCATTTTATGGTAACTCAATATCAGTCATGCTGAATAATTTCCCAGTTATACAAACTATTTGAATTCATTATCAGACTATACACATTGCTGTTCATACAACAAAAGCTAATACAGCATCAATGTAGATAGAAGAAGAATTAAAAATCATAATTACTGTTGGATATTTCTCAATATATTAGATATTTTGCAGCTCCCACACAAACCAGGCTCTTCGTCATTTTTTAAAAAAAATAGAGTTGATAGCCTATTTACATAGTCTACACATGGTTCAATTCTATTTCAATAATTCGCTTGAGCATAGAGGGTTTTAGCAGTGGTAGGAAACAAAAGGACCCGGAGAAAATCCACGAGGTTGGACAGGCTACATGGGAAACGAGCCTAGACTTGGATGACATTTTTCAAACTTTTTAGTTAATATCAATATGAAATGACGAAATTTTTCAGTCATGAAACTATTGAAAAAAAAGATAAATTTGACTGATTGGCATAAATCAACAAATCTGTGTTTCTATCCTTGTTGCACATGCCCATGTTACACAACAAGCACGAGCCAGAGTTTTATGCCAATGAAATTGTGTATTATTATCGGGAGGTTGGTCATTCGTGGCAAAGAGGAGGCATAGGGTTTATCTTGTTGTTAAACTGATTCGTTACTGACAAGGAATTTCACTTTGATTACTCCAAATATGGAAAGTTAAGTTCACAACCTTTCCAATGAGGTATGGTGATTAGCATCATGGCTGTAAAGTTAATAAAAATATACTTACTTATTGATAAAATTTGTACACTTGTTTCCTTTCTTAGTTTTCCCCATACACCAAGCTAAATCTTTAGACTGTCCCATTAATAACAATTGATTAGGATGGGTTATTGTAAAAGCCACTTCTGCAGGAGCCTAAAATAGCAAGAAAATATGTGTATTATTATATAACACAACTTCTGACCTGTTTTGATTGTCCTGTCTGATCATAGAATGTGGTCATACTGTACCTTATATTTATCACTACCATGTTGACTATATAGGGAGGGACTTGAATCAGGTGTTGAGTTCTTGCATTGTCTCCTTGAATAAGACAATTGATCTGTGTATTCAAGTCTTATACCCGACTGTAAATGGGTACCAGTAGGAAGGTTGATGCAATTACCAATAAAAATGTTCAATCTTTGGGCAGCATAAGTTCAGTGCTTCATGACTGCATGTAAATGCAAATAAAATAAGGTACAAATCTAGATGCCTGCTGCACAAAGTCTACATAATACAAATATAATTTACCTTATCTGCTGCGTCCATCATGTTTGGATTTAGCAATCCAATCACAGATCCAACAGAATTTTTCCAATGATCTTTATAAACTTGTCCGAACAGGAAAAAACTAACAGTTCTGTCACAGTCATCCAAATCATTTAATTTCCAAATACAAAATGTTTTACCCTGTTATCAAATAAAAAAAAACCCAAACAAATCAATCATTATTGTCATCAAAGATATGATTTTAAAGTGCCCTGTCTTTCCATTCTTGTTTAAGTTAAAGGTTGATTTTCAACAAGACATGGCTACATAAACTTCAAAATCTTTGACCATGCCTACAACTGCACAATCAAATAATGGAAGTTGTCTCAGCACTTGTTCCTGTCATGTTTGTGGGATATTTTACTATTAAAGCACGATTATGTTTTGCTTCCTTCATGTAACAAATATCTTTTTCTTCTTGCAAACTTTGCTATTTTCATGTCCAATATGTGCACCTACTTATACTTTAAACATAACTTGAATTGAAAACAGTATTAGATACTTAAAGCCTTAATTTTTGTTTTTGGATATAGCCTTACAGCATCCTTGGTATCCCCTGTGACATTGTTCTTTTTTACTTGCTTCTCCTTTGTCGGACTATGTATCAATCCATTTTCAGACATTTTAATCTCCTTGATGTTGGTCAACAACATGCAGAATCTAGTCATATATGTCACATATCCTAATAGTATATCACACCCCAAATCAATATATCCGATAATTTGTCTGCGATATCACTTCGGTGGAAGCGGAAGTTAAATAAAGCTATATATTTCACACACACACATACATATCCGATAAATACTAGACAATGCAAGCTCTGTTTCTGATTGCACATGGCAGTTATAGTACAATAAACGAAATGAAAGTAGAAATCTTGCTGGATGTGTGAAATTAAGAAATGGAAATGTGACAATGCCAATGGCAAATTCTCGGATTGATGATAATATTTTGAATGTGGGTTATGTTTTTAAATAAAGAAATAAACAAGCTAGGAAATGCCAACGAATATTTCGATTGGAAAAGTGTAAGTAATTAACTGTTTTAGACGATAGCGTGTGCTAGGAATATTACAAGTCAGCAGTAGTCAGCAAGCTTTCATTCTATCGTATTACGACAACATGTAAATTTGTAGGAACATTACTGACATTTGAATACCGCACAGGAATTAAATACGGAAATTAACGAGGCGCACCTATTTTTTAGGTGTGTGAATTTGAAACATGTACAGGTCAGGAGTAGTTGGCACGCTTTTATTCTATTGCATTACAACAACATGCAATTTTGTACGAATATTACTGACATAAATTCGAACACCGCACGGGAATTAAATATGAAAAATAACGAGGTGCACCTATATATTTATCACGTACGAATTTGAATATTTTGTTGAAACATGATTTTTAATTGTGGTCTGAATCCATCAGCTTTAACAATGATAAGAGTTGTGCCCCTTTATTTTCGGTAAGAATGTCTGATAGGAAAAATTTTGAAATCCCAACACTGGTACAAATTCAAATTATCTACCCTTGATGATTTCACTGGCCATGTAAGTTGATTCTACGAACCAATCAAAAAACAGTTTACATACCAGTCTTATTGTCATTCTTTACGTTCACCACAATGCAGCAGCCTTTACGCTCGATTATGAGAAATTTTGCAAGAAATTTAATATCAAAGAAGTGACATGCACACAAAAATGTTACTTCCCTTCACCCACTTACTTTCTACAATGCCACTGGGGATACCGGCCTTACAGATGTATATGTAGTCTCACCCAACGACTCACATATTTTTACAGTTCAATCAAATGTTAAGCAAGGCAAAATATAAATAATTCAAACTTGTTGAGACTTACAGATGAGGCTGTTTTAGGATCTGTTTTATGAACAACCACACCAAATGTCACCCAATCACCTTGCAGTTCACCTGTTTTAACTTTCTGGTGTATTTTTGATATTTTTATAAATTTTCTTCCTTCCATCTTCATTTCTAATACTGTTGATGATGTCAGAGGATTACTAAAATAATAAGAAATGAAATGAAATGAAATTGGGTTTAACGTCCTACTGTTCTGCTAATGAAGACGGGCATACATCATCAGTGTGCTATGAGGGAAATTTTGCCCGGACAGCATCACTATAGCCTACTCTTATATCGATTTCCAATTGCCAGGGGATCTTTTACGTGCACGCCAATGTTTACACGGGTCCCCGTTTTTAAGTCCCATTCGACCGGCTAGACAGCTGTCCTTGTCAGGCTCTCCATCCTGCACCACTGACAAGGGGAAACCACGCCAGAAAATCCTGATGAACTTTCTCAGCCAATGCAGGGATCGAACACACGACTTCCAGGCTAGCGAGCCAGCATCTTACCCACTTAGCCACCGTGGCTCACACGTTAATAAGTAAAAGTACCATTTATTTGACTGGAAGTACAGAGGAGATATAATGCAGCAGAAACAAAATGGTGTTTAATGTCCTACTTTTCAGTTCCGACTGTCAATTAAGCGATCATGAAAACATCATTCTCACATGCTATTGATGAGATCTGATCTGGTTACAATTCAGAATTGCACAATTAAAGTTTATAATTACCCTTTTATAATTTCACTTAACAAATAACATCTGTTAAAACTTATGAACAAAATAGAACAATGAAAATTAGAACACATGAAAAATTATTTACATTATTCTGATGCCTGAATTTTTCTCCATGATAAATTTTCCATCATCTTTTGGATTTACTGGTGTGGTTGACTTAGTTGTAGATATCCTGTTGTTGGAAGGAACAGTTGGTTTTTGTGATGGTGGTGACTTCATGGTTTGTGTGGTAGGAGATTTAGATTTCCCTAGAAAATGAAAACATGACCTTTAATATGAAATATCGGAAGCAAAGTCGGTTCTTCACAAATTATTTATAGTGAGTTTTTTGCCTTTTTCTTTCAAACTGACCTTGATTTCAAACATAGGACGTCAGACAGTAAAAGATATACCCACAAGCAATACTGTAATATGTATTTCATGTCGGTTGGGGAGTTCACTTATTGTAAATCTAGTGCCATTACTAGTGAACAATTTTGTCAACTTACATGTTTTTGTAGATGTATAATCAGAATAACCAGAAAAAGGTTGATGTGCTTCTCTCTTTCTTTCACCAGATATAACCAACTTCTTTAACTCCTGTCCTTCTTTACTTAACCTCGACTTCTCTCCTATAGATAATCATATATTAATGATATGACACGAGAATAATATAATGTTTGGAAATAAAATAGGGTTTAACGTCCTACTTTTCTGCACCAACTGTTCTAATAAAGACGGCGTACACAATAAAGGGTGCAATGGTTTACTCTTATATTGAAATCCAACTGTAAAGGGTTCTTTTAGTGCACACCAACATGTACAGATTATCTCAGTTTTTTTTACTTATTCAAACTGCATCACTGATAAGGGAAAATCATGCTAGAAAATCCTAGGAACTTTCTCGACCAACACTGGGATCAAACCTCGGACCTGAGTCAGCACCTTACTGACTAGGGCTCCATATAGTATTTGGGAAATAAACTCATTTTTATGGATTCTCTCCAGTGTAGATTTGTTTTGAGTTTTGAGTTTAGCCTGTTTCACTAAAGGCTTGGGACTGTACAGAAGTGGACACTTACAGACTATTTACCAAACTTCCTTTAGACTGCACATAATACTTATATACATAGTTTCCTCAAAACAGTCAATGTCTTATAGATTTAGAGTTTGCCAGAAATGTTTTAAAAAAAATGTGACAGTATTTAGCAGTATTTTTATTTTTAAGCCAATTTAATATTGTCATGACTTTAACAATCACTAAATAAATTCAACTTAGATACCATCCAATTCATCCCAATCACTGTCATCACTATCACCAAAAATATTTTTCTCCATTTCTTTTCTTTCTATTGGTGTAACATGTACAGGGACTGGTGGTTTTGCAATCGGGGGTGATTTAGTCTTCCTACTTTTTGCTGGTTTCTCTTTATCCTCACCAAAGAAATGATTAATATCAGGTTCCTGTTCTGCAAAGAAAGATCCTGAATTGACTAAAATAGAAAACCGTTAAAATTTTATCTATTGGCCTTTGTTCAAAGGTGACTTAAAGTCTTGAAGCGTCATTTTAAGCAATAAGAATCCCTTGAAAACTACAATATTGTGAAAGACAATCTCTGATAGGAATATCGGTACAAAAATGGTTCAATTCAATTCAGTATTTTCAAAGTTCTGTTGAATTGAAATTTCATCAATTTAGCAGCTTAGCTATGTATTAAATAAGCCAGCCACCATTTTGTTGTGAACGAACAGAAATGATAGGTCTTTTTAAAATCTGATTGAACCCAAGCCGGGAGATTTATCTAGCATTGGTATTTTGATTATGTTGTCTTAAATTAAAGTTTAAATTATGAATCTGAGTACAAAATAGAGTGGATAAAGCCATGAGAAATACTATAGTTTAGCAAAATATACAAATAATGCATCGTTACTTTAAACAAATTAGTTGTTAAAAAACAGTCGTTTTTTAGAGGAGAGCAGAAAAAAGCTCTGCTTAATGAACAAATTGAAAAAATCACTCCCCTAAAAAAGCTCTCACAGTTTCAATAAGAAGAGTGATCTGATATTAAACATACATTATGCAAGAGCTAAATCTGCGTATTGCAGGTCTTTCTTTAGGCCTGAAATGTTATCTAAAATATTAATTAGACATTAATTAACTTCTCCAGACCATAATCAACTCTCAACGGCATCGCTAGGCTGTGATGTTTATTGGATTATGGATAATCAAGACTATGTTTTTTTTATCGTACCGACATTTGTAATGATGATCGAGGCTAGGCCAAAAATTCAATCGCTAAAATCTTGGTTCATAGTGGATCAATTTGACTGAATATCTAATTTCCCATAATGTATCTTTAAGGAGAGTAATTATTTGTATGTGTGGAAAATGGTTCTGAAGATCAATAACTGCGTGTACGGGGTCATTCCTGGTTACATAAATGATAATAAACATTGTCGTACAGTTATGTCAAACTTTTGCTATCGTCTAAAACTACTTACGGTATTCCAATAGAATTACTTGTCGAAATTTCTAAATATATATACAGCTTGTATAAATTTTGTTTAAAAACATAACCCTTATTCAAAATACAATCATAAACGCTTGAAAATTCCATCAAAATATGATCTATTTCTTCCGGAATTATTCTCAACGGAAATTTTCACATTTCCATCTCTCGTAATTTCTCACGTCTCACGAGAGTTCTACTTTACATTTCAGTTAAATTAACCAATGATGCATAGGCGCCATTTATTTTTAGCAACATAGTCATCAGAATTTTATTACCATGTGCGATCACATTAAACACGAATCGAATACACCAAATAAATGTTCACAATCACAGCATGGTGACGATCGAAATGTGAATCTTTCACAATCTGTTAAAAAAAAAATACATGTGTCCATATTTTCAAATAAGGAGAGCGATTTTCAATTTCAAGGCGAGGGAGAAAAAGCTCCCCTCGGTCGACATTCAGGCGCTTGCGAATGGTCTCCAGAAACAATGACCGAAAAACCAACAATTTCATTTGTGTGTATTTCAAATCATTTGTAACATTTAATTACACAGGGTCAATGCTGATTTGTTTCTACTTAATGTTGCTAATATGAGCAAGATGAAGCTTAAATCAAGATTTACCTTTTGTTTGACTGGCCTTTAATTTATCTTCTAATTCTTTCATTCTTTTTTGCATCATCAACAGTTCGGCTGTAAATATACATACAAATTATGTTAATGCTACATCTAACCAATGGCTCAGATATGCTGTTGGATCACTAGGAGGTCCTTGAATCGATGCTGGTGTTTGGCAGAGTAAATTTCTGCGGATTTTCAAGCTTGAGGCACGATAGAGGGAGGATAAGGCAAGGAAAAGCGACTAGTCAATCGATTTTGACAAGGTCCTGTCCTGTGACAGAAACTGAAATAAGAGTAGGCAGTAGTTCGGCTGTCTGTGCGAAATTTCACTCATAGCACTCATTTCCATCTTCATTAGTCTAGATGGTGCAGAAAAGTAAGACAATAGGCCCAATTTCATTTCATTTCTTACCAAATTTGGAACATATTTAAAAATCTACATGTAATTAATAGTAGCACGTAAAAAAACGGCAAGAAACCTACCAAATAATGGATCAAAATCTATAGAAATTTGTTTATAAAAGTTAGAGTAAAACAGCACAGGTACCTTGTAAATTTTGGTTATTTTTCTCTGTATCGCTATCTTTACTATTATTAATATTTGTTGATTTAACATCTGCTGTAAGAGAGATAAAGAAAATATAATAATATTGTTTGAAATTACATGTTAGCAAACATGTATGACTAATTTTGGGTTACATGAATATGCATGTCAAAGTAAATTGATAACTGGGAACATACTAAAACTTGGAATAACATTTACTGGTTAATAAATGTGTGATGGTAGGATGAAACTCTCATTTGTATCAAGCAAATCTGATTATTATTTCATAAGTTTTACTGAATGCCACTCAAAGAAGTGATTACAGGAAGCTGCTGGTTTGCCTGCTGCATAACTGATAGATGAATATGTTCAGTTTGTAAGGATGATATGAATGTAACCAACAGAAAAAGAGAGATTAGATTTTACATCTAGATCATTTCGGGATTAACATATGGCCCAATTTTATTTCAGTAATTTGCTTGCACATAGGGGTTTTTAGCAGTGGGATAAACTGGAGGAACTGGAGGACCCAGACAAAACAGTTGAGATTAGGCAGGTAACCCTACTACAAGTGTGGTTTGAGACATGCAACTTGATCCAATGATATACTTTCTGATCTAAAGTGTGCTTGATAGACCATTCGGCTACCCAATCCCTGTAACCAACATCAATTTATGTCATACATAGCTTATTTCATAAAATGTAAATAAACTATAGTGTCATGATGTGTGAAACTAATAATAAAAAATGAAAATGAAATGGGGTTTACCATCCTAATTTTCTGCACCGACTGGCTTAATGTAGAAGGGCATACACCATGCAGTAAGATATCAAGAAATATTGCCTGGACAGCAGTGCTACAGCCTACTCTTACATCAAATTCCAACTATCAAGGTTCTTTTATGTGCACACCAATGTGTCCACGGGACCTCAGTTTTTCGTCCGATCTGAATGACTATATGATGTCACTTGCCAGACTCTCTATTCTCACCACTGACAAGGGGGATCCATGCTGGAAAATCCCGATGGACTTTCTCTGTCAACCCGGGGGTTTAACATGGGACTTGCAGGTTACCAAGCCAATGTCTTACTTACTGAGCCACTGTGGCTCCTTATAATAAAAGGTAAATAAACTATATCATCATGATGTACTGCTTTTCTTATTAAAATAAATCATTAAAATTGTTTAACCTTTTATTTCTTCTTTCATATCTTCTTCACTTTCACTTTCTGATTCAGGTTCATTTAAAAAAGCTTCAATATCATGTTGAGAAAGGTCTCCAGTTTCCACTTTCGATGTTTTCTCTGAAAACAAACCTAAGATTACAAAAGTGATATAAAATACCACAGAAGATAACATACAGATACTGAAATATACTCATGCATGGAATCATGTACTTGAATTGTTTGGACTTTGAGTGGTAATTATATGAATCCTTAGCTGCAATTTTTAGCCGTGATAATTCTTATCTACGGCTGCAATTGATACAGTATTTGAGGCTTCGAGCAAGTAAAATTAGGTTCAATTGCAAAATTTTTAACACATATCTTCACAGTTTGCATGGAAATAAGTAATTATGTTACAAATAGTGAAGAGTGGAACATTGAAATCATAATCTTATCTTACCAAACAGTTTTTCGAGTGACATGACACCCTGTGATTCTGGTTTGGCAGCCATTATAAACTGAACAGAAATTTTGCATAGCAGTTGGGTTTAATCAAATCATATAATTTCACGGTAAGGTTTCAATGAGAATTGGTTTATTATATGTTAAGCTATGTACGGTACAGTTTGGGGTCAGTGTTATTATAAATTAAGGGAGTTATAGGCCAGTAACATTTTTTAGTCAGTTGACTACAAAACTTGCACAAAGGAAGGCCTTAGGACAGTCCACTACTATGGCTGGAGCAAGACGGAAGACATCAGTAGTGGAACCATTTCTAATGAATCCTCAGTTATTTCTACAATGTTGTGGAAGGAAGGGAGATGAGATTAAACATCCACTTGACACAATTAGATCATTTTGGGACTAACACATGGTACAACTCTTCTTCAAGAAAACGCTTGTTGGTAGGGGTGTTCGGTGGGAGGTAACCAGAGGACCTGGAGAAAACACTTGAGGTTGACAGGCAACCCTACTTCTTGTCATGTACAAGCTTGGGATTGAAATCAAGCCACTTGTCTCAATGACAGACTGCTACACAACACAACCACTCAATTAATTCAATGGAATCTAGTAATCGACCTGTAAGTATACAGGACAATTTGCTATGGACCACACTTTCTGTTTATTACTGAGGGACTTTCGACTAGGCTGGTCTAGTCTTTATCAAGCAACTAGTGGTTGACCTGGCTTAGCAACGGTATAGCCATGAATCGGAAATAGCATAACTCCAAACTCCAAAACAGAAAGTGGTAGGCCATCGTCACCAGACCTTTGTTACTGCATGGTCTGAGCTACCCACATACACCGAAATTTCAGCCTCTGGATAGCCCTAGTGTAGCCGTAACCCCTGAACAAACAGACAGACAGACAAACAAAGAAACTACAGTCACAAATATTTGTATAGATTAAATGTTGGTCAGTAAAAAACAGTAATTGTATTCCATTGAATTTTATCCTATGTATATGACATACTATGTATGTATATGGTTTGTGTCTCTTAATTGCAGAATTTATTTAAATAATATTCTAGAAGTGAAATATCATACCAGAAACAACAGGTATACTTGGTTCTAAATCTTCATCATCACTCGAATTCTGTTCCAAAAATGATGTCAAAGTGTCATGGTCACATTGTTCATCTGATTCTTCCACTTTACCATTGTTTAATTTATTACCACTTGGCATTTCACCATTAACGGCACACATGTCTCTTCTAGTTTCAGACTGTGATCGTGTCGTATCAGTTTGTGATACTTCTGCATCAACAAAGTCATTGGAATCATCATCAAGAATAGCTGCTAAGGCATCTAAATCACACTGTTCCTCTGAAATAAATTAAATTTCTTTGCTATATTATGTTAAATCACAGGTAGCCACACAAGGCATGGAAACACGACTGCACAGCATCTATGTTACATACAACAGAGTATCTGGAATGAAAACGTGAAGTTGACCAAATCTGCATAAAGAATAGCTTAAGAAATCTATCCTGGACATGTAATAATATATATACATATACATAAACTTCCACAAAATTGTCATTTTGACCATAGTAAATTTGGTTTACATTTGTTTTGACCACATCATTTATATCATCTTCAAAAAGAGGATGCTGAATCTAATATTCGTTTTCAGGATTCAACTTCCACAATATTATATTTTACAAAACAAGTGATTGATTCAAAATCCCTCTAAAGTGATCAGCAACTTTAAGACACTTGGCACTAAAAACATAAACGTGTGGCAGTGTCAGAAGTTACATCTATGTAGGGAGACACAGACCTTGAGAACTGAAAATCATGCTGGAGTGATAAAATGTGTTCACCATATATTTTGCGGACACTATTTAACTCTGCCAAATTTATATCCTAGACAATGCTTTTTATAATTAATTTACATTAAAATCAAAGATGTATAAATTATAAATATACACTGTTTATAGGCTAAATGTTCATAAATAAAAAGCATTATAAAGAATACCATTTCTTTAGATATCATACATGTGTATGTCCAATTACATTTCAACAGACAAGAATGTCATTTTGACAGCGCCACAAATTTATTGTTCTGCTTTAGAATGGTGGGACATGCCCAAATTACATTTACATTATGTGTTGAGGGCGTACTATCTAGTGGTACATTGTAGGTAGTCCACCGAACGTTGACGCAACAATACTGGTCTTTCGATAATGCTTTTTAATTGCAAATTATGCCACGTAAAGTCAGCTTGTGTGCATATTATTTATTTACTATCAAGTTATATGAAATAATGAATGAAAACAAGCCTCTCTTTGATAGATAATAAGATAGGTTGCCAGGCAACTAAACATATACCCACAGCAGCTAAATCGTCTGAACAGTTAACAAGAGTTGTCGCATATTTTCACTTTTGTCAGTTAATGAAACACTTATAATACACTAACATCTAATTTTAGAGTAACAAGTCATTAAGTAATTATCAGAAAATCATTAGAATTTGTTTGGCCCATGCTAACGTTTAGTATACAAAACATTTAATAACATGGATTTAGCTGTTCAAATTATCAAAATCCATTGAAAATCAATATACTTGTTCGTTTGAAGACCTTAAACTCTATGTATAAAGCCAAAGTCAATCAAAACGATTATATACTATTCAAAAAAAGTAGGGGATATTTGATTTTTAAGTGTTATTAAAGTCACCTAATGAAACTGACGAAGAAACAAATGACAAAATAAATGAAGTTCACATTCGCGATTTATTCCAAATGATCGTTAGATTAAGTAAGGCACAGACTGACCATTATAAGGGTAAAATGATACCCGGGGTCAAACAGCAAAGTTACCACAGCATCACAACCAAGTCAGTAACGGGTAAATCCTCCTGTTTGCCAAACAAGCATTGATCCGACGTAGCATACTCCTAATGAGACGTCTAAGGTCATTTTGGTCCAGATTGTCCCATTCCTGTTGCAACGCAGCAGCAAGTTCTTGGACATTGGCAGGACGTTGTTGACGTTGACGTAACCTCTGTCCAAGCATGTCCCAGACATGCTCGATGGGGGAGAGGTCGGGACTCAGTGCTGGCCAAGGTAATGTGGTGATGTTCTGTTGTTGGAGGTAACCTGTAACGATCCTGGCCCTGTGACATCTTGCGTTGTCATCCTGGAAGATGAAACGGCGGCCATGACATCGTGTGAACGGCACAACATGGACTGCCAAGATGTTGTCCCGGTAGTACTGGCCTGTAACACGCCCTGCAACAACATGTAAAGCCGTTCTTACAGCAACAGTGATGCCTCCCCACACCATAACAGAACCACCCCCAAATCAATCATGTCTGATGACGTTAACGTCTTGGAAGCGCTCGTTTCGACGACGCCACACCCTCCTACGTCTGTCCAAAAAATCAACAGTGAACCTTGACTCATCTGAAAACATCACATTGCTCAAGCGTCGATTATCCCAACGACGTCTTGCCTGAATGTGATGATCTCTCAAACAAGGGATCACGCGAGGACGTCGGGCGCGAAGGTGACCCCTATGCAGTCGATTCCGAATCGTCTGGCCACTCACTCTCACACCAGTGTCTGTTTGAAGACGAGCGCTGATCTGATTTGCTGTGATGGCACGATTTCTCAAGGCCAAGGTACGGATAAATCGATCCTGGGCTTGACTTGTCGCCCTTGGTCGACCTGATCGTGGTCTGTCCTGTACAGATTGTGTATCACGGTATCTGGACCATAGCCTGCTTATGACAGACTGAGAAACATTCATCGTCCGCGCCACAACCGCCTGTGTTGTGCCGATCTGTAGCATGCCAAGGGCACGTAACCTTTCATTTTGGGTAAGCCGACGCATATCAAAATTTGTTTTCTGGTCACTAAAACAATTAAACTGATGTTTCCACCCTGGAATTCAATGCCACAATGACTGTAACATTCAAAGTCAGAGTCGTGCAAATCTTGGGTTGGACCCCCATGATGATCCCAAGCATCACCTGCATTCCATGCGGTAGCTATTGGTGCGTTTGGGCGTCACATGTAACTGGAAATGTTTCTTCTGTTAGGTTCTATAGTGACTTTTTTCATAGTCATTTGCATATTTTAGTATTATGCCCCCAAAATCAAATATCCCCTACTTTTTTTGAATAGTATATATAGGTGTAAACACGGTGTTTAAATATAAAATCAATCAGATGATAACTATGGTCATAAAGCATCCACAAGATTTTTCAGAGTGATCAAGGGCCATAACTTTGGCAGTAATAATCAGAAATCGTTGAATATCAATAGGATTCTTCGTCTGATAACCATAAACAATGTGTATAAATTTAAAGTCAGTCGGATTATAACTTTAGCCTCTAAAGCGTCCACAAAATTTGTCAAAGTGATCAAGGGCCATAACTCGGGGAGTCATTATTGGAAATCGTTGAAAATAAATATAGGCTTCTTCGTGTCATGAAATTAACACTGTGTATATATTTACAGTCAATCGGATATTAACTTTAGCCTCTAGAGCATCCACAAGCAATTGTGGATGCCGGACTGACGGAAGGACCACCGGACCGATGGACAGGGGCGACGACAATATACAACCACATGGGTGTATAAAAACTACATAGTATCCACCACCATATTGGTAAATCGATAATTATGATTGGCTACTATTTTTGGAGTTAGGTAGAGGTTCTAATGGAGACAAAAGCATTAGATTTCTTCACTGTAGTTTTTTCAAACGTAACTGTCAATTTTTTTAAAGTTTTGGTAAAATTCTCAAATAAAAATGTGTAAATACGACCGATCTAAATTTCACATCCGCTTCTTCACCTATGAATCGCTGGTTATAAAAATTGATAATTCCATGTCTCTAGGATAACTTTGCACCTGAATAAATGAACAGCAATGTGATGGTGACATCGAAAATCGACCTAGTCTTTGTGGGGAGAATTCATTCATGGTTTTGGGGACGATGTGGCCTACTATTTTGAGCCCAGAGATCAATGTTAATCAAATTGAATAAGTTGCTGGCACGATAATTTGTGTTCACTAGCTTTTATTTGCGGGCACCTGTCAAATCTCGAGGCCTGGTCACGTAGTGGCTTAGTAAGATAGATGCTGGTTTGCTAACAAGGTCTCTGGTTCACTCCCAGTGATGGCCAAGAAAGATCCTCTGAATTTTCTGGCTGATTTCTCCTTGTCAGTAGTGCTGGACGGAGGGCCTGGCAAGGTCAGTGTCTAGTTTTCGGATGGAACAGAAAATTGAGGTCCCATGTACACAATGGCGTACATGTAAAAGAACACTTGACAGTTGGATTTGGAATTAAGAGTAGGCAATTGCGCCAGTGGACAAAATTTCCCTTATATCATGGCACATGCCCATTTTACATTAACCCGGCCAGTCGATTGGTGCAGAAAAGTAGGATGGACTTTATAGGTGTCATTTACCTTCCATAATAAAATGTCAAACACAATCAGCCAGGCCAAACCACAGATTGGATAAATAAATTAAACTTTAACCTGAAAATAACAATAACACAAAATAAATTCATTTTATCTAATAAACCATAAATAAACAAAATGAGTTTGCAAGATTCAAATAAACTATAGGGTCTAATCATATTAAAAATAAACACAAATATAAATATTTCAATGTCTTTATTCTTGTGGCTAGGGAAGCACAGACTGATTGGGACCAAAAGTCAAAGATGATTGCAACCAAATTTGTGGCTTATTAATTGGGATGGATGATTGACATGTATAGCCGACTATAACTATATAGTTTACGTTGAATCCCATTGTTATTCACAGCGGCTAGATGCCAGATGGAACTACAGCATCATTCCTACTCTCACTCTGAGACATGGACTGACTTATGGTGGTTCGAGAAATGAGGTGAGCACTGCATGAGTGTTGATAGTTGATTGATACCGTACTAAAAGCATAAATAGCTACATAAACTCACAAAAGGTTAGTAATCGGCTGTACTTATCAACACCACATAGACCTTCAAGAGACAGGACATGAATTAATTGTTAATAACCCTGTTTAAAAGTTAATAAACGAAATATATTACAATTTTAATAAGCTTTGTTTACATCTTTGCATACTTTCGCGGTTTTTTGTAGTCTCGATTGTTCAAAATAGAGTTTTCCGAGCAACCATTAAAGACTGGAATTCGAATCTATATCTATTTTTTGTTAACATTTATTTTACGCCGCAACTACGTATTTCCCATTTTCCGTGTAACGTTTTTGGGTGTCTATTTCTCAGTATAAAATTGCAGATTAATAGCACAGTAATAAATAAAACATGGCAGTTTAATTAAATTAAGGCTTTACTATAAGTACTACCCAAACGTTTTGGAATACGCAGTGGTTCGACTTAGCTTTGTGTAATAGAATGCAGACGCCATTTTCGGCAAAAGTATTTGTAAACACAACGAAATATTTATTTACATCCTGCTTTATTGTATCCGAATAACAAGAATACATTTCCCTTTGGTGTAATAAATTAGGTAACCTACTATAAGCTCATGGGCATCTGGTCTAAAACTATTGACAAACTGCTTACAATAAGAGTTTCCGCTTTCGTAACAGCACGTTTGTTTTCTTACTCAATACTCATTCAATTTATTTCATATTCATTCCAGGCTGATTTTTTTTATTTGATTTGATTTTGACTGTCTGTGTATGTCTTATTGAATTTCAAACGGGCATAGATCTGGGCTAATATAAAATGATTACGTTTCTCTAATTTATTATAAGATATAATTCTGTGCTGTTAGAGTTAGTTTAGAGACACTTTTATTTTTATCCAGTGATGAGTAGCCTAGGTGGTTAATATCACTATATGTACACGTTTCACATCACTTATGTCTTATTCACTACCTTAATATAATAGTAATGTTGTAATAATAGCCTACTATCAGCCATCAGGTAAAATTGTATGCATAGTAATAGTAATGTTGTAATAGCCTACTATAACTATCACACATCAGGTAAAATTTTATGCATTGACTGCAAGTAGTATAGTGCAAACGTCGATACATGTCAGGAGTGACCTGCTCTTATGCATATCGGGAGATTCAGGGTCATATTCAGGATGTCAGGTTTCTCTTGTGAATGAAAGTAAAAAAGGAACACTTTCATAGACTTATAAATACTTTATTTTGTTAAATACAAATCCAAATGGTCGAGGCGCATGTCCGGTCTGTTCTTCCTCTTACCATTAGTAAACCAGCTGAAACAAAGATTCTAATAAACGAATACGCCAACTCCAATGTCCTATCCTTTCTCTTTCAACTACAGATTTACACACTAATTTCGTCCTTCGACTTCAATACTGAACGCACCCATAAGGGAAGGACATTTCCCACGACTGTGACTATTTTAACACAACTATGTAACAGGTTGATACGTTTCATAACATGCATGGGAGATCAAAGGAAATAACATCCCAAGGTGTGTAGGATCAAGTATTGACACAGGAACGCATGATCAATTATATCTTAACATTCGTTTTATCTATCGATATAAGAGTAGGCCGTAGCGCGGCTGCCTGGGCAAAATTTCCCTCAAAGCACACTGTATGGCGTATGCCCGTCTTCATTAGCCCAGTTTAGGAGCAGAACAGTAGGAAGTTAAACCCCATTTCATTTCATTTCTGATTTGGGGAATTCCATGATATGGCAATAAAACAAATACTGTTTTAAAGTATTTTTAAATGAGGGCAAATTTATTTAACATTTTTTTAAAATGCTACATTGATACTTTGAAGTAATTAAAGTGACCAATGTATTATTATATATATGAAGGATTAACTCACAGAAAACGTTGAGTCGACTCCTACCCACAAAAAAATAGACAAAGACTAAGAGAACGATAATAGATATTTAACATACCGCTATTGCTGAAGCTTGTTTTACTTAGCATTTTTACTTACATAACTTTCCTTTTTGTAGAAAGCCTGGTCCCATTTAAGACAGTTTAGAAATGGTTTAGTTTAAGTTATGTAAGCTTAACTGACACTGTTGAAGGTCCAAAGATGGAATCTGATGAAAAGGATAAAAAAGTTGAAGAAAAAGTTGGAGAGAAGGCCGAGGAGAAGAGCGATAAATCTGATGTTCCACCAAAGAAAAAGGTTGAAGAGAAGAGAAAAGATAGCTCTAGAGGTCGTGGAGATCAAGTAAGAGGTGGAGGAGATGGTCCATCATCTGGCTATAAAAAGGACAGGTATTATTGTGTTGGATCAATATTTCCATTTTGCTTTCAGAACTTGAAATTATTATACCATGTAGCAATATTAAATGTAGACCAGCAGTCCATGCGAAATGATATTTTTGTCCCCCGCCTTTCGAAGAAAGCAGGGGACTATTAAAATGGGTTCGTCCGTCTGTCTGTCTGTCCGTCTGTCTGTCCGTCTGTCTGTCCGTCACACTTTTTGGGACACAATAACTCTCTTCCTAATTGAGCTAGAATGTTCAAACTTGGTGTATGTGTTTATTAGGTCAATGCCTTGATGGAGTTCGAAGATGAGCATTTTCCGCTTAGGGTAAGCAGAGATAAGCAATTTGATTGGTTGATGCTTTGGGACACGATAACTCTCTTCCTAATTGGGCTAGAATGTTCAAACTTGGTGTATGTGTTGATTAGGTCAATGCCTTGATGGAGTTCGAAGATGAGCATTTTCCGCTTAGGGTAAGCAGAGATAAGCAATTTGATTGGTTGATGCTTTGGGACACGATAACTTTTAATTGAGCTAGAATGTTCAAACTTGGTGTATGTGTTTATTAGGTCAATGCCTTGATGGAGTTCGAAGATGAGCATTTTCCGCTTAGGGTAAGCAGAGATAAGCAATTTGATTGGTTGATACTTTGGGGCACGATAACTCTCTTCCTAATTGAGCTAGAATGTTCAAACTTGGTGTATGTGTTGATTAGGTCAATGCCTTGATGGAGTTCGAAGATGAGCATTTCCCGCTTAGGGTAAGCAGAGATAAGCAATTTGATTGGTTGATGCTTTGGGACACGATAACTTTAGTTGTCCCCCGCCTTTTGAAGAAAGCAGGGGACTATTAAAATGGGTTCGTCCGCCTGTCTGTCTGTCCGCCTGCCTGTCCGTCCGTCTGTCTGTCCGTCACACTTTTTGGGACACAATAACTCTCCTTCTAATTGACCTAGAATGTTCAAACTTGGTGTGGGTGTATATTAGGTCAATGCTTTGATGGAGTTCGAAGATGAGCATTTTCTGCTTAGTGTAAGCAGAGATAAGCAATTTGATTGGTTGATGCTTTGGGACACGATAACTTTAGTTCTAATTAAGTGAGAGTGATGAAACTTGGTGTATAGTTTTATTACATCAGTACCTTGACTAAGTTCGATGATGAGCATTTTCTGCTCAGGGTAAGCAGAGCGATAAGCAATTTGATTGGCCGAGACTTCGGAACACAATAACTCTCCTTCTAATTGAGCTAAAATGTTCACACTGCTTCTAATTGAGGTAGAATGTTTAAACTTGATGTAGATGTTCGTCTTGACTGAGTTCAATGATTAACATATCGATCTCAAGCTAAGCAGAGATAAGCAATTTCCTTGGTCGATGCTTTGGGACAATATAACTTTGATTCTGTCTGATAGAGAGTGATGAAATTTAGTGTATAGTTGATAAACAGTTTGATTGCTCGATACTTTTGAAAAAAATAGATGTGCGATTAATTAATATGTGGCATCTATTTATTTGCGGATTTCGGCGGGGGACATCAGCCTCACTGTTGGCTTGTTTTTACTGGACATTTGGGCAGGTATTATTCCAACTATTACTGGACCGAATGAGATTTTACTGCTCCAAAAAAGTTCATACCAAAAATATGCATAAAATAAGTAATAATGGCCTAAAACTCGAAAAACAACAAACAGTATATATAAGGGGGAAAATACTTTACTTTATTACAAAGATTATCTATTGTATAGAGACTTTTTCGCACACTTCCTTAATTGTCATTTTGTGTTAATGATAACAATAAATAGACTGAGCAAAGAAAATATAATCCCTTAGATGACAATCGAGTCTACCAGAAGCCAATGTTATTAATACAATAAAAGGACTTTCGTTTTAGTCTGGATTAACCTAGCCTACTACTTTCTAGACTAGTTCGATATACGGTACTACGTACTCGAGATAAGATTTTGTTTACATTTTAAACAATAGTGAAATTAACACAATAAATTAAACGAGAATTCAACTGTCCGTGCATGAAGTGCCGTCAGTCAGTGCCAATACGGCGATGATTTAATATTTGTAAGTTGAGTGTCCCTTAACCCGTCCACAAGCAAACCCATCCACGGTTAAGGTAATACCGGTACTTGACTTGTATATTATTTAATTGATTAGAATAGATCAGTTTTACTCATTGGTTGTTTATATTGTTTTATTTACCTAATAATCAACTAGCTTGGCTTGCCATCCCGACAGCGATTAGTTTGAGTTCAAATTCTTTATTTCTTTAAGCCAAAGACTCATCAGGTATAACATATAGTACAAACAAATAAATAAATACAATATGTACAAAAACAATATAGTTCACCGATGTTTTTGTAATAAAGAACAATAGTATTGTTTGTTGATTAGCGTTATGATTTTAGATAAAATGGTAAGTTCACCAATGTTTTTGTAATAAAGTAGACCCGTATTGTTTGTTAATTGACTTTATCCCATGATTTAAAAAATTGGCGATGGTTAATATTGGGTCAAAAATAATTCCTTAAATTGCGCGGGAGCCCCTTTTAGATAAATTGAATTCGCATAAAAACAACAAAGAGTGGCTACGTGCGATTTTATTCTTTGATCTTTGATACACAGAAAAATTTTTGTTATTCAAACAAATCTGCACGAGAATGACAACATACAATTTGACAGTTACCATTGATTTGGAATTCATGTAGAATAGGCTCTTCTATCGAGCCTACAGTTATTCTTTTCTAAAATAAAATGAGTGCCTTGGATTTTTGTGTGGATTTGATAGCGGTTATACTTTACTAAAATTCTCTGACATCGGAGACTTGTGTCGCGTTCATTTCATTTTTGGGGTAAGTACGAGCTTCTTATGTCTGATTTGAAAGCACTTTCGACTCTCGTTGCAAGTTCTATTTGTCTTATTTCTATTTGTAAGACCGGTAACCTAAATACCGTTATAGTTTGCAATTTTAAAGTCTATCTTTGCCGTGATTCGAGAGTAATTCTTAACTATGCACTCTAAACATGTATAGTCTTATGCATGCGTGTCCTTCAAAATGTACTAGTTAGACATGCAGCTTTACATGACTGGTTGGAAATGTAACCGCATATATCGTGCAGAATATGTGAACACGCGTGTTCTTACTATACAACTTTACCTAATGCGGCCGTATTATTAACGAAAATATTCAACATTCATAACATCGTGGCAGTATATCGTTTTGACATCGATTGTTTATGACAAATATAACCGTTAATTTTGCATGTAAAATTACACCGAGGCCTATCGTGTCCTGCGACTATCATGGCACACAATAGTGAAATTAACACAATAAATTAAACGAGAATTCAACAGTCCGTACACGAAGTGCCGTCAGTCAGTGCCAATACGGCGATGATTTAATACAACCAGCAGTCAGTAAACCGGGTCCAGAATCTTTTCGGACAACCGGGCCGGTATTCATGATGAAAATACCGGACCGAGAGCTATTTTATCGGTAATGACCGAAGGTCCGACGGCTTTCGCATGGACTGTAGACCAGATCAAAAATAAAGCCAGAAATGAGCTCTAATAACTTACTTTAGTGAATGTTCAACCACAAGTAACAAGATAAATTAAACTTATACGGTATTTGTTGGTTATTTCTTGCAATGTAAGGGAGGTTGGGTGGCTGAATGGTTAACGACCTAGTTTCGAATCCCTGCTTGTATGTGACAAGGAGTAGGGTCGCCTGTCCCACCTCCCACTGCTGAAGCGAAATAATGAAATAAAATTGATCCATATGTTAGTCCCAAAATAAGTTAGTTTGTGTCGAGTGGACATTAAACCCATCTCTCTCTCTCTCTCTCTCTCTCTCTCTCTCTCAATATCTTATCTTCAGAAATCTAGGGTGTTATAATGTCCTCCTTTGTAAGTTGTATGCATATGGCATTTAATCAACTGTATGAAATTTAGCTAATTTTGATCTGACTGTGGACAAATTTAAATCTCATTTATGAATAAGAGAGGAAAAAAACAACAAAATTTTATATTTACATGTAGTAATTGGGCAACTCTAATTTCCATGTGTACCAATTTTAGTGAAAATCGGAGGTGGCTATTTGATCTTGATCATTTGATTTTCAATATAACATATACAATATATTTAATTTCATATTATTAATAATATTAATAATTGTCTTGTAGTTATGACAGAGATAAAAAAGACAAAGACAGAAAAGATGGTGGCTATGACAGGAATGATAGAGATAAGAGTGAAAGATATAAGAGTGATAGAGAAAGAAAAGATAGTGGGTATAATAGAAGAGATCGGGATAGGAGAGATAAAGATAGAAAAGACAGTGGTTATGATCGAGATAGAAGAGATAGAGATAGAAAAGATAGCGGCTATGATCGAGATAAAAGTGATAAAGATAGAAGAGATAGAGATAGGAAAGATAGTGGCTATGATCGAGATAAAAGTGATAAAGATAGAAGAGATAGGAAAGACAGTGGCTATGATCGAGATAGGAAAGAAAGTAGTTATGGAAGGAGGGGAAAATTGGACAGTGACAGGAAAGAACCAGAAAAGAAATCTATGTAAGTTATTGCTAACTAAAATAAAGTTTTCCGTTACTTGCTGATTACCATGCTTTTAAGATTAACTTGTAAAATTTAAATTAAGTTTTCTGGCACTGTGATGACATAACAATTTCAAAATCATGTCTGAAGTTTATACATTTATCTTGTAAAAATAATTTGTATGTATTGTTTTAGTTTCCATCTATTTGCAGTTCTTCCAGTTCTTCCAGTTCCCATAGTTACAGTAAATCTCGGGAAATGAAGCAACAACCGGCTCCACCACCGAAACTTACTGAAGAAGAGAAAAAAGCCCTAAAGGAGGCAGAAGAGAAGAAGAAACAAGAAGAGGAAGAAAGAAAATTAGAAGAAGCAAAACAAAAAGAAGAAGAAGAGCGATTGAAAAAAGAAGAAGAAGAAAAGGTGGGTTGTTCTAAATTGTATTGCATTGCTCCTTCTAGGACATTGGTCTTTCATCTACACTATATTGCAGGTATTTTAGTTATTTACAGGTAATTTTGTAACAATGTGTGATCACCAGATTCAGAGTTTGCACAGACTAAAACTGTCAGTGTGGACTAGTCTCCTGCTCTCCTCCCCCCCCCCTTTCCCTACAAAAGGCTGCATCATTTTAAAAAGCTCTTTTCTTCAATTTTCAGTATCACAAATATGCAAATTAATGTACTTACTTAAAGTTGAATTATGTAAGCTTTAGATAAACAGCTGACCGTACTTGATATAATAAATAGATAATGCAAAATCAATATATTGAAAATTTCATTCAAATTACTTTATTCCGAGTGAAGTTATCACCATTTGGAGTTTTGACAAGATATGGCATAGATTGTTTATTATCGTAAGAACGGTGCTTGTTATTCGAGACTTATCTTCGCTTTGCCATTTTTAAATTAAATCATTAAATGGCAGCCAATTTGTAATCTGCTAAAATCTCTGCCATCCGATTATCTAGAGAGTTGATTATACTCTTGTCATATGAATAAATGTATAAATAATAGTTTATGTAACTTTTGAAGCCCCCCCCCCCCCAAAAAAAAAGACCTGCAATAAGTAGATTTAGCTTTTACATAAACACATATTTAATTTTAAAAAAAAGTAATTGTTATATTTAGGTAGAAATATATGAACGAATCAAATTTTATTTGTGTGAAATATATTCATTGATCAAATCTTATTTCCATTAAATTATAGAAGTTTTGAAATTTGGATTACCTATGACAGCTGCATGTATTTGGAATGTGTGCTGTCTGTAGATTGGATTGATGGTTATAAATGTGATTTTTATTACGAACTTGCCTAGCTAACAGTCTTTTTCTTTTATATTCTTTTACTAATACTATTAATACCTTTTAACTACTAAACTCAAAACTGTTATTGAAATTTTTTTAACATTGATGAAATTGTGTTTTTATTGTTACAGAGAAAGGCTGAAGAAGAAGCACAGAGATTAAAAGAGGAACAGGTATTTGTTACAATTGTACATTGTATGGCAATGATAAATACTAGGGAGACTGACTTAGAGCAATTATTGTGATTTTTCCAAAGTTATATTGTTAGTAAACCATCAGAATATTACATGTACGCTATGAATTTTGCACTAGAGATTGCTAGTTTACAGAGTTATGAATTGATTTCAGGACAACTTAAATGAGTTTATTGAAGAAACTGGAGCCAGATTAGAGTTTAAAGATTCACTGAAAGAAAATAATGTGAAAGCAGCTGGTAAGATATTTTTCTATAAACATCTGTAAAATATAGTAGATCTGAAATTTGTTGGTCATCATTGGAGGGATTCGCTGTGGAAGTCGAAACTAAAAGGAATTTCAGTCCAAAAATACTTCAATTCCATTCTTTATTTACTAAGATATTATCAGACGAGAAATTTTGCAACATTCAGAAGCCTCTGCAGATAATATAAGCAAGCCAGTGCCACCTATTAGTGTTGGGTAAAATCTTTTGATGAGCCTCATTCTAATTCAGTTGTATACAAGCAGAGAGATTATTTACTGTTGATGTTTTGGTTTCTTAATTAAATGTTGAATAATCAATTTGGGTACATCATTGCATGGATTAAGTCATGGATAATTTGAAAATATTTGAAAAAAATACAAATTATGATCAGCTATTTTTCTTTATTTCTTTATTACAAAAGCTGTTAAAGATATATACAGGCATTGATGATTTACTAAATAACACTGTAGCACAAATATGACATTTCCTTGAAGCTTAGCAGATATAAATCAAATGAAAAAAAAATAATGTTCATCATAGATTAGAAAATTAAATTTTATTTCTTATTTATGTGGCAATTAGATTTTGTTGAATAACAACTGTTAAAAATCACAGAAGATAATCCATTGCTACAAGGTCAATAAACACCCCATGTTTTCAAATTGAGGAGCCGTATTCATCTTGTCCCGAGTGTGTCTTAGTTGTTAATAATCTCAGAAAAGGTTGAATGTCCACTCTGTTTTGAAAATAAGGAGTTTTGATCTCCTGGGCCTGGTTGATCAACGATGTGGTAAAATCATAGAAAGACCAGCAAAATAAGATCTTATTTGTACAAAGGTTAACAAAGATGTTGAATTTTTTTTCCAGAGAATCGTCCCGAAGAATCATTTTTCAGTAAACTAGATTCTAGTCTTAAGAAAAATACAGCGTTTGTGAAAAAATTAGTAAGTAGAGTAGCGATGATCTCTAATTGAGGTAGAATGTTTGAACTTGATGTAGATGTTTGTCTAAGTTCAATGATGAGCATTTTTTACTTATGCAAAGTAGCTGTCCCTCACAGCATTTGAAACACAATAACTCTGCTTAGAATTGGGGTAGAATGTTCGAACATGGTATAGATGTTCGTTAGGTGAATTGATTGAGGTTAATGAGGAGCAGAGATATGCAATTTGATTGATCAGTGCTTTGGAACACAATAACTTTGCTTCTACTTCTAATAGTTTCATTAAACCAATACCTTAACTATATATGATAACGATAATTTTTTTTTCTATTTTAAGCGTAACCTGGTTGATTCACAGAAAGATGCTCTGATTAAAGATTTTAATGGTTTAAATTTATCTAAGTATATAGGAGAATGTGTAAGTAATTTATTGTCACCTTATTATAATATGTCATATTTCATAATTTCATTTACACAGTGATTTTTGGACAAGGAACTGATCCCCAAGTGCTACTCTTCTTCTTCTTCTTGTCAATTCAAGTACAATCAACATGAAATTTGACATAGTTATTCAATTTTTCAGAAGACGTCACAATTCAAAAATGATGGCGAAAACGCCATTCTTGGTTCCTGGTCCGCTTAATACTGTTGTATAATTTCAATGCAATTATGATATCTAGATAGTCTTTAATATTACTAAGTAATAACATTGAAGTTCAGTCGTATTATGTTCATTTCAGGCATCTGCTTTAGCAGATACGAAGCTAAAGATGTCTGATGTCAACTGTGCTGTACATCTCAGTAGTCTGATACATCAAAGATATGCTGATTTCTCTACGATGTTGAAAGATAATTTTCAGAAAGTATTGTTGAATAAGAAGGATGAAAAGGTAAACAAGATTGCCTGTGTATTGTTAGTTTTTATTGTTCAGAATAATGACATATTTGCACAGTTATCATATGGTTTATACAATTGGGAGTCGCTTGATGACTTACATTTCTTTACCCCATCTTACACTGTAACCCAGGTATCGTTTAATCTTGTGTATCTAGCTCTAATTTCTTTCACATTCGTTTAATATCCAATCTTTGTTTAAAAATTTGTAAAAACTGTTTATAAAATCACCATAAATCGTTTAATTTGTACTTCTGTCCAGTTTAAAGCTGACCATTCAATTTTGATAATGAGTGTCCAACTTACAAGTGTTTAATTTCTCAATCATTGTTAAAAAATAAACAACCCAATTGATTAATGATGTATAATGATTAATTTTTGAACAGTGATCAGGAAATTAAATACTTGTAAATTGGATACTCATTATCAAAATTAATCAGTCAGCTTTAAACTGGACACATGTACAAATTAAACGATTTATGGTGATTTTAAACAGTTTTTATAAATTTTTAAACAAAGATTGGATATTTTCGACTGTGAAAGAAATTAGTGCTAGATACACAAGATTAAACGATACCTGGGTTACAGTGTTAGCACCAAACAGAACATTCTTTAATATTATTACCACTCCTTAAAAGTTATTTCTCTGCAAGATATAGAAGATATTGATTACTTTGCAATTTTCTTCTAACACCTGCTGGCCGGTTGAATAAAATACAGAGATAACACATCTTATTCAAGAACACAAAGATTAGACATTCGCCAAATTGAGTTGAACTGCATGGTTAGTAACAGACCTAGTGCACTTACCGCTGTGTCAATCCTATCCCTGAAGCATAATCATAAGATTGTGTATGCACATGGATCTGTCTTTATTGAAATATGAACAAACACAAATATAAACTTAAATCAATGGGGATATTTATGATATATTTTTCAGATTAGCAATGCAAGTAAATATCGAGTAGATCTAAGATTATTTGCGGAGTTATTATCAGTAGAAGTTATATCTTTTAAAGAAGGTTTACCTATATTAGCTAATCAACTATCATATTTAATTATCAATGATAAAGAGGAACATAATCACCTATCTATTATATCTAGTTTCTGTAAACACTGTGGAGATGACTATGCTGGTCTTATTCCTCGGAAATATCGGTAAGATTACAGCTGTGTCTGTCTTTGAAATATGTGATGTGTTCGATTAAGTCACAAAGCCATAAAGAAGTGAAATATGAGATGGTTTAAATTAAGTCACAAGGTCATAAAGAAGTGCCTATTAAGTCACAAAGTCATAAAGAAGTGCCTTTGAATTATGGGATGGGTTGCATGACATGAAGTCAGAAAGAATTGCCTTTAAAATATAGGATAAGTTAAATTTATTCATTATTCATGTGTCCCTTTGTTTTATCTACCGTATGTTGATGTGTTTGATTTGTCAATTTTAATTCAGGATGTACTGACCTTGATTGACGAAATATTGCAATGATTCTGAATTTTACTGCTTGTTGTGTATTATGATGTGATTGCAATTTCTTAAGCTGATATTGTTCATACCGAATTCTATAGATGTTGACAAATTTTATTTGATAAAAATTATTTTTCTCTACTTGATCAGGTTGTTGGCTGAGAAATATGGGAAAGAAATCCCCAGGAGTAGAGTAAGTAAACTATATCTTATAAACAACTAATTTAAATCTTCTGATGGTTATCTTGCCTTCAATGTAAGGTATATAATAGTCGTACAGATTTTTATTTTGTAAAGCAATTTCAATTATGGTTGTCATGTGATCATTGTGCAGTTTGTCTATCGTCTACGAATGAATAAAAACTTTGCAAGTTACGTGATAGACAAAACCAACAATTTGTGTTAAATATGAGGAAATGCCATGGTGCAGTATCAGCTTATTTTGGCTACAGCAATTTTTGATACTGGCCGTAGTTGAAAAATCCTAATTTCCATTGATGTTACTGATGAACTATATCTTATTACAAATGTTTCTCTTTATCCATCGAATAAATGAAGACAGTAATTTATTCAGGAATTTTACTGACATGGCCTTCAAACCAATACGTGAATTAAATATGGAAAAGTTTCAGAATGGTGTACTTATTTGTCATTATTTTTTTGTGGAAATAACATATATTAGCCTATTCAGAATGCGACATTAACCATAGCAAATTACCAAGAATTAGTTTTGTTGAAGTCTGGTTATATTAAAGGGATTTGGAGCTTATAGTTACCCTATTTCCTACAGAGAACTCATTTTATCCAATTCTGGCCAGTTCGTTTCAAAATGGATTAAGAACCCTGATCCAGACTCAAATAATTATTTTGGCAAATTTTGAAGTAAAGATATTTATTGTGATAGTTGATACAGTGTGTTGACAAGATCTAGTTTTTTTATAGTTATATATTATCTTCAGATGTTACCACCTAAACGTCAGGGTCCATGTAGAAATCTACTGAAAGATTATTATACATCATTATGTAATCATTTAACAAAAGATCACAAGAAATTAAAAACCATGGAAAAACAGAACAGAAGAATGTTAATTGTAAGATTAAATGATTTATTATTTTCTGTATTAAATTTTCTTATATGATAACCATGTAGCATAGCTTTCATTTCAAACTTGTACCATTTAGACAGTTTGAAATGTTTTCAGAGTCACTGTCCCTGCTACTGAAAACTTGTACACAGGTCAGAGTTTTTATACCAGAATAACTGGACCTGTTCTACTAGTCTTAACTAAGGAAGAATGCTACATAATTCAAAGGGTTACTGCACTTATCACCGAAACCTTGTAAATCTGCTTGTAAATGTTTTTTTCATAATTACTTGAATTGTTAGGCCAGTGCTAAGGAGAATCCTATCCAAATTCAAAGTCATGTAAAGATTTTTTTCACAGTTACTGCACCTGTCACCAAAACCTTGAATGCAATGGTAGTGGCTTTTACTTTAAAGGTAGTGGCTTTAAAGCCACCTTTAAAAAATGCTGCTGATGGAAAAAGCTAAATGATGTTTTGATCTGTTAATTATTTATGTTTTAATTCTTTATTTAGACTAAAGGTGAAGTCAGTACAGAAAGAAGGGAAGTCTATGAAGCAGCTCATGGGGCATATCAAAAACTGTATGCAGCAACAGCTACATTTGTTGTAAGTAATACTAATTGATAATTAGCCACCATTATATTGGTAAAAAATATAATAAAAGGAAAATGGTTTATGATGATGCTATTTTTTATTGTAGGATTTATTAGATGAAGATATGCCAGATTTACCTGATGAGGGTAAGAGTAATATGACTTATTTATTTAAGATATAGTAGTTTGCTATCCATCTATAATCCAGAACAAAATATCTGCACTGTAATAATAATAATATGTATATTTATACTGCACACAGTTCCATGCTAGTATGCATGCTCAAGGCGCTACCCCTAAACAATTCTCCATTTAACACTGACCCCTCACAATGTTTAGCGATTCAGTAATGCTAAAGTGTGCATCTGTTATAAATAACTGAATAATTAAATGATAATGTTTGTTAGTTCTGACAAATTTAAAAGCATGTCCGGAATATAGACACAGCCACTAGCTGTAGATTTCTCTATTTCACTGTCATCTGTTATGTTTATTGTTTTTAAAAGCTATCATATATGGTGTCAATTAACTTGTTTTCTATCTTTAGAAATAAAATTAGACGGAGACGAGAGTTTCTTTGATATTTTTAGTGCTACAGGAGGAGAGGTAGGTATTAGAATAAAAAAACATTGATTGTTTTGCAACCTTAGTCCATTAAATCATGCAACAGTTCATTACACATATTATTGCTCCTCATCACAACCTTGTGCATGGTCTACAAGCTAAAGAAGTGATTGATTCCATGAACACCAGCTTTCAGTTTCCGAATACTATAAATCAATAGACAAAGTATTAACTAATGATATTGATTATATAGTTTCAGTTGGAAGGTGATATAACTTTATTTGAAGATGAAGATACCAGAACATTTTACGAAACTTTACCAGATTTAAAAGCTTTTATACCAGGGGTAAAGTTATGTTTTTCAAACTTTAGCAACTGCTCAGTCATTGTCTTTCCACAACCCTACTGTAGTAGGCTGTTCGCCTTGTTTTTCTCCAAAATAATCAACCAAAAAAATGTCAGTAGTTTCAAAAAAGCAACGTTTGCCTCTCAAAAATCATACTTACCAGGTGTGCTCTTTTCTGTCACATGGCAATTGGAAATGACTCAGAATATATATTCAGTCAATTATACATTTGACCATACTTTATTTAGCTAAAAGTGAGGCATAGAGAAAGGTGACATGTTTGACTTTTATAATCTATTAAAATAAAAACAATTTTTTTAGATTTTATATAAAGACAGTGAAAATTCACAGGCAGCTGAAACAAATGTGAAAGATATAGATTCTACTTTAGAACTAGGTAAATATTCTAAAGCTTGCTCAATCTTTAAGTTTACTACCCAAAATCTAGATATTTTTATTTTTTTAAATGTCTTTATTCTGATCAGAAAATACAAATCTCATTTCCAAATTAAAGAAACTAAGCCAAGATAAAGTGTTGAATTGCATTGATCTGATGTATGTCTTTGATTTGTGATAAGACCATATCAATACGATTTAATTTTTGTTTGGAAATATTTTGCAGAAGTCAGTCTGTTTACTTTTTTTAATTTTGCTTTCAGCTAAACCTGTTGACTCATCAACACAAAATCAGTTAGATCTCAGATACCCATTTTGCAAACAAATCAACACATCTATTGACACTCTTTTTTATATTCAAATGAAAGATGTCTCATCTTTTTAAGCTCTATATATTTCATGATCAAATTATTGTGGAAATTTATGTTTAAAAATTACTATATGAAACAGAACTGATGTTTGATTAAACAGATTTGTAGATCAGAAAAAAGAAAGAATTCTGCATTTCCTTTAGTTAATTATTACAAAAAACAGTTGATGCATTATCTTCATTTTGAAAATGATCTAGTCACTGTGACTGTTAAATTATATATTATTATTTTCTATTAGAGATAGATGTAGAAGATCTAGAGAAGGAGATTGAATCAGAGATATCAGTTGAAGAAGCTCTAGATACTGATGGTAAAGAAACAGAGGATGGAACATTTCTACCTCCTGAAGCGGAAGGTAAGACCAAGTAGTGGGTAATGGCCTGGTCATTCTCTGTTTGTCAGAATAATTTATTTCTTGCAGATGGGGATCTAAGACTGATGGGGGATTATTTTATACTTATTACACGAACCAGGCTAATGAAGACAGGATATTGGTGATACATTAATTATAGATGGAGATAATGAGGCTGGTAGTTTAATGTGATCTTTTTATTACAGATGGTGGTAATGGGGTTGGTAGTTTATTCTGATCTCTTTATTACAGATCATGATACCGAGATGGATAGTTTAATGTAATCAAGTTATTACAACGGTGATGCTGAGACTGGTATTTTTATATAATCTGTTTATTACAGATCGTGATACTGAGACAGATAGTTTAATGTGATCTATTTATTACAGATTGTGATACTGAGATGAATAATTTACTGTAATCTATTTATTACAGTTTGTGATACTGAGATGGATAGTTTACTGATCATGATACTGAGACAGATAGTTTAATGTAATCTATTTATTACAGATCATAATACCACAGGCACTTGAAGGGATTTGGAATATACTACTGTTTGACTATATATTATAGTATTAATAAGGTTTAAAATACAGATGTGACGTCACCCTTTGATGTTTGAGTACCATTATTTCAAATAATCGTACGGGCAATGTGCCAAGCGTAACTTGGTAAAATATTGAACTCGAGTGACGTATTTCATTGCAAAGCACGTGCAAGTGTCTGTATTTTAAGTTGCTTAATGGTCTCGAGCTTAAGACATTGCGTAATATATTGTAAAAACATTCGGGCCTCACGGCCCTCATGTTGTTACAATATATTACTTAATGTCTCGCTCGAGACCATTAAACAATACTTATCACCTGCCATTTTGTTTTAACTTGTTGACGCCATTTTGTCTGCTATCATCTCACAATACTCACTAGTTCTAGCACTTTCCCATCGTTTTTATTGCCAACAAGACTTTATTTGATCCTTATACAGCTTCTAATATAGTTAAATTTGTCATTTTACAGCGTTATTAATTATAAATTAACCCTGAAGCGCTATCACTTGGTGTTTATCTACTTTGTTGGACCGGAAGTAACGCCAGACAAAGTTGTGGTTGTGGATCCTCTAAAAGTCACAATTTTTGTCCGATTTTGATGAAACTTGAAATGTATGTTTATAACCCAGAGATCTTGGTATCTTTCGATATTCGCGCATATCAGACTATAACTTCCTGGATTATGGCCCTGATTGTACGAAAAATCATGTATTTTAGCTTGTGAATTCTCTAGAGGTCACAATTTTTATCCCATTTTAAAAACCGTTTAAATATATCACCATAATGACCTCTACAGGAACCACAACCTATTTGCGTACAGGCAGCGTCCATTTTGTTGGGCAGTTTCTGTCCAGTTTTCATAAAATTCAAACTCATGGTGGTTAAGTTCGAATTTCGGGAAAGTTGGAACGAAACTGTCCGACAACATGGTCGCATCTTTAATGGAAATTGTGTAAAAGTATGTAATACAAAGATTGTGGACCCTCTATAAGTCACAATTTTTATTGGATTTTTGATGAAACTTAAAATAGATATTTGCACATTTCACACCATAACTTTTGGGATTATGGTCCCTGATTGCAAGAAATTTCGCTTTTGTTTTTTTAGCTTGTTCTCTACCCATCTCTTGCAAAATGTGGGCGTATCTTGCCTGGCAACCCCTGGTTGTATACTTTTATTTAATTCATATTCATTTGTTATTATTTTATAATTCATGTAAATTATTAATATTTTTAATTTAATCACATATTTGAATTATGATTATTTTTACAATCCTAGTATAGGTAATATTAATCCGTAACACAATGCACAATAATTCTTTTGCCTATGAATTATAAATACCCGATAACAGGATTTTTTTGTAACCAGTTGATAAAGGCCTTGCACCCGACTCGCGTCCTGGAATAAAACATCTCTTCATCTAATACAGTCTTGTCAAGTTCATTGCTTAGGGAATATTACCTATACTTCATTTATTTATGTTGTAACGTATGGTGAGAATGGTAGTTTAATGTAGTTATTACAGATAGTGAAACTTGTAGGTTCATGCTATCTATTTATTATAGATGGTGATACTGAGACTGGTAGTTTAATGAAGAGTCAGTTTGAGACATTTTTACAATCATTACCTAATTGTGTTAATAGAGACCACATAGATAAGGTAAGTACACTGATTTCTATTTAAGCTGACAGAATGTTTTCATCCAAAATTTTCAAACCTATGATTTGTCTGTCAGATTAGTTGTAACTTGAATTATTTTCAAAGGCATCACAAAATATATTAAAAGTATTATAGATACAGAATTGTGATGTAAATACTGTGAAATATTGAAAAAGAATCAGATGTATTTATATAATATTCTGTTTTTATTTTAAAGGCAGCCATAGAATTTTGTATGAATTTTAATACCAAATTTAATCGAAAGAAATTAGTTCGAGCATTATTCACAGTTCATCGAACAAGGTAAATTACTTGGAACAGGTGTATTCACACATTATGTGTGTACAATGTGTATTGAGATAATTTTAGAGGAACAATATTACAATAAAATAATATTATTCTAGAATTCTTTGTTTCAAAATTTAGATGGCTATAAAATCACAATGACTTTTAACAAACCAAAAATTTCATATTGAAAGTTAGGTATAATTTGTCTGGAAGTTAAATATTGGTCCAGACTTTGAATATGAGTTGAGGTAGAATTGTGACCAATGTGATCCATCTCTATTCTAGATATGATTTACTACCATTCTATTCCCGACTAGTAGCTATATTAAATCCTTGTATGCCAGATCTAGCTACAGAACTTGTACAGTATTTAAAAGGAGATTTTAAATGGCATGTAAGTTGAACACAATATTTTTATCTGACTTTCAAAGTTTAAATGTACAGCAAGATTTTTTTTTTTTTTTTAAAAAGAAGAGCAAAGTTGTAAAAAGATGGTGTATTATTTATTTCAGGTTTGTAAAAAAGATCAGATTAATATTGAATCAAAGTTAAAGACAGTTAGATTTATAGGTAAGGTGAAGAATGCAAGAGGTCATAATATTGATGTTTACTGAATTTCTTCTGATGGTTATGCATACTATTCAATTAATGTTTGTTTTACCCATAGATGCATATTAGAAGAAAAAAAAATTGAATGACAACCTAAAGTGCCCATGAACATAGCAGATATATGTACTCTAAAGCAGAAACCCCATACTGATGTATTAGATTCATTGAATATTATTGTATTGATATTATTTTCTTAGAATCTATTATTATTCTAGAATTTGCAGTATTTTATACATGAATATATTATTAAAGTTATGTGGGTCTTGCAGGTGAAATGGTGAAATTTAAAATGTGTCCAAAAGTAGAAGCCCTCCATTGTATGAAAGTAAGTTTGTTAAAAATTTTAATGCTGTCATATGGATTGAATCAATGTAGAAATTTGAGGATGTATGAATTATACATGATTCAGTTACTTGAGAGATCCCTCTTGATCATTAGGTCTAATCAAATGAAACATTATTAGTATTGAGGAGGCTGTAAAGCAAGGCAATTTTTGATCATTTTATGAATAAATTAATTGCTAAAAAAAATGTTGCATGTTTATTTGTGATGTATTTTCAGAAATTGATGTTTGATTTCCGTCATCATAATATAGAGATGGCATGTTCTTTATTAGAGGCCTGTGGTAGATTTTTATATAGATCGCCTGATTCTCATCATAGAACACGAGTTTATCTGGTATGTCTTCTGTTTTATCAAGATGTTATTTTAAATTTTACTTAGTATAGCATACTTTTTCCAAATAAAATGTAAGACTAAAAGGGCGGCTTATCCTACTAAGAATTTTGTCTGGAAATTTCAAATCATCAGTTTCAAGGTCCAGATACAATATTTTTTTTCAAAAAATTTGTCTTAGAAGTCTGTTAAGATGCATGCAGAAAACTGACTAGCTTCAGTTGTCAGTATCTAATTTCCATTTTCTAGCCATCTTTGGGCATTTCAAAAGGAGAAAGCTTTTATTTATTTATTGTAGAAGGAAAACATTAACAGTATTGATTGCCACTGACTGCAATAAACCTAAAGAATATTTAAAACAAGTGATTACAATTGATTTATGTGTGTAAATATATGTTATATATTCTGTATTTGTATTATATTTTAGGATGTAATGATGCGTAAGAAGTCAGCGTTACATCTGGATCCTAGATATATTACTATGATAGAGAATGCTTACTTCTATAGTAATCCTCCTGAAGCTCAACAGATTGTACGAGTAGAAAGACCACCCATTCATCAATATATCAGAAAATTACTTTATAAAGATCTCACTAAAATAACCACAGAAAAAGTAAAAAAATTTCTTAATTACGAAAGGGGTTTGGTGGGCAAATGGTCAAACATGTACGCTTCAGATCATAAGGTCTGTTTCGATCCCACACTTATACGTGACAAGGAGTAAGCACCTGTCTAACCTTGTTGGTTTTCTCCAGGTCTTCCGGAGAAGCAGATTATTGAAATAAAATTTTGCCATATATTAATCCGGAAATGACCCCATTTCTCTCCCACTTTGTTGATTATGAACAAAATCAAAAACTAATGGTCACTGATTTTGATAAAGCTTTTGTTGCTAATATTTTATGACTGCATAATGTTACGTTGTAAAACTGAATAATCTATCATGGTTTGTAGCAAACACAACATGAAATTAAAGATTTTATCATTCACAATATATAGTAGTGAGTGTTCAACTAGTGTTTTATGAGAGACAACTGTAAGAATAATTTTGCCTATTGCTTCTTACGTTACAGGTATTAAGACAGATTAGGAAATTAGATTGGGATGATCCAGATGTATGTATATTTTATTGAATGAAGTTAGTTGCTACATCAATTTTATGTTTAATATGTGACCAGATGTTATTCTCAACTTAAACTTTTGACATATTTTAAATAAAATTATTTTTGCCCAAACTCTCTCCTTGGGCTGCCTTGCCTCTAAAAGATCAATGTAAAGTTTGAACAGTTATGACCAGTATATTTTATATTTCAGATAGCATTCTATGCTACAAAATGTCTAACTGGTGTATGGAATACTAGATATAATTCTATACATTGTATGGCTAATCTTATAGCTGGTCTAGCACCATATCATGTAAGTAAATATACACTTTTTCTTTTAATTAAGATTTCTAATTTCGATAACTATGGTATCTTTCATGAAAGAACAGTCTCAGGATGTGTGCTTCAAGACACAGTCTTGTAAGGTTCTATAGCATCTGATTAAAACTATTCACTGAACATCATTATTATTGTTGTAGTTTTATGTCCTAACCAAGATTAAGGTATGAAGTTATTATATATTTATAGGAACATGTAGCTATACAAGTAGTAGATGGGGTTTTAGAAGATATTAGGTTAGGTATGGAGGTAAGTTGTACTAAAAAAAAACAGGTGGTGTAATGGTTATACAGTGAATGAAATGTGGTTTTATGGCACGTCAGCTCCAACCAGGCTATGTTGTGCCAAATGGTTATCAAGGTCCATAGTCTAACAAACAGGTGGTCTTACTAATGTTAAAGGGTTTTTTTTTACTTTGGAAACAGTTCTAAAATGTCATCAGAATCTTGACATATTGAGTAGTTAATAAAATGATCAGTGAGAAGTGAGATTTTCGACTTTATCTTGATTAAATCAAAAGCTTGTACAGATTCAGATTGATGACATATTTGTATATTTTTAGATAAATCATCCACGATATAATCAGAGACGAGTAAGCAGTGTTAAATATCTTGGTGAATTATATAATTATAGAATGGTTGAATCAGGTGTTATATTTAAAACACTTTATACATTTATTACATTTGGTGTCTCCATGAATGGTATGTTTCAATTTAACTTATCTACATATGCATGTATGACTGACAAGCAAGATCCAGTTTATCTTCTAAAATTATTTTGTCATGCAGGGATACAATAAACATTGGAATGTTCAAATATGGCTTGTCTTCTACACAATAGCTTGCTAATCAAGCAAGAGGTTAAAACAGCTGTATTTCAGTGAGGTGTCCTGCACGAACTTGTGGGGTTTCTACATGTTATCCCCCTGCTCAAGACCCTTGCACATAAAGTTTTTGAAATAAATGTGTTGAGTTGATGTTAAATACCTTTCTCATTGAAAATAGTAGACAATACTAAAAAGCTAATCAGTATGCCCAAGAATTGTACAAATTATTTAAGAGAATTATATTCATTGCTCAATATTTATAGAATTATTATTGTTTGATATTATATTATAGAGAAAGATATATCTACATTAGATGCACCAGATCATCTGTTTCGTATAAGATTAACATGTGTTCTACTAGAGACGTGTGGTCAATATTTTGACAAGGGATCAAGTAAAAAGAAGTTAGATTGTTTTCTTATCTATTTCCTTGTGAGTATACTTTAATCTTTTAATCAGTTTCTATTTCAAGTACTCTAGATGGCTTTCAGCAAGCAGTTTTCATAATCACTATTAGAGATTTCACTGCACTGGAAAATCATTGAGAATTGAGGAAATACCATTAGATTCTCATTTTGAATATAGTAGTCATGTTTAGTTCATTTGGTATAACATTATTTTATTCAGCTAAAAGATGTCGGCAAAAGGTTAAAAAAAAAATCACTTTCACTGTTAGATAATTGTTTTGAATCTACAAAATGAAATTGGTTTGTACCACTGTCTAGTATAAAGACAACTATTTATAAAGTTTTGATGGTAATTGTCAAATTTTCAATGCATCTTTTAGAAACTGTGTGTCTTGTATTGTAGGATGCTGTGTTTAAGGTCAGAATATCTAATTTCTCTATCCTAAGTTTACAGATGATAGCTAGTGTAATCAACTGACTCCAACATGATTATTAATATACCGGTTCATTGCTTTCTTTAAAATTTTAGAGATATTACTGGTATAAAAGAAGTCAGTCTATATGGACAAGTGATCATCCATTTCCAATAGATATAGGTAATCTAGTACATGACACAATGGATGCTATACGACCAAAGTTAAAACAACCAAAGAATCAGGAAGAAGCATTTAAAGCTGCTGAGGAGTTGGATAATGAATATAAATCAAAGATATGTAAGTGTATACAATTGATTTTATTATCTAACTTTATTTGTTTCTCATTATCTTATAAAATTTATATTGTAAATCTTTTCATAATATGTACAAAGTAATTGTTCATATGTACAGTAAATCTGTTTGTAGTATATTTCATATTCCTTGTATGAGAAGAAGGGTCATATAGGCTATGCCTGTTCCCTGATCCGATTTCATACATATTGTTTATAAAAAAAAGAGATAATAAGTAAGTATGCATATGAAATGCATCTATTGTTACACTGACAATGGCTGCTACTGAATATCTTCTGATTAAACAGACATTATGCAAGAGCTAAATCTGCCTATTGCCGGTCTTTTTTTAGGCCTGAAATGTTATTTAAATTATTAATTAGACATTAATTAACTTATCCAGACCATAATCAACACTCAATGTCAATGCTAGCCTGCGATATTTACTCGATTAGGATCCGATTTGCTGCTCAACTTTCATTCATGATTTCGGTTCAGAGTGGGAACTGCCAGGTCTTTATCTAAAATCTCCCATAATGTATCTTTAATTAAATTCAGTTTGACAATTTCATTGCATATTGTCATCATTAACAGTTAATCAATAATGTAAAATTTCAGGATGGATAGAATTTTTATTTATGTATTATATTTACAGCATCTCTGTTAATTGTTGAAACTGGTGACGAAGATGACGAGAATATAGAAGATGATGAGGATGGGTTAGCTACGATTAATGAAGCTGATGAAGCAGGTACACAATTAAAGTTTTATATCCTCACTGGTATTATTTTATAGATCGGACATTGGGCTTCTTATTGAACTGTTTAATGAATTAAGTCTGTAATCTGTTACAATTGCCATGCAGAAAACTGTTAATGTAAAAAACAAAAAAGAAACAAAAGTACAGGTTGAGAAATGTGTTTATTAAAAACATACTATATTTCTATATGTATCTGTGTAGTTGATGAATTAAGTGAAGATCTATCTCAAGTTTATGTTGATGAAGTGGCTACAGGCGAAAGTGAACCAAGTCAGGATGATAGAAGTCAAAGTCAACAAGATGCCTGTACTTCTAGCCAAAATATAGAGGTTAGTACCATATCTCTGGGTGATGCACCCCCATAACAACAACAGTTAGCTGTTCTTATCAGGAAACAGTCTGGCTCCTGAGATATTGTAATATACATTTATTACTAATTTCTAGATTTAATGCCCTTGTTTCACTCTGTGAACGCTTTAATGACAAAAGTTATCGTCTGATCTGTATTAAATTTACATGCATTATTTGAATTAGTAAATCGAAGAAGAGTATTGAATTTCAGCAATTTCCATTAATAACTTGCAGAGTTATGGCCCTTGTTTCACTTTGTTGGACCTTGAGAACTGTCTATCAAGAAAATTTATCATCCGATCTATATGAAATTTATATGCATTATTTAGATCAGTAACACAAAGATTTCCGTATATAAATTCTAGCGTTAGGCCTTTGTTTCACTTTGTGAACACTCTAATAAAAAAAGTTATCAACTGATCTGTTTGAAATTGATATTGGTGACTTGTAAATGCTCCCATTACCTACAAAAGAATACATATATGCGACAACCCTTGTCGACTGCTTAGGTGATTTAGCTGCTGTGGGCGAATGTTTCGTTGCCAGGCAACCTATCTTGGTACTCGATATTCTCAGGGACAGTCTTGGCACTTCTGCTCAAAATCTGTAAGTTTGTTGGTCTCAAAAATACTGTGTTGTTTGTATATTATATAGTAATGTAGTGATAGTCAGGGAGATGATATAATGTGTTGTTAATATTATATAGGAATGTAGTGATAGACAGGGAGATGATATAATGTGTTGTTTATATTATATAGGAATGTAGTGATAGTCAGGGAGATGATATAATGTGTTGTTTATATTATATAGGAATGTAGTGATAGTCAGGGAGATGATATAATGGAGTCAGCAGGAGAGGAAGCAGATGATGAGGTATGTTTATATTTCCTAACCGCTTGGTAATTAATTAGAAACCCCTTCATGTCAACTCAGAGCTGGTATTTTTAAGAAGCTCTGTGTCATCATACCATATTTTGAGATGATAAAAACAGTCCATTTTCTTTAAAATGAATTCCATTTTTCTACAGCAAACGCTTTTTCCAAAAGCTGCAAGTTTCCACTTTGGTATCACTAGCTGATTGCACTTATTTGAACGCAATTGTCTTTTAGAAATATATAAAACAATTTTGTACCGTGTGTTTTTTTTTTTTATATTATTCAATAGGTTACTTTGATAAGTGGTGGTCCTAAATATGTACAGTGTCAAGAAGATGAAGATTTTCTATCAGCTTTTGATAAAATGATGTCTGAAAATTTAAAGGTATGTGAAATTTGATGCAAAGAGTAGAAATTTGCAGTACAAATAGTACAAAATGTTAATTTATTCTATAAGGAGGGATTCACTGTGGCTCAGTGACTAAAGCTCTGGCTCACTAATCAGGAGATCTGGTGTTTGATCCTGGTGTTGGTCAAAAAAGTTATCTCAAGATTTTTCAGTGTGTTTTCCTCTGGTCAGAGATGCGGGGGATCACAGTGGCTAAGTGGATAAGACGCTGACTCGCTAGCCTTTAGGTCGGGTGTTCGATCCCTGCATTGGCCGAGAAAGTTCATCCAGATTTTCCGGCTTGGTTCCCCCTTGTCAGTGATGCAGGATGGAGGGCCTGACAAGGACAGCTGTCTAGTCGTTCGGATGGTACGGAAAACTGAGGTCTCGTGTACACATTGGTGTGCACATAAAAGATCCCTTGACAGTTGGAATTCAATATAAGAGTAGGCCGTAGTGCGACTGTAATTTCCCTCATAGCACACTGTATGGCGTATGCCCGTCTTCATTAGCCCAGTTCAGAGCAGAACAGTAGGACGTTAAACCCAATTTCATTTCATTTCATTTGGTCAGAGATGCAGGCCAGGGGTCCTTGAAGGAGCAGTGTTTAGTTGTATGGATGGGACAAAAAATGGAGATTCTGTATACACATTTGTGTGCACGTAAAAGAAACCTTGACAGTTGGAATTCGAAATAACAGTAAACCATAAAGCCACTGTTGGGGTAAAATTTCCGTCATAGCACACTGCATGGCGTATACCAATCTTTATTAGCTCAGTTGGTGCAGAAAAGTAGGAAGTTACATCCCATTTCATTTCATATAATATTGTATAAGGAAGATGGCAATAGAGATAAGAGTCAAACATTTTTAAATAATTGGTTTATTTGTTTTAGTCAAGAACACGAGAAGCTGTTAAAGTGCCTCAGATGGATATTATTGTTCCCATGTATCTAAAAGATAAACGTAAAAAAACAGGTGAGATGTTTAAACTTTCATCAGCATGTGATTAAAATAGAAAACTGATTGGTATTGCTACAGGATGGCTTGTCATCTGAAAGAACCTTATCTGATTTCAAAGTGATGTATATGTTTCTTTCAAGGTAATCCGAATCCAAATCTATTTGCGGATCCCCCACCAGATGATATTGTAGAAGAGGAGGAAAACACAAAATCATTAAACTTTCTGTTGATGACAAGAAAAGGGAACAAACAGCAGGTAAGGTATTATTTATAGATGGTGCTTTAAATCCTGTAGTTAGTAAACTACTTGTTGTCATTTGGATAATAGGAAGAAGTGTATAAAAATTTGGGAGAGTGATGCAGTTTATCACAGAGTTACAGTCCCTTAGACTGAGATTTCTTGAAAAAAATGCTGCTGATGACTTGATGATGACCTTATTACTGGAATGTTTTAAAGCGAATGGTGTTGATGGTATAGATAAATTTGTTCATGGTGCAAAAACAATCGGGAAAGGGCTGCCACTATACTTTGAAACTAAGATAATTTTCAAATTGCTTCATTTTAGTTTACCAACCTTAAAGTGCCAGCTTCAGCAGACTTTGTTTCAAAGTTCAGAGAAAGAGAAAAGGAAGCATTAGAAGAAAAAGAAGAAATGAAACAAGTTGTGTTAGGTATACATGAACGACAGGAAGAAGAAGATTGGCAAGGTAAACAATCACTATATTTGTAACTTCACATAGATAATGAACTCTGTGGATCTCAACTAATAATAGGCGATAATACTGTTTTATATTTAAAAACTCACTGTGATATCAAATCAAATATTGATACATAAGCTTATCGTGTCTCAGATAACGTGGCTGTTTTATCTATCTGTTTTTTCAAACATCAAACCTACTAAGATCCCTGGTTGTAGCTATGGCTCAGGTTGAGCTCAAAGAAACATCATGTAGTTAGAATATGAGTGCAGGTCAGACATAGAAGTCATTCTTATCAGATTATCAAAGCCCGGAATGAAGTTTGATATGATCAGCCTACAGTTGATAACGCAAGCATAAGGTACATGTAGTTTAGGACTGACATCAGTTGTAAGGTTTCCAAACTTTTGATAATTGTTTATTTGTGGATATGGTTGCCCACTATGAATAGAAATGAATTGTTTATTTGTAGATATGATTGCCACTATGAATAAGAATGTTACAGGGAATGTTAATCGTGAACGTAAAGTACGTTACAATCATCCTAAAGGTGCCCCTGACGCCGATCTTATCTTTGGTTCCAAGTGAGACAACTGATAATTCATCTTTAGTTGTGGTTTGTTTCTTATATTAAGTTTACTTTTTATAATAGAAGGATAGCAATGATTTTTTTTTAATCTGAACTCAATATATTAAAATATCATGTCCACAGTATTATGTGCTGACTAGAGTAAATAATACTGAATCCAAATTTTTCTAACTAGGTACTCTTTGTCATTTTTATCCTTCTATAATTTATTTAATAAGACAGTCTCTACAACCCTACTGCCTTATCCAGCAGATTTACAAAAAGGAATTAATGGTTATCTTTTAATCTCATTCCGTGTAATTGTTTAAAATCCTATATTATATGATCTCAAACAAGGGCCAATGTCCACCAGATGTGACAATTACAATGGAAACAACAACTTCTGTTTTTGACCTAGTTTGACAACTATAAAGATAATATCACAATAAAGATTATTGACTTTTTTGTATGTCCACATTTCATGTCTTGAGTCACAAGTTCAGTTCCTCAGAGCTTTGAAGTAGTCTGCTTAATTGACATATTATCAAGAACTCAATTATAGACACTGTCTGTTCAAGCTATTTATTTGTTACTAGATATAGATGTTTTTTATTATGTTGTTTAATTATGTTAGTTCAGTTTTGAAAGTCTTCTATTTTTCACTAGTTAAGTTTTATATTTTACATTCATTATTGTAATGTTCATTTTATAGTAAAGAATATTTAAAGCCTTTAAGAAATGTAAATACATCAAATATTACAGTCTACATTGATGGTACATTGTTTATGATTTCTGCGTATTATGTCTTGTCCATATATTTATTTTTGTGTAAATTATGTGTGGTGCAGTCCCCCTGCACTTACTATTAGAATATGAAATATGGATGGAGGAAGCTCAATCATAAACGTACATTATTAGTATTACAACAGTGTAGTTTGGATTTTATTGACAAAGTTTAATATGTTATTTTACTAATATCTTATTGATGTTTTCTTGGCTTTATTTCAGCAGAAAACGCTGAATCTGAAATAAGAGGAAATACGAAAAAGATATGGTTGTATCTAAAAAGACAAGCAGATGATGCTGTCTGGACCAAATCCACTGATCAATCAACTGGTGAGATCGCAAGATCTTTTATTGGTGGTTGTAAGCAAACACAGACTGGAAAACAAGGACTATATGTTCTGTACCGCTATGTCTTGTGGAAAAGAAAAACTATAAGAATGATTGATTTATTAATATTCATAATTTAGTTCCTGTGTGTTACTTTTACTCAAAATCAATTTTCTGGTTGGAAGACGAGAGAGGGGCTGAGAGTAAATCATTTAATGAAATCAAATTCTGTTTTTGCAAGAAAAGATAAATTCAGCAGTAAGCTATCTGGGATAAACTTAAGATAATTATTTAATATACATTGCTAGATAACTACACAACAGACCACAGACAGAAAAAATCAATACAGGAAACAGTACAATTAGACACCCGTCTTCATTAGCCCGGAAGGAACAGAATAGAAGGACGTTTAACCCCATTTCATTTCACAGTTAGAATCAAAATTATCAGCGATGATAAAATATCATGGAAAAAGGAACTGAAACATCTGTGGTCCTGCCTTCACTTCCTAAAATATTATAATTGATTTTTGGATAAAATCCAGGAAGAATAATGTGATACAGCATAACGGTTTTTACCAAGCATATATTATGTATGGAAATAAATGGGATATCAAGCATCACTTATTATGTATGTGTAGTTCATTGTAAAACTATAAAAAATGTTGGGATTTATTAGGTGTAAATCAAATAAAATCAAATTATTTTCTGAAAAGAAGAATGAAATTTCTGTTAAGTTTGTTTTTTTGAGAATCTCATTGTTGGTGTTGAAAATCATAAAGCCAGTCATATTGCAGTGTTATTATCAAAAATAGTCACGTGTACTCTTAACAGTATGTAGGACGAGAGATAAAATTAAAACTGTGTATATTTCATTTGTTTTATCTGTACTGGTACCAACAGCAAGGTTCTTATCTTTTATTGTGTATTGCGATTTTATTAGAAAAAATGTTATTATTTTGATTGTTTTTTTTTTTTCATTAATATTTTCTAAAGACAAAAACTGACACCAAGGCCATGAATTTTTTTTATGCCTTCATTGCAAGGATGTCTTGCACGTGTTTAAAGTGGTTCAGGCATCAGAAGAACACTCATGTCTGATCTTGAATAAATATGGAATTGCAATTAACATCAATATTTCCTGTCAGGACCATGCAGAATATACATTGATTCTATGGTATTACATTATATTTAGAATTTTCAAAAGAGATAAATTTCATTTCATGATCTTAGGGTCTCATCTGACGAAAGGGGAAGGAAATCTACTAAACTCTGCATCATTTCTGGTGAAGTTTTATTGATCCATTCAAGCCTGGACATAAGGCACCTGTGTCTATGACAGGTACCTTATGTCCAGGCTTTATTACATTATCTCTTAAGATCTCTAATCAGTTAATTTATACGAGATACTGCAACAGTATTGCCAGTATTTGTTTATATTAAGCAGCATTCTGATTTTATGACTGATGTTTTCAGCCTGGTATTTGGTTATAATTATTTATAATATAAAGCCTTAAAATGAACATATACAGACCTATGTCCTAGAAATTCTGAGTGATAATATTATAGCAGTTGGGATAATGTCAGTCAAAGTGTAGTTAATTCTACTAATATATGTATTTTGTTAAGACTACTCTAAATCAAACATGAAGTCTGATTCAAGTAAAGTGTCAACCTTTACGTGTAGGAATTGTCATGCATCAGAAAGTTGAATAAATAAATTCTACTAAACCTGTTTATAGTATTTAAAGATTTTTTTCCATGCAAATGGGAGATGGATTTCATATCAGCAGATTCATGCTTTGCCAAAGTGGAAATACGAGTGTGGGTAGTGTAGCATTTGAGTTAGAATTTGGGGGGTTGGGGGGTTGAATTGTTAGCGCAGTCATTGAATCAACTGCCATGGTTTCAATTCCCTGGTAGTACGTGACAAGAAGTATGTTCGCCTGTCCAACCTTGTGGGTTTTCTCCACGTCCTTCGGTTTCCTCCCACTGCTAAAGACCCTTACACGCAAGCAAAATATTGAAATAAAATTTGACCATATGTTAGTCCTGAAATGACCTAGTGTGTTTTGAGTGGCCGTTAACATAACAAATGAAATGAAATGGAGTTTAACGTCCTACTGTTCTGCTCCTAACCTGGGCTAATGAAGACGGGCATACGCCATACAGTGTGCTATGAGGGAAATTTTGCCCGGACAGCGGCACTACGGCCTACTCTTATATCGAATTCCAACTGCCAAGGGATCTTTTACGTGCACGCCAATGTGTACACGGGACCTCGGTTTTTCGTCCCATCCGAACGACTAGACAGCTTTCCTTGTCAGCCCCTCCGTCCTGCATCACTGACAAGGGAGAACCACGCCGGAAAATCTGGATGAACTTTCTCGGCCAATGCAGGGATCGAACACCCGACCTCCAGGCTAGCGAGCTAGCGTCTTACCCACTTAGCCACGTGATCCCCGCGTTAACATAACACTCTCTCTTTTGAGAGAGAGATTTAGAATTTAATTAATATTTTGATCTGTCATCATATTTTTAGTTAATTACAATTACAGTATAGCTGATTTTAATTTTTTGTTTGTTAGGAATTGAATAAACTAAAATTACCACATTTTAATTGATACAGTATTTACATTATCAACAATCTAAACAAGTTCTAACAATTTATACTGACCATTTTAAAAGGTCAGTCAAAAATTCCAATTTTTGTCCCCAACCTTTCGAAGAAAGCAGGGGACTATTAAAATGGGTTCGTCCATCCCTGAGCAGAACATGCTCATTATCGAACTGAAGTCAAGGTATTGATGTAATGAAATTATACACTAAGTTTCATCACTCTTAAAGGAGCTAAGTCGCTAATATTTTGGACCTAGAAATTGACACAAATGGGTCGCAACGCATACAATATAATATGAATGTATATAAATTGATTTACGTACATTCAATCGTTTCTGTTTTTACTGTAATTTCTAATCAGTTAGGTTTGGCGACATACGCCAGTATTCTCAATCGAATTTCAATTTCTAGCTTCTGGTTATTCCAGTCTACGCCGATAGTATTTATTGGGCATGCTCTCCAGATAAGAATATAGCGTCACCGTTTGACATGACTTGTGGAATATGCCTAGCATCGTTTTTCAAGTCCCTTATTACACATAGCGCTGAAACGCATTATGGTACACGATTCGTGTACCAATTGTAAAATGTTTATTTTGTCTTAAATGTTGGATATCAGAAGGCCATTTTTCCCCGGTAAGATCACAACATCAATGTTGATTTAAACCGACAAATAAATCGTGTTTTCAATGTCGAAGATCTTGGATGATATTGAGTTAGAGACTTAGGTACTTTAATTAGAACTAAAGTTATCGTGTCCCAAAGCATTAACCAATCAAATTGCTTACCCAAAAAGTGTGACGGACAGACAGACAGGCCGACAAACCCATTTTTATAGTCCGCTGCTTTCTTCGAAAGCCGGGAGACAATAAACAGTCCATGCAAATAATAAAAACTCTGCCAATATGAGCATAGCTGAACAACTCTGAATTGAAACAATCTGATTAAAACACAGATCCTATTTCGTTTCGTTTTTATAGTTCAAAAATTTTGTTTTACTTGTCTTTACTACACTTGGATCTGGAAGAGTTGTTATATAACCCGCATTCTGAATGATGTGAGGGATTAGCCAATAAAACGGTCTGGTATGGCGGGTGCTTGGCGTGGGGTGCACGGAACTGTGGGTAACCCACTAGAAGCATCAATGCTGATTGTTAATCATATGTCTGACGCTATAGGGTCAAAAGTCGCTTGTATGACCTCTGACGCGACCTTCCACGGTCAGATCTTCATGTAGTAGAGACCATCGTAAGTATAAAAAACAAAACAAAATATAGATCTGTATTTTAATCAGATTGGAGCAGACTAACACTTTAAGTAACAACACAACTTTGGACCAGTAAATCAGATTTAATCAGTATAAAAATATTTTGTATAACAATTCTATAAACATTATTTTATCAAAAAATTTATCCTTTCATAGTAAGTGCAACTTTTCCTGTTGATTTTCTTGTCTCTACATACTTAAATGCTTCATTGATCTGTAAAGAAATGAAAACATTATATACTATATTTTCACAGATTTACTGTTTGTGACACTGGTTTATATCATTTTGAGATTAACATTTAATTATTTCAACGTACATGTTGAGTGTGCAATACTGAATTCAAATTGTTATGGAATTAATAACATATTTGGCCTTGGTTCTCCGGCAAAATTTCCATCGTAGCACCCTACATGTCGTCTTCTTTAGCCTTGTGCCAACTGTATTAATAGTCAGTCCTGCAAACTTGGTATCAAAATTCCAGTAGCTGCTTCTTCCCCCCAACCCAAAAAACACTACAATACCAAATTACTATCAAAGATATAGGCTTATAACTTCAATAATTCTTAAATGTGAATTATTTTTACCTCAGATAAAGGGAAAGTAGCTCCAACGTGTGGATTAAGTTGACCTTTATTAATAGCTGTTAAAACATCCACAATAGATTGTTGAAAAATATCTGGCTTTGTTTTACTGTAGTTTCCCCAAAATACACCCATGACAGTACACGATTTTAATAATAAAAGGTTTGCTGGTATATTCGGTATTTTACCAGAAGCATAGCCCACAGTTAGTATTCGACCTTCTTCTGCTATACTGAAACAAAACATTGATAGCAGTCATTAATTCAAGAACTGAAAGGCTTAAAGGCCCAATTTAAAATGCCCACTAAGCACAAGCAACTGACTTCTCTGTTCTATCAATAGAATGGCAGAAGCGAGTCAGTGGCATCAAAAATGTTTATGATATACAGCTATAACACAATATCAAAGACTTGGGTCATCAAAGTGGTTACAAAAATGTCAGTGATAGGGTGCAGTACTAAATTTCGACTTATATCCAGTCAAACAGACTGGAACTCTGGTATTGTGCCGCACTGTGCCAGGATGAACAAACAGAAATTTGAAAACTATTCCCTCAACCTGAAGATCATTTAGGTTCGGGATACAAGAGCCATAAAAATGCAAAATACCTGATGCCTGACTCTTACATGTAAATAGGATTTGACTAGTCAAACAACCCAAGAAAATCATAAAAAACCCAATATATATTATGATTACTATTACATATGGGCATACAAAAATATATACCTTTTTAAACACTGAATAAAAAGGTCGCCTCCTACTTGATCCATCACAACATTGACCCCTCCACCTTTCGTAAGCTCCTTGACCCTGGCTCTCACATCTTCAACGTTATAATCTATTACATGAGTGGCACCCCTTGCTTTTACCAAATTACATTTTTCTACACCACCACATAGCCCTATTACCTACAAAACACAACAATTACATATTTCACAACAAAGCCATATTGTCTACAAAACACAATTACACTAGTAGCCCCATTTACATACCAGTTCACATTAGCTCAATAAAACTGGAGGTCCTAAGTCTGATCCTGGTGTGGGCTGAGATTTCCCAGCATGGTTTCGCCTTGTTGGTGGTGCCAACAGAGGGGCATGACAGGGAAGTGTCTAGTTGTTAAGATTAGACAAAAAAAATGAGGTACCATGTACATATACACATAAAAGAAACCTCGACATTTGGAAATCGAAATAACAGTAGGTCATAGTGCCGCTGTCCAGGCACAATTTCCCTCACAGCACACTGCATGGTGAATGCTCATCTTCATTAGCATTAGCCTGGTTGGTGCAGAACAGTAGGATGTTAAACCCCAAGATAACACAAATTACATACAGTATCAGTATATAGCATGTTTAAAACAACCTCCATATAAAACATAGATTATGATTACCTGTTTCACTTTAAAAACACAATGAAGAATCCGCATAATAAGAATAGTTATCAGTGCTGGATTTACCCACAGACTTGGTAGGGTGAAGCCTACGGTCTCAAGATGTCTAATAATTTTACACTGTCATAAGCTTTTCTCACATGCACTGTGGTCTTAAAAATCTGTCATCATCTTTGGCTTTCATCAATGGTGTTTATAAATACTTTCATCTTATAATTTTTACACTGGCATAAGTCTTTCTCACATGCACTGTGCTCTTAAAAATATGTCATCATATTTGGCTTTGTGTTCTCTTCATTTAAATCCAATACCGTACTGATAGTTATACTTACAGCAAACATTAACTTATATTTTGAATGAGAATTTAGCATGTTCAAAGGGAATAGATGGGCTGGTAGTTAAATTATCTCTGGATATATTTGTTGTAAATCGTCTACAATTATTTGGACAAAAATTGTAATTACCGTTGCACCAAATACATGACTGGCAATATCAACAGCTGCTAAACCTGTTGCTCCAGCTGCAGCTGTTATACAACGATTTGAAATATAGCCTGTACATCATATAGTAATTTACATATCAAATATAACATGTACATCATATAGTAATTTACATATTGATATCAAATATAACCTGTACATCATATAGTAATTTAACGATTGATATCAAATATAACCTGTACATCATATAGTAATTTACATATTGATATCAAATATAACCTGTACATCATATAGTAATTTATATATTGATATCAAATATAACTTGTACATCATATAGTAATTTATATATTGATTTGAAATATAGCCTGTACATCATATAATAATTTACATATTGATATCAAATATAGCCTGTACATCATATAGTAATGTAAAGATTGATATCAAATATAACATGTACATCATATAGTAATTTACATATTGATATCAAATATAACCTGTACATCATATAGTAATTTAACGATTGATATCAAATATAACCTGTACATCATATAGTAATTTATATATTGATTTGAAATATAGCCTGTACATCATATAATAATTTACATATTGATATCAAATATAGCCTGTCCATCATATAGTAATTTAACGATTGATATCAAATATAACATGTACATCATATAGTAATTTACATATTGATATCAAATATAACCTGTACATCATATAGTAATTTAATGATTGATATCAAATATAACCTGTACATCATATAGTAATTGATATACCAATTTGAAATATAACCTGTACATCATTATAAACAAAGTCCTTATATTATACAGTAATAATTGATATTAAATATAGCTTAGATACATGTATAGGGATAAATATATTGACATTAAATAAAGCCAGAGAGTAAATGTAGTAGTATTATCATATAGTTATATAGTCTATATATCAGATAGTAAAGTAATTTATACATTGATATTAAATATTGCCAATATATCATACAACCTGTATATTATATAATAATTTATACATTGATATAAGATAATCGTGTAATGCTCAATAGCTTAGAATTCCAGGTTATGAACTCTTACCAATTTGATGGTATGTATGTACATAAAGGGCATATATATACCAAGGTAGAAAGCTCAGAGAATGTTTTCAGTGTTCTCATACATTTATAGTGAACCCAAAACACCATGCATTTATCACAGCCAATCTATAAAAAAAAAATAAACACAAAAGTCAACATTAAAATAATAAATTTAACAACCTATAAAAATCATGATTCTTAAATGTGAATGAGATATAGAATACTTTAAACACACAAAACCTCTAGATAGCTTTTTGAGTGCTGGTCTAAGCTGTTCTATCATAATTTAACATTTTAAAGAAACTGAGTACTTTTAAAACTGGAGGTGTATTAGTATGCAAGTATAAATGAAATGAAATTGAGTTTAATGTAATACTTTTCTGCACCAACAGGGCTAAGGAAGAAGCGGTATTATTATACTATAGGAAGTTTCTATTTCTTACAATGACTAAGCCACATGGGGTTCATGTAATGCGGCATCACAATATACATTCCTCCCCCTAAAGAGCACAAGAATGATTAATATTTCTTACCCACTGTATATTATTAACTTGACCTTTTGGATATTTTGTACTGCAGATTCTACAGATATCTGAAACGGTGCTTCCTGGAAAATCAAATGGCAAATTTCAAATGTAATCATGGAAACCAAGCTAAATAAAGTTATTTTCACACACAGAAATCTCCAGTGAAGTTAAATCAATGAAAAATAATTGGAGGCAAGTATCTAACTAAACGAGTTAATTGTTTTAGCAATATTTCAAATGCCTCAATAATTGAACTGAAACCGTCAAACTTGGTAAGTAGGCTATTTCTTTACATTTTGACATTTGGTTTGAAATTTGCATACTTAATGAACTTTTTTCCAGAAAACCCAGGTTTTCCTAATCAAGGAATTGAAATTTCTATTTAAAATTTTACAGCCAAATAGTGTGAGAAATATCTGACAAGATGATATCTTGGTTAGAGACACAATGTTTGGTAGAGGTTTTACACATCTCGAAATAAAATATAGGACTGTTTAACTTTAACCCTGTGTAGAACAATATCAGTATATCATTAAAATATAATGTAATACTAAAATAGAATTGCAAACAAATCTAGACAGATCAGAGATTTGTTCCAAAACTTACCTTGAATTTTAAAAATGGTTTTTAAAATTTCCATTCTATAAGTGGATAAATCATTATCAGTGACAGAAAATGACACTTCAAGTCCGCTAATTATCTTTTCAGCAAACTAGAAATAGATTATTTCATATTTTCAGATATTAAGATCGATAATTATAAACATGCTAGCAACATGCCTCAACCAATACAAATTTCTTCAGTTAAATATGTTTTATATTATCTGTACCTACAAAACCATAGTTGATAGAAATGATTGGCAAACATAATACAAACCTTTAGACATAGCACTCCACAAGAAATACTATCAGGCTGTTTGGGGTGAGGAATACCATTTACCACCCAACCATCAACAGTTGAACAAACTGATTCATTGATATTGATGAAATTTCTGAATAAAAAGGTAAGGTATATAAATAATGAACAAGAGGTACAAAGGTCTTAACTTCCCATTGATTCAAGAATACTTTGTGGGGACTACATGTCAACAATATGAATGCCATAACATTAAAAATCAATAGGATTCTTCTTATTTGTCTAATGAACATAAAAACTGTGTATAAATTTCAAGTTAATCAAATGATAACATTTGTCGCTAAAGTGTTTACAATATCCTACAATAAGTGCAAGAGTCATAAGTTATTAACGAAATTTGGTATGCTTTTACATATCACTAATCTAAACAATGCAAATAAACTTTATAAAGATCTGATGATAATGTAGTCTTTAGAGTGTTCACAAGAAATTTTCGACACTGACCAAAAGACGGGCAGGGGTGACAGCAATATACAACCATACTTTAATGTGGGTATACAAAAAGAGAATTTCTAAGTATATCTTGCCAAATCACAGTGGATTCATAATATACAAATGTGCAATATGACAGTATATGACAAAGATTTAAAGCCTAACAATTACTGGCTATGAACTGTCTACAAAAATTACCTCCAGTTCTGTAGTATTTCTTTTTTTGATCTTTCTAGCTCTCCCAATGGATCAACCAGTAGAATTGTTTTCGTGTTTATGTATATAACCTTAAATTGAAGCCGTGGAAATTCAATCACTTATACACAGTTAAAAATATAAAACTACATGCAAATAATATGTCTAGAAGTTTGCAAATTTTATGTTCAATACTGGAAGGGGTAGCTTTGTGATCACATGTATTTTCCCAGTCCAGTTCCTCCCTGTGGTTAATTTTGCAGATATAGAAGTGCCTAGACTGGAGCGTGAATTGTTAATTTAAGGTACAATTTGCATTGCACACAGAGAATAACCAAATATTTTATTGCAATAAAAAGAACATCGGATGTTGAGTAGACGGTAAGGTCAAAAAAGATGTACCGGGAATGATTTTAATGCAATGCTACCATCTGATATTTGCTAACACAATTTTAGTATGCATATCTATTGAAATTATCATTTGTTCATAACAAAAAGAAAGAAACATTAATCCCCAACTGGGGATCATCATTTCACAAACAAGACCTATTTTCTACGCTATTCATCTTAAGTGACAGATTGGCAACATGTACTCTGGACTATTTTAAACTACAACGGCAGTTGTCAAATGTCATCATTTTATCATCCAACTCTCTCTTTCTCACATACATTGAAGAATTACACCTCTATATCCGTTCTTGGAATATCAATTAGATTAGCGTTTCTAAGATTTTGAAATTTCAGATCCTAAAAGTTGGAAATGAACAAAATAACCAAAAAATATTGCAGTACTAATTAAACCAAAGTTTCAGTTAGTTGCAAGAGATTGGGATGAAACATATTATATCACATTTGAAATAGAATATTTTAGAACCTACTATTAGCATCCAGTGGTTGGAACCAATATTCAGTACACCAATTACTGTCTCGCCAACTATTTCCAACTGAAATTTCAAGAATAACAGTAATATAATTTAACGGTTATGTTTCCTAAAATATATGTTGCCAGGTAATGAAACATAGATCAACTAATAACCTCTGTCATCTAAGACTAAATACAAAACATAGATGAGGGCTTCTCTGGTCTCCAATGCACCAACTAGCAGCAAAGTCATCTGTGCTTGCGCTAAAATCAACAAAAACTAATCCAAGCACACTTTAAAGAAAAACCTGTGATTTACGATCAAAATATTCTAAATTTCTAGTGACCCCCCACCCTGTATACGTCAATGAACAGTCTACAATTGTATTTTATACACATATAATTCATTTTACCATTTCAATATCTAACTATAAAATTTAAACATGTCATATTTTCTATTTGAGCAAGAAAGTCAACAATATTTTGTTACCTCTGATACTGCAGCTTGTTGCCTGACATCAAATATCATTGACATCAATGTACACTTTAAATATTGGTAATTACTCTGTAATAATAAGCATTATGAAACAACAATTTTACATCTATTAAATTAGTGATAGAGTTTCTTAAACAGAAAATTAATCAGACATGTTATTACATCTACGTCAGAAATATTGATCAGAAGTTCAAGGTCTTATCATAACATTCTGGCACTACAGTCCGCACAATAAACAACAGAACTATAGTCTAATTGTTCTATTCCATTTTTTTTCTACATGGATTTTCTGTATACCAATAATAAATGGATATTGGAAAAAAGTGAAAAAAATATATACCTTTTGCTGCCTTATAATAGAGAACATGTATGCATCAATCACCTGCAATAAATCCAAATCCAAATCATATATCTGTGTAAATCTATCAAGCTTTATAGTGAATAATTATGATCAAAGAAATAATACCATATAAGCTAAATGTATTAAACTTTATAGACAGTAATGGCAAGTCTTTATGACATAAGCGAAATTGTAGTGGCAGCTAGCCAACAAGTGCAAACAAGTGTCATGTATTATAAAAAATTGACATCCTATTCAATTTTTCAAGTGATCATACACCAGATTTCTCAAAAGCAGCTCCATTATTTTCCTACCAGAAACATTTTCTGTGTTTGTCAAACAATGTTTCATCGATTAATTCTATTTCCCATTTTCCAAGGACCCAGATAATGAAATAAAATCACATTCATGACCAGGAATTGTGACCTCCAGAGTGTGCAAAAGGGCAGAATTTACATAGGGTACCTTAGATCAATAAATGCACGATTTTAAAGAATGATCAAGATTTGTCATCTTCGAACGAATTGGGTACATTTTTTGACAAGGGCAATAATCACTTCATTATGTAGATCATAATTCTTGGTGCACATTTTAAAAATGTTATGGAAATGCTTGTATCAAGCTAATAAAGCAATTCAGCTATTTAACAGTTAAGTGAATAATGACAAAAAAAATATATAAATATTTTAAATAAATAAATAAATAAATGACTACATAAAACATACTTATGCTATTTTTTAAAATATTACTAACCTCATCAGGTATCTTGTCCTTAGCAAAACGTATCGTGTTGGTATAGATATTAATATTTTCAATATTGAATAGTAGATGGTTTTCTCTAGTATTGTGTCTTTTCTGCCAAATACTATGTATATCTATATGTAAAAATATACATACAATTTAAGCACTCAAACATTTAAATATAAAATCAGAGCTTTGACAAGCATTTATTTGACATGATAGATAACTAAATATTCATTTAAAAGTGTTGAAATGTATACAATATATTCACAAAGGTTATAACTTTTACATGATTTTTCAGTTTACCTTTTATTATCAACCTCGCTGACCATACAAATAGCACAGAGAAGTCAAGCATCAGGAAAAGAGTAGGACATATTGGACTAGTGATATACAAATATAAACATGAAGCTTACGAACAATTATGCATCTAACTTCATTTTCCCCCCCATATGTTTAAGATAGGTTGCCAGGCAACAAAACATACGCCAACAGCAGCTAAGTCGTCCAAGCAATCCGCAAAGGTTGTCGCATATTTATTCTTTTGTGGATAATGGGAGCATTCATACGACACTAAAAACTGATCATGAGTAATAATCCATAAAGTAATTATCAGAAATAATTAAAATTTGATTGTATGTGTATAAATTTTAAGTCAATTGAATGATAACTTTAGGCTCTAGAGTGTCCACAAGATTATTCAAAAAATCAATTAAGCTTATTCACTCATAAGTTACCACTATGAAAGAAAACATTACATATCCTTAAAGAAAACACACGATAATAAATTGCAATCTTTAAATGTATTGCAAATTAAAACAATCTGATTAACTTATGAAGACTAAGAGATGTAACCTAAAGCATAAATAACTTTTTGAAAATATATTATAATTAAAATGTTAAAAACCATCAATTCAACCTGATAATATCCAATAACTATGAAAGTTTTACCTCTCTGTTACTAATTTGAACACTATCCAAATTGTTTTCCTTATTCACAGCTTAATATGCAAGCAAAATAACAATACATTCTGTTCACAGTTCTACAGTGTCATCCATTCAACAGCAATTCCCAATAATAATGCATTTTGTATACAGAACCTATATCTATAGTTGTTACTGACAAGTTAAAATTCCATTTCTAGATGTATAGTTCTTATCACAGATCTCTCTTAGTGACAGATTTAACTAATGGGTCCACACAATTTTAAAAAGTTATTAAGGGCAACAATTCCAAAAGCAATTATCAGCATCGTCAGCTTATGAACATAAACACTGTGTATAAATTTAAAGTCAATCAGATGATAACTGTGGTCTCTAGAGCATCTAGAAGATTGTGAAAACTGATCAAGGGCAATAACTTTGGCAGTGATTATTGGAAAATTGCTGAAAATGAATAGGATTCTTCGTCTCATGACCTTAAACACTGTGTCTTGGATGATTGTTTATGTGTGGTGCGGTCCTCCTGCACTTACTATTTAGACTGTAGACGGGTGACAACAATATAAAAATTGAACTTACATCTTTCTATATTCTCAGAGTTGTCACTGTAAATAAAATGAGATATTAGAGTGATTGAAAGACTTTTAACAGATGCTTTAATTTCTTAAATATATATGCTGACAGGACTGCTCTTTGAAGAAAATTGAATAATATATTAAAATATATTAAAATATAGATTGCCAGGCCATGCAAAATACAGCATCGAAATCGTCTCAACAGTCCATAAAGGTTTTCACTTGTGCATTTATAAAGAGTTAAGATCACCAACCCAAAAAGTAATTATTGGAAATCATTAAAATAGGTCTTTTCCTAGCGCCTACATAAACAATCAATTGATAAATAGTCGCTATCTGTAAAATCAATCATCAGAAAACAGGGAAATTAACAGAAAAATTGACAACAATAAATGTTGACATTTAAATGTACCAGTAAGTGTATACATGTAATAAGAATCAAATAAAGAACAACATCATTTAACTTGATTAGTTCTCTTGACTAGGCCTAATAATTGATGATGATGGGGATGATGATCATATGTTGATTACACACAAAAGAATATGGTAATTTTGTAAAAGGTAAAAGTTACTCAATAAATCGGTAAAACGATACATTTATGCAGATAAAATAAGCAAGATTGATTACAAATTAGGACTTCTGATATACTGACCTCATCTCGTACTCCTAAATTATTTCAAATATCATCTTTAATATACAACGGAGTAAAACATCGATCAGTGTGAAAAATTAACAGTAAAATTAAACTCAAATTAATAATAGTAAACTGACCTCATTTCTTCAGCATTAATTTCTTCAGCGTTAATTTCTTCAATTTCTTCAGCGTTAATTTCTCCTTCAGCGTTAATTTCTTCTTCAGCGTTAATTTCTTCAATTTCTTCAGCGTTAATTTCTTCAATTTCTTCAGCGTTCATTTCTTCTTCAGCGTTAATTTCTTCAATTTCTTCAGCGTTAATTTCATCACTTGGTGTAAGCTTATTTCTAAAAAAAATGAAAAAAGTTAGTTCAGATTTACTTCGCTTTAATGTAACCTCAATGGCATTTGAATCTAGTGTATTAATTATTATAATAGGGGCAGCCAATAAATTAGCTACTATGGTAGGTACAGGTAAGTAGAATATATAGGAGTGTGTCTGGAGCAAAAAAAGATATCCCATGGTTGTGGATAAAAGAAATGCTAGGTTAGTTCTGAGTTCATGAACTCTCATCAGTATATAATATTTTGATGTCATAACAAAAATATCCCTCTTTTCTACCCTATATTTCAGCAGTGGGCAAAGCTTAATTTGTCATTAAATTCTTCAGCCCGTTGTCAGTCAAAGGTCATCTGGTGATAACACAAAAATCATACAAACCTATTTGGTTTAATATTAAAATATTCCTGTGCTGATTTGATTAATTTAACCAATTGTTCCTTTTTTGCCCGTGGTTGTCCTCCTGTAAATATATATAAATTTACAAAATGTTCAAACATAAATAAATGTTTTCAAATCTCAATTAAGGGGCAAAGGGTTTTGTATGAATAGTGCAGGATTTGAATAATTCATGAGAATAAAACATCTATGTTTAAGTATCTTCATCTAAATTCATGTTACACTGTACTTCTGGAATGAGTTAACATCAAATTTTAAAGACACAGTAATATTAAGATGTGGAGGAATGCGGAAAAGTGTATTAGCACTGCAATTTCCAACACAATTTCTCTAGCTAAAGCTCAATTATAACATGCTTAAACGAAAAGAAGTGCTTTTCAAATAGTCAACCTTTTAAATGCTTCCAAGATGATCAACAGTATTTACTTCAACGTCTGTAAATTCATTTAAGAATTGAATGCTGTATTATATGGTTTATGGATATATAACATCACTTGGTCGCGAGGTTAAATTCAATAAACTCTCAAAATTCCAAACAAGTATGTGTACTTAAAAGCATTGATGTATTTAAACTAAGATTGTTTTCTAGTCAATATGCCTACTTATTATCATAATATTATTGATGTGGATTGGAAAGTGTTAGGACTGAGCTGTATGGTAATCATACTGGACAAAATACCTCTGACGTCACCACTGTGGTTCAGGGGCTGATATCTACAATTGCAACAGAGCAGGGATGCTATTTCGCCTGTATATGCCGGACATGTCCTATACTAGTTGGCAAACATCCGACTGGGAATATGTCCAATTGGACATCAAGATATGGTTAATAATATTCAAAATTCCAAAAAATATTGACTGTACTGAGGGTATAATTATTACTAATCTTGTTACTAATGTTGATTATCGGGTAACCCAACAAAAAAAATTGACCCGAAATCTTAAAAGGGTTACGTGTCCGGATAAGCAGTTTTGATGTTCACATTCAAACGACTATATATATTGGCGATTATTTTTCAGACTCTGTGCAAATCCAGATAGTCCCTTTAAGTGTGCGAATTCTCCTTCTATCTCTGATAAGGACGAGAAAGCGGAGGCCAGGGTGAAATGGCCAAAACTGACGATTCTTATTTTTAAATTTGTTGGCTTGATAGCGAACACTGAAATCTTGTCGGGGCGTCGTGTTTTATATTATTATAACAGATTTCTCATGTTATACCAATGGACTTAAATGTGAGTGTCTGGACAAAGTTCCACCTTTGCAAAGTTTCACCATAGAAATGATAAGTTAGGTCTATGTGGTTGTCTCAAAATGACCGAGTTAATCTGTCGACGAAACGTTTAACTCAATCATATTTCATTTTAAAAAAAAATGAGAGGACCATTAAGTAAGATTATAGTAACGGAGCTAGGAAACGGGGGGGCTTTGGACACATGCACATAGTCTAGGGTCGTTTGAATTCATCAATGTATTATTCTCCACATCTACACTTAATTTGGTAGACACAGCCTTTCAGGAATGTAGGGTTTGTGAGATTTGACTTTCCATTAACATGTACTAACACTTTAGCTGATGCATCTTTGTGGAATTTGTTTTGTATTTCTGCTTATGTTTTAAATAACCTTAAATAACCTTCAGAGTATTGGACTTCGCTGTTCACTCATTTAACATAGTAGAAATTGTGTACACAATGTTAATAATAAATTTATAGGGTCTAACATTGATAGTTTTTGAGACATTGACTGCTATTTTTTGATTGGTCAACTTTGACCTTTGACCCCGCCCCAAACATTTTCCCCAAGCGATCATGATGGGTCATTTTTTTCTGGAGTACCTACGGATCCCACCTTTCATTTGAGACCAAGTTTGCTTTGATGGGACTTTTTTCCAGGAAATAATCTAAATCCGGCAGGCTATACTTGTTAATTTCAGTAGTATTGAAATAAAAACTCTTTAAATAGTTTTCTATTTACACTGATAACCCAGTATTTTATAGATTCTATCTTTGTACTAACTGATTACAAAATTAACATACCTTTTGGGTGATTTAAAGAACAGAATGGGACATCAGTGATCCCCCACCATACTGGACAATTACTATCCTTATCAAAAAAATTTCTTCTTTGTTCTTTAGCTAAAAGATTCATAAATAGATATGTAAATTTGATTTCAAATAACACAAAGAAATAAAAATTCTTGATGGCAGACACCCACCCTTAAAACAATTAACACTGTTAATATATGGAATCATTTGATATCTAGTTTTATTTACATGCATCATCATTTTAAAACTCTCTCTAAACAGCTAAAAGAATCTCATTTTGAATAGTGGTCTGGAAATATTGTGAATTTTGACCAATTTCAGACAAACTAGGGTTATAACTCTGAAAACAGTAATAATTTGTGAAAACTATATTAATTAAAGGGGTCACACTGGTTATGAATTAATCAATATCTGAAAGTTTACTATTTTCAGCAGGACATTACTTATATGGACACCACAAACTGTAAATGTGGATGCATAATAAAAAGAACACCCATCAAAGAAATGATATGACGATTAACATCATGATGATTTTATTGTTTATTTTGGAAATCTTTACTCATCCACTTAAGGATTGAACTGTTACCAGATGGTGTTTATAGGCAATATGAATACCATCTGGGTGACAGGAAACTGGGTGACAGGTAAATAGAATGAAGTTTGCTAGGACTTCAGGATTATTTACCTGTCACCCAGATGGTATTCATACTGCCTATAACCACCATTTGGTAAAAGTTCAATGCTTATATTTATATTTCTCTTTTTCGGACTCATTTATTCTGTTATTATTATTCTATTTTAAATGAAAACATTCAAATTTCCCTCTGTAACCTTATTACGTCATCGTGATACATAATATAGTGTGTGGAAAAAGGAGAGAAAACCCCCCCCATAAATAATCAATGGACATAATATTTTATGTATCAATACTTTTTTGTATCAATTTAATTTAATAAAAGTTTGTCCAGTATATATTTTAATAATTTTAAAAGTAGTTCTGGAATGATGTGCATGTATTCTTACATCTGATCAGCTGACCAAATAGTATTCATAGCCTATATGAATACCATCTGGATTTACTGGTGTTAAATAGTGATATGAAATGCCAAATGTTAATATATACATATGGATATAATACAGCACTATATAATGCATATGACTGAGTAACTCACCATGTCAGTGATCCAGTACAATCCAACATCAACATCAACAATAAACTTTAAAGTAAAAACAAACTTTGTTTAAAAAAGATAACTCGTCATATTTAACATAAATCAAAGAATAACAACTGAAAATAAAAAATGTCAGTACTTGAACTTGAAACTTTGTTTCTCCTTCAAAACAGTCATTTAGGGCAGCATGCATATAGGGTACTTAACAATTAAAGATGCATTATGTAAGATGTAGACAAGGAGCTGACTATTCGTGCTATAATAGTTTAAAAATAGATAATGTAAAATGAAAATATTGAAAATTTCAGTCAAATTACTTTATTCTGGACGCAGTTATGAGCGGTTTGAAATTTTGACAAGAAATAGTGTAGTCTCGATTGCCAAAGCACTATATTTCCAAGATAATAAACTAAGTCTCGATTATCCACCAACTAACTGATAAGTGATTTAATTATTGAGTGGGCACGATGTTCTAATCTACTTAAAATCAGAGCCATCGGAAGATCTAGAGAGTTGATTATGGGCTTGTTATGTGAATAAATGTCTAAATAATAATTTATGTAACATTTGAAGCCAGAAATAAGATTTAATTCTTACATAATGCATCTTTAATAATAGAATATAATGTATGAGTCTATAAATATTGTTTGTTGAATGCTTCTCTTAGGGAGATAATAAACTAAGAACCATTTATTTTAGCTATAGTTTAAGTGTGTACACTATTATTCACACAAAGCTTTCATAAAGTAGTTTTTTAATCTTAACTATTTAATTAACATGTATGCACTTAACATGAATCTTATTCTAATAAAATATTGTTTAAATCAACATTATAAACTCATTTTTTTTTCAATAACAAAAGAAAAAACTGAAAGCAGGAAAAGTACAATTACAAATGACTTACTAGTAATGGCATCTGATTTTAAAAGTAAAGATGTGATGACCGATCGCATCTCATGCACATCCATCTCAGTCGCAGTTTTATTTAGATAGGTTGATACAGTTGTTTTCGGCATATAACTAGGCTCTGAAATATCAATTCAATTGGGACTGCAAAAAATTTAATAAGGATACCTGGATAAGGACAGAACTGATTACTTACTAATATCTAAATAACATTACTGTAATTTTAACAAATTCTAGTGGGCATGTTACCCATGCTGTAGTGATCAGAATTCGGCTAAATGTACTTTACAGCTACAGTACAACTGTTTACCTTGCAATCCCAAGATGATAATCAAAGTAAGAAAAAAATTAATAGAAATCTTGTGAATGTGATACAAAGTTCTCAAAGTAAGTCTTTAAAACGTGGTGAGATTGTTAATTGGGTCATATGGAAAAGCCATATTTAAATTATAGGATCATAAAGTTTGAAAGTTATTTTTCCCTTTCTACTTTTAAAGCTCAGTACAGCGTTTATTCAAAAAACTTTTAATAACCTACTCTGTGGAATTTGGGTGTGTTTGCTGTTTGTGGGCGTATAAGGGGCCTGAGAAGCCCGTTAATATTCTAACATCGCTAATGTTTTTCATGTCTCAGTAACTTCAGGCTTCAAAACCTGCCAAAGACGTCAATCTCTCAATTTACAGAAAACTCAGTAACACAGCCAGGCTATGGTATCAGATGAATACAGTAATATCTTGGCACATGTTGAGGATGCATAAAAGCATGATATTGAATAAATAATTTTATACAAACCATCACCAAAAAATTGTTGACTGTTTACTGCTTCTCGGTACAGCTCTACAACTTTCTCATTTTCATAAAATTTGCTCATCATTTTTGAGCTGCCTTCAAAAGAAAATAAATAATACTTGTCTAATTTCATGTAAATTATTAATCAATATTTAATTAAAAGACAGTTATTGCAGCTCATTGAACAAATTTGTAAGAGTAAGCTTACCAATCGTTTTTTTTTTCTGATCATACGTCATAATAGTCATTCAATCATTTCCATATCATTGACTGGGTAAGATAGGCGCTGGCTCGCTAACCAGGAGGTCCCATGTTCGATCCCGGTGATTGGCAGAGAAAGTTCCCCGGCATTTTCCAGCATTGTTTCTAGCAGAATGTACTTGTTTGGATGGGAAAAAAACGAAGGTCCTGTGTACACCTTGGCGTGCACGTAAAAGAACCTACGACAGTTGGAGTTCAATTGCTCTTCGGGGAAAATTTCCCTCATAGCACCCCGGATGTCCGTCTTTATTAGCTCGGTAAGAGCAGAAAAGTAGGACGTTAAAAACCCCATTTCATTCAGTGATTCATTCCTTATCATTTCATAAATATTGATGCAGCATTATTAGGTTCAGAGCAATGTTCTTGGTACTTTATCTGATGTGATCCTTATAATGGTGATTCACTAGAAACATGTACATGTTATTGAATCTGACACATAACTCATTTCGAAACAAAGAGTGAAAACAAATCTAAAGGAAGAAATTGAAATACATACCACAGCCAACATAATTGTTGTTTACCATGCCAATGCAAATGACATTGGCCGTTGGATTCTTGTCGTTGTATTTCTTAATCTACAAAATATGCTCAGAGTAATTAGAATTTCAATTAAACCAATAGTGCTAAAGACTGTTATAATTATATTTGAAAAACATGGTAGGTGTTGGTAATTGACCAGAAATATTAAATTTGTGGCAAAATTGACACTTGTTCCATTAGTTTTTGAGACCATTCTGCCCCCATTTAAATGAAATAATTGTGGGGTCCGCTGCACTTGGCTTGGGCATAAGGCATTGATGCCTATTCTCTGGTTCCTGACTCTGCAGACTATTGTCATGGGTGAATAATCAAATGTATATTAACCTTTAATTTCAAGGCTTTCCAAGCCTTAACAGATGACATCTTTTAATTAACTGAAAGATAAAATGTTTTAAAATGAAATAAACATGAAAATGGATTACATCTTATCATTATAAGGTCCGTGTCAGATGGGACTATCAAATGGTATAATAGCTCAATATATGGTCTTTTTTTTCAAAGTTTAGGGTGAGTGAAAATAACTATGCATACAATTATAGGCAACAGGGTCCACACCAAATTTATACGTGAGTCTAAATCCTTATGATGAGCCAAAATCTAAAAAAAAAATCTAAAAAGAATTGATATGTAGAGCATTTACAAGATTTGTGGAGTGACGGAGGACGAACAGACGACTTACCACAGGGGTGATGACAATATATTCCCATGTGAAATGTGAGCATATAAAATGTATGGCAAGGTAGAGAAAACAGCAAATTTTAAGAAAAAGTTGGTATAGGGAGGGGAAGGTTGTCTTGACAGGGAAAAGTAGAAAAGGTAAGACCTCTTTAACCCTGTAAAACAATTAAAGCCCATTCAAAACTGCTACAGAGAACATCAAGATATTACATGGAATCATTATGGGCTTTGTACTAAAAAATTAAAACAGTTGAAGAGACCATCAACCTATCATATCTCCCAAGTAATAATTTAAACAGTTGATGAAACCATGTGCAATGTGCAATATGGTCTCCTGCATATGGTCTCATATATTAAAACAGTTGATAGGACCATTAAGGAACAATATGGTCTCCTGTATATGGTCTCATGCATCAAAACTGTTAAAGAGACCAGTAAGATATCACATGGTGTTGGGACCATCAGTGAACAATATGGTCTCATGTATCAAAACTGTTAAAGACCAGTAAAATATCATATGGTGTTATGTAATTAAAACAGTTGATGGGGCCATGAGTGAACAATATGGTCTCATGTATCAAAACTGTTAAAGAGACGAGTACGATATATTGTGTTATGTAATTAAAATAGTTGATGGGACCATCAATGAACTATATGGTCTCATGTTATGTAATTAAAACAGTTGATGTGACATGGTCTCATGTATCGTATCAAATCTGCAATATGATCTCATGTATAGGGTCTCTATTAGAACAGTTGATGGGACCATTAAGGAACAATATGATCTACTGTATATGGTCTCATGTATCAAAACTGTTAAAGACCAGTTAGATATTATATTGTGTTATGTAATTAAAACGGGTGATGAGACCATAAAGGTACAATACATGTATACACGTCTGAATAAAACTGTTAAAGAGACCATCATGTTATCATGTGGTCGTATGTATTAAAACTATTAAAAAGACCATCAAGGTACATTATGGTCTCTTGTGTTATAGGATATGGTCTCATGTAATTAAAACTGTTAAAGAGACCATCATGTTATCATGTGGTCGTATGTTAAAAGGTATCTTCTCATGTATTAAAACTATTAAAAAGACAATCAAGGTACATTATGGTCTCTTGTGTTATAGGATATGGTCTCATGTAATTAAAACTGTTAAAGAGACCATCATGTTATCATGTGGTCGTATGTTAAAGGGTATGGTCTCATGTATTAAAACTATTAAAAGGACCATCAAGGTACATTATGGTCTCTTGTGTTATAGGATATGGTCTCATGTAATTAAAACTGTTAAAGAGACCATCATGTTATCATGTGGTCGTATGTTAAAGGGTATGGTCTCATGTATTAAAACTATTAAAAGGACCATCAAGGTACATTATGGTCTCTTGTGTTATAGGATATGGTCTCATGTAATTAAAACTGTTAAAGAGACCACCAAGTTATCATGTGGTCGTATGTTAAAGGGTATGGTCTCATGTATTAAAACTATTAAAAGGACCATCAAGGTACATTATGGTCTCTTGTGTTATAGGATATAGTCTCATGTAATTAAAACTGTTAAAGAGACCATCATGTTATCATGTGGTCGTATGTTAAAGGGTATGGTCTCATGTATTAAAACTATTAAAAAGACCATCAAGGTACATTATGGTCTCTTGTGTTATAGGATATGGTCTCATGTAATTAAAACTGTTAAAGAGACCATCATGTTATCATGTGGTCGTATGTTAAAGAGTATGGTCTCATGTATTAAAACTATTAAAAAGACCAACCTAGGTACATTATCATTATGGGCTCAAGTGTTATAGGAAAAGGACCCATGTACATTAAAACTGTTCAAGATATCATCAAGGTCTTATGTTATAGGATGTGGTCTCATGTATTAACACTGAAAGATCTGCAAGGTATTATAATAAAAATTTTCATGCCTGTAAATACAATCTATACTTTTATGTTCTAACATACGTTTATAGGCTTTACCACCATTATGTCTAACTTATAAGTTATAATTGTAGGCTATCCCATTCCCTGTACACTGTGTAACATATTACTTTTTAGTTGGAGATTTGAGTTCCAGCACGAGCGATTTGTTATTTCAAAATAAGCCAGTAATGTAAAGTCACTCACTGGTTTCACCCTGTTCATTCAGAATAATTAAATATCAGTGCCTTCTTTTCTCGTTGATGTTTAACGTCGGATAAATAGTAAAATATCTCAAATAATACTTATTTATTTATGTTTTGAAATAACCCGCGAGGATCCGCAGATATAACTACTTCTCACATCCGATTGGTTAAAAAGCATAAACCCCGCCCCTAAAGCATAAACCCCGCCCCTTTTCGTCCCTATCGGACCATGGTCTCTGGGCTATTTTCCATCCAGTTTAATACCTCGCAGTAGTAATGCCTTGGCAGCCATTGCTGGATTCAGACTAGTAATTAAATTATCTCCCCATTGACTTCAATGTTAAATCCGTGTCATTTGATCGCCTGTAACATTTATTTTGGTACATTCCGAACACTTAATCTTTACAACCACAATGATATACATATGTTAAAATTATCTGATAAAAATTTGGAAGTGGGTTGACCATCCTGATTTTTTTTTATATAGCCAGGTTAAAGAATCCAAATGCTGTGATGTCATTTTTGTAGGTGATCTCCCTTTTATCTGTCTTGTTTACCTCCTGAACTATACGCCTCAGTATCATGTAAATTCAACAAAACCTGGCAAAAATTGTAAATTCAAACATTCTTCTTTTGATTCCATATCAAAAAGTCAACAATCCTCTTCGTTGGATTAAGTCTGAATTTATGATGAAACGTAGCCAGGATAATGCCATCATAACTTATAATTTTCATATTAATGCTTTTTATTTTTCATTTTACAATCAACTCCTCAATAATATCAAATTAAATTCAAATCGAAAAATGGTTGGTAAATCAATTTTGTAAATACACTTTATTTATAAATGTTATTTGAAATATAAATGAAATAACAACATATTTAATTTATTCAAATCAATAATGATGAAAATGAATGAAACTGACTCTGATGGTCCATGATAAGAACATGAAATGAAATGCATGTCTTATAAATGCCACACATTAATTCATTTAAGATATGTGTCAAGCAAATTTCAGTCATCTGTAAGTCCCACAAAACTGATTTTTATATACCTGTAAATGTATATTGTATAATAAGCCCACAATAAATTAAACAAGGTAATTATTACACACACACACAGTGTCAGTCAACCATTATATCTGTCGTTGCAATATCAGTGTGTGCATTACTCATTGCCTAAAAAAGCCAGAGCTGATTCATTTATCATATTGAAGGTGTACTACATAAATGCACCTACATCAAACTTTGTAGTTTGTATACCGAGCTTCTCTTGATGATCTTGTAAGATATAATGTTTTAAGAAACACTTATCTCTTTCTAAATACTATTTAATATATTTTCCAATTGATGGTTAATCATTTAGGATAACCACTATTGAGGAAATACATCTTTTACTCTTGTGTAAATTGAAGTTCCATGTAAATACCCCCATCTCCCCTTAATAGTATTTGTTACATTAAAGTATTTGGAAAATGTAGGAAAACAAAATCGAAAAATTTCTAAATAATATTTCTTTTGAATAGTTGTTTGTATGTTGCTTTTCACATGTAAATGATAACTATTTAGCAGTAGTTATTTGTAGTCATATGCCTCTGAAATGTTAATCAGTTTCTTTGTGGATATCTTTTCTTTAAAAAGACTTATTTTTCACATATTTAAAAACACATCTTTTTTATCCACTACTGTTCATAGATATTGATTATTCACTATTTTTTATCGAGATCAATCAGGATGGTGTGATATAAGCTTTAGATATTTTTATATCATCCAGTGGTTTATCGTTTTGATCAACTTCTACCATACCAATTCTCTGTACAACTAGCATTCCGCTACAAATACGACCAAATACGGTATGTTTATTGTCCAACCACTGCGTAGGACCTAGCGTAATAAAAAACTGACTTCCATTTGAATCAGGTCCACTATTAGCCATTGATAATATGCCAGCTCCTGAAAAAAACAAGAATAGAATAACTTATTGAATAATATAAAGAATACAAATAGCAGATTGATAAATGACAAAAGATCAACATAATCATCACCCACCCAACCCACCCAATGTAATTTCATTGTTGAAGCCAAAGAAGCTGTAATCTTGTAAAATAATCATTCTTATGAATGGAACAGGATCAAAATATTTTGAACTCGGAGCAATTTCAGAATTCGTCCACTAAGTTTTACTACCTGGTCTGTAATTAGGGGCTAAGTGAGGGGATGCAATGACGGGCTTCACGCCATGGTGTTGAGTTTTTGCGCCCCCTTCGCAAATGGCAAAAATCATGCAGTTTCAATGCGGTTTTCAACATTATAATCATAATGCTTAACCAGTATCAAACATATACCATGGGTCAGATATGCTACAAATCGACTCTAGCATGTTCCACACAGCCCAATGTGTCATTCGTTCACAATTTCCTGTGAACATTCTACAGGTCAATGTTCTGCCAGATTTTGGGAGGGGATTGTTCATAGTAAAAGCCTATTAATGCAATAAATAACAGACTTCTTGATGAAATTTGTTTATGTGGTTTAGTGCTTTAAAAGTATGAGAATGTGATAAATCACAAAACACTAGGTACATGTTTACAGGTGGAAATTTTCAAAATTTAATTAGATTATTTAAAACTTTCTCAGTGAGTAGAGCTAGCCTGGATGACTTTCCCACTGGCGGGCCATTAGGCAACTTGACAAGCCCCATTAAGTTTTTGAAACTGGTGCCTGATCTTTTTGACATGTGTCAATAAAGTATGTTTAAATCTGTGTTGTATTATTGTAAAATTGGTGATTCTACATAGATTAATAAATTACATGTTCAAAATTCAGCAGCTCGACTCCTCACTAAAACTAGAAAACATCAACACATATCCCCAGTCTTGCAATCCTTACATTGGCTCCCAATTCAGCAAAGAATTAAGATCAAGTTACTCCTCTTCGTCTTCAAAGCGTTAAACGGCCAAGCTCCATCTTATATAAAAAGTCTTGTAGAACCCTATACCACCAGCAGAAATCTCCGTTCTCAGAAAAAACATCTTCTAAAATCTCAAGCTATTAACTTATAACTTCGTAAACGTGCCTTTTCTTATGCTGGACCTTTTTTTTTATGGAATAGACTACCACAGTCAATGAAACAATTATCGTCTGTGGGCCATTTTAAATCTCAACTCAAAACATTCTTGTTTCAAAACCCCGATCGGTAAATAATCAGTGAATATAACAACCAACAACGCCTTAAAAACTGTTTTTCAGTATTAACACGCTTTATAAATGACGATATTATTATTATTATTTTTAGAGATAGGATATTACCTGTATGTTTGAGATCTCTGTTTATTTCATCATCAAAATATTTACCATAAATAGATGCTCCACCTCTACCTAGCAAAATAAATAAAATTCCAAACAGATTAACTGAGATTCAAAACAGTTATTATTTTCAAAGTAATCCATGGACATATTCAATACCAACATTTACATTGTAAACATAGTGCCAATACTAGAAAAAATTTATGTAATACCTGTGCCAGTTGGATCACCACCTTGAATAACAAAATCACGAACTATTCTGTGAAATTTCACACCATCATAGTAACCTCTTCTGCACAGTTCAGCAAAATTACGACATGTGTTCGGAGCATGTTTCCAGTACAACTCTACCACCATTTTACCCATCCTAAAAAAAAAAAGAATCTGCTTAGTAATATGTTAATTACCTCTAGGTCATCCAGTACAAAATGGGAACTAGGATGACCTAGAAAAATAGAATTGTAGAAGGAAAAAGATTTAAAAGAGTGTAATGCTTAAATGTAAACCACAAGTTTGGAAAACAACTGTTTGTTGTTAGCGTGTGAAGAGATAGGCTAGTGGTCATAGTGCATGCACTGTGCAGTGTAGCATACATGTCATAATGCTACAAATTCCTATCACTATGTGATGACTGTATTATTTATATATGTAATGAAATTTGTAGCCTCCATGTATCAAATGAAAGAACTAATGCAGTTTCAACTAGGGCTCAAGAATTAACAAGTATATTTGTTAAACCTGGTTTTCAGGAAATTTCTGAGAATGATTTTTGTTTCACAGTTTTTCCGGTTTTTGAGAACAGACATACAGATAGACAAAAAACTATAAAGCAAGAGGTTGATTTTGATAAGTAATGCAAGCAAGCAATCAACAAAAGGACAAAAGATATAAAAATTATAAAGTTGTGCCTTTCAAGAATTTTAATCGATCATACTTTGTTCTTATATTCTCCCTTGGCCTACAACAACTGTAAATATTCCAACTGAAAGTGTGGGGGGTTTTTTTCCTCAGGAAAATGAGATCCCATCGTGGCATTCATGATAGTATTTAGAGTGACTTATTCTTCGTGTGCCACCATATTTTGGTACCAAAGTTTTGGGCAGTAGGTTACTGAATACCCTCTCTGCCTCGACAGAAGTTGCCTGGCAACTCTTAGGGCACTGTACTAAAAGTTCATGGCGGGAGTTCTTGTTGTTGTTTTTTTTGCTTCATCATGTTCATTCATAATTCATATGATTTGAAGTATTTTATTTAAATTTATAGTCAAGCATTTCAAAACCTGTCACTCAAGGAGTAATCATAATTAATAGTGATAAACTTTATGTTTGATCCGCCTGTAATGTGCCTAAGATATCCTGGTTGTTTTGGGGTTTTTTTTCTGGCGAATTGCTTCTTTACTGTCTTTAGCTTTGATTGACTGAGTATATAAGTGCCTACTGGCTAAAACTTAAAGATAATTAATACTGACGTTGTTTCTATTGTGACTTGATCTGGCTGCCATGATTTACTGGGGATCCCAGAACCAGATGTTAATGCCATATTTAATAATAATACTATTAACCAAAACTGTTTTTAAATCAGTTGCGAAAATACAACACGCTTCTATTTAAAGGGGCATCACTCTCAATTCCCGAAAATGTTCAAGGGGAATAACTCTCGTGTATTTTTTTTTTAATGAAAATCTGAAATTCTGAAATTTCAAAGCAGCAATCAAAACTTCATATTTAGTGAGTATTCTTAGTCTTAGGATAAGCTGAATTGTTTGACTGAATATGAGAAGGGCTGACTGGCGTTACTGAGAATTTCCAGTCGCTTTGAAGCAGTAATCGTGAATCATAACTCAATTTGGCTTTCCTTCTTTTGTTCGTTCATAATCAATTACTATTACTATTACTAATGAATCACGGTGTCGTGTCTACAAAAATACCCCCCCCCCCCTAAAAAAAGAAGAAAACCAACATTAATTAGCGCCTTACTTATTAAGGTAAAAAAATAAAGGGAATTAATAAGCTTCGATGTACATTTGTTGGGACAAGCTTGCATCTGTTCACTCCTAATGCTAATGAATCACAGTGCCGTGTCTACAACCAACCCCCCCCCCCCCAAAAAAAAAAAAAAAAAACCCCAAAAAACAAAACAAACCAACAATATTAATTAACGCCTTTCTTATTTCGGTAAAAAATAAATGGAATTTACAAGTTTCGATGTACATTTGTTGGGACAAGCTTCCATAGGATATGAGCTGCAAGAAGTACAAAGTACAAGTACTGAAGTAGGGGCCTACAAATAAAGTTTAAAATAAAGCATTTAAAAAGATAAATTGATGATGATTAGGGTAGTTTTTCATGATCTACCGTTTTTCGTTACATCCCTTTATTTCTTTAGGTAACTTTTGCCTAATTAGAATATCACCCCAAAAAAATATTTGCAAGTAAAATATCTTTTTCTATTCTTTGCTTTTGGTACAATGGATACATCATGATCGTTATGGAATTGTCATATCTTGCCCACATTAATCTCCAATGGAGTTAGTCATTAGCTAGTCATTAATCAATCTAATTAAATCAGTACCCTACCGTATCACTGTATGTTTGTTTGAACTTGTTTAGGTATCAGTAGTGAGTTTATCTACAGGTAGAGAATAGATAGTTGCTGATAATTTAATAGCAAACTGTGACAAGGAAGGAGCTAGGGTACTGCAGTATGTACATCATAGCATAATTTAAAGAGGCCACCCCAAAGTCATAGATCGTCATTTGAGATGTTATGAATCCCCAGAAAACTACAATGTTGTGAAGGTTGATTTGGGTATCAGAAATGGTTCAGTTTCATTCAGTGTTATCATTATAGATTGAAAATAGATCAAAACAAGCCAGCGCCACCTACAGTTGCTAAAATCATTTGATGGACCTCTTTTTAATCCAGTTTATATTTTTGATATTTTGCATTTGTTTTCCAAATTAAATGTTATATAATCAGTTTGAGTACATTTGAGCTTCTATAAGCCCTGATAATTTAAATATTATCTAAAAAATGCAGTTCGATGATCAGCAACATTAATTGTGTAAAATTGGACTCTTAACGTGAAGAAATAGCCCATTACTGATTGCTTAATGTGGTTGTTTAACCCACTTATCTTATTTTATTATGACTGACTTGATAACCATGATGATCAATTATCACTATTAATTTGACAAATATTTAGACATTGTTATCCAGGCATTTATATAGCCTGGAATGAGGACTTCAGGCCAACCCTACCTGGAAACTGAAAAATTGAATTGTATTTCTTCAAAAGAGTATCAACAGAGCCTTACATGTATCTTCCATAAGCTTACTGAATTAACCAGTTTTATTCACTATTAACAAAAATGTGCATCCAATTACATAGTAAGATTGCATTTATTTTATTTACTTAATATATTGCTTATTTTGTTTTTTGTAGAAATGGCTCTCTCATTAGATGACAAGTTATTAGGGGAGAAAACTCACTATTATTGTAGTAGTGATGATGAAGATGGTTCAGACAGAGAAGAAAGTCAATCAGCTAAAGCAAGTCAGATATGTAAAATGCCAGAAATTAAACCCCCAGATACAACATATAAAGGTTATTGTACAAATGTAAGTAGGTTATATTTACAACATCCTATGAGCTATTATGTCTCGGGGGGGGGGGGGGGCCAAATGGTCTAAAGTCTGTCAATGTTTCATGTGGCATGGTTTTGATTTCTAGCTTGTACGTCACATGGTGTAGGGTTGCCCTCACCAGGTCCTCTAATATCCTCCCATAGTTAAAGACCCCTACTCACTACCATATTATTTAAATGAAATTGAACCACATTTTAGACCTGAGGAGTTTGTGTAGAGTGTTTGTTAAACTCTCTCTCTCTTTCTCTCTCTCTCTCTCTCTGTTGTCTGAAGTAACATACAATTCTTATGGATGACATACATATTTTGTTATCCTTGGCTTGCTTACTTTATTGTTAGCATATTTATATGTGTTCAGAAGAACTATACTTTCAGATAAATTTAAGTTGACAGTTGAATAGTTTGATAGCATTATTATTATTGGATTATATGCAAGACATTTTTTCTGAACAGGGATATGCGTCAATGTGAAACCCTTTAAATACTACTTAATTATTTCAGACTGGGCCTAAAGGTGTTGTGACCGACTGGAGAGAATTTAAACGACTGGAAACAGAGAAAAGAATAGAACAGGAAAAAGAAAAGCAAGCTTTAGCCACAAAGTTGACGCTTACTTGTAGATCTCATGTATGTATTTGTTCACCTTCCAGTATATAGACCTGATCATGCTCTATCTGCACGTCATTACCAGCCATTTTTTACTTTGTCAAATTATCTTTGGTATAAATATGTAATTGGTTATATCAGTGATTATGTGAGAATAGAATGAAATCACTGTCACTTTTTAGTTCTACCAAAATAGTATTTGACATTTCAGAACTAAGATAAGTTTTGTAATGCCAGACTTTGGCATTTATTTGACAGACAACTATGGTACTCTTTAATTCCCACCATCCTTTAAAATGGTTTTACATTTTTTAAAAAAAATTTTTATTTAGCTGGATGATGAAATAGAGAAACAAAAAGATGATGATTTTTTACAAGAATTAGAAGAACTGGAAGATGATTTCCTTAAAGAGTACAGATTAAAACGTTTAGAAGAAATGAGAAAAGTTTTAGAAGATGTGTTAGTTTTTCTTTTTCCATATTTTAAAGATACATTATGGGAGATTTTTATAAGAGAGTTGGCCATTCTTGCTATAACAGTTCAAAAGTAGATGATGAAAGAAGAATATATTGAAAAATTCAGTCAAATTACTTTATTCTGAACATAGTTATCATCGTTGTAATATTTGCCTAGAAATGCTAGTGAAATGTGCCTTCACCGTGGCTGATCGTTTGATTGACAGGCGTTAACTCCACCTACATATCTCGATTATCAAGTAAAGTTTTCAATGGCATACCGAAACGCTTTATAGCGGCCTCGCTAAGTACACTCTATCATTTAGCCTCGATCTAACTGACGTATTTTCATCAGGTTATCCCTTATTTGATTTAATCAATTAGTGAAATCCTATTTAAATCCGAGCTGTAGCCGAGCCATCCGTGGGTCTACAGAGTTGATTTTGGTCTTGTTGTTTAAATAAAGATCTAATTTATAATTTCTATAACATCTGAAGCCTAAATTAAGACTTGCAATAATCAGATTTAGCTCTTGCATAATGCATGTTTCAGTAAATTGGATGCTTCAGTCTGAATATTAAGGACATGGTCCTATAGTAACAGAACAGCCCATGAAAACAAATGAATAATGAGAGCTATTAAGGGGGGAACTTATGTTGCTCTTGTGATCCAATGTGACTGTGTGCTATTGGGTTTGATACAATTTTGTGGAACCGAGAGTTGCAGCGACTGTAAAAAAAAGCCAGTTGCAGTTAGTTTCCTCGATATAGCAGCGCTATAAGTGGTTTTGCAACTGAAAACAACTAGTCTTGAGGGAATGTTTAGACATTCAGTGTATTTCATAGTTTTCATCAGGTCTTCATTATGTGATTGGTGTACTTAAAAATGGTCAGCGATGCTATCAACGAGTGTTTGATAGCTCTTTGGTGAGAAAGACCCTTTATGACACGTCAAGAAATTTATTGCTAATCTTAGACAATAGCGTCGCCATTTTGTGCTGATCACATGGCCGTCAGTTGCATACTATCAAAGTCTGTGATTCAAGGTTACATAGGGGGTTCAACTTTTCCAGTTGCACACAATCACTAGTCTTGAGGGAATGTTTAGACATTCAGTGTATTTCATAGTTTTCATCAGGTCTTCATTATGTGATTGGTGTACTTAAAAATGGTCAGCGATGCTATCAACGAGTGTTTGATAGCTCTTTGGTGAGAAAGACCCTTTATGACACGTCAAGAAATTTATTGCTAATCTTAGACAATAGCGTCGCCATTTTGTGCTGATCACATGGCCGTCAGTTGCATACTATCAAAGTCTGTGATTCAAGGTTACATAGGGGGTTCAACTTTTCCAGTTGCACACAATCACATGATCGCTAGGGAGATATAAGCTCTGCTTTATGCACTAAGCCAGTTATACTTTCTCTTTATCTTGATACCAATTCTTATTTAACATGGTTAAAAGTTATTGTTTTGTACTTTTTATCCATGGCCATTTGTTATAGCTGTCCTTCTAGATGGTCTGAATAAACATTGCACTTAAGTGATATCAGTATCATAACAAATGACATTGTAGATGTTTATTATTTTACAATATTCTACTGACAAGACCATAATCAACTCTCGAAGCCTTTGGATGGCTCTGATTTCAAGTAGATTAGAACGGTTCAGCCATTTAATGATTTAATTTAAAAATGGAGAAGCGAAACTAAGAATCGGAATAACCAGCTCAGTGGTTATGATAATAAACAATCAATGAACACATTTTGTCTAAACTACAAACGGTGATTACTTTGCTCAGAATAAAGTAATTTGAATGAAATTTTCAATATATTCATTTTGCATTATCTATTTTTAAACTATTATAGCAAGAACGGCCAGCTCTTTATCTAAATCTTACATAATGTATGCTTAATATTATGCTTTTTCAGACCAAAGTTTGGGAAAGTTTATTCACTGACATCAGATAGTTTTATAGATGCTGTAGATAAAGAGAAACCACAAGTTACTGTTATAGTTCATTTATATGAAGATGTAAGTACCTTTATAAAGTATTTCTATGAAGATGTAAGTTCATTTGTAAGATGTTTATATGAAGATGTAAGTGTATTTATAAGATATTTATAGGAAGATGTAAGTACATTAATAAGGTGTTTACACTCAGATCTGCTGTATATGTAATTTATTTTACAGCTCAGCCAAAGATCAGAATTTTTTTCATGAATTTCATAAAGTTGTGTCCTTAAATTTAAATCAGATTGACCTTATATCAAATATGCAAAATAATGGTTTTCAGGAATACTTGAAATGGAGATATTTAAATTTTATTAGTACCATTCAAATATATTCTGCAATCTTAATATTTGTCAAGTGTGATTTTTAGTGACATTATTTGTTTTATCAGAATATATCAGCATGTGAAGCTATGAACGGGTCATTACTGTGTTTAGCTCAAGAATATCCAACAGTTAAATTCTGTAAATTAAAGGCATCGGAAGCCAGACTTAGTTATAAATTTGTAAGTACAGTATTTGTATCAGTATATATAAGACATTTAAGAAATTACAATATTGTAATCTCACTGCACATTCATGTATTGAAAATTCTATAAACGGTTTTATATTAAAAATAAAGTTATTTTATGGTGATAATTGCCAAAGTACAGTAGTAATCATATTTTTATTTCATATTAGTAATGTTGGTATAATTTCACCATGATTCACTTTTAAATAAGTTTTTCTTAATTTAACAACTTCTAAAGTCAGTCATATTAAATTATTTATCATATATCCTATTTTGTTTATTTTTATAGAGTGAATTAGGAGTACCAGCTTTATTAATTTATAAAAACCACGAACTAATTGGTAATCTTATTAAGTTGTCCAATCATCTAGGTGATGATTTTTACGCTGTAGATGTTGAAAGTTATTTACTAGAGTAAGTATAAATAAATTGCATGTGAGAGTATATTGTGGTCAATCAGTCCACCTGTGTATATTCACTATTTTGTCAAATAACACTCTACCACCCACATGGAAATGTGATCGTATATTGCCGTCGCCCAATCTGTGTGAAATTTATATGCATTATTTAAATTGGTGAAATGAAGAAACCTGTTGAATTTCAGCAATTCACGTTTATTACTTCTAGAGATATGGCCCATGTTTTACTTTGTTGAAGTTATCATCCGAGGACGTATTAAATTTCAGGGCGACATTGATTTTATGTAGGGTTATTGCCCCTGTCTAATATTTCCTGGTCAGTTTTAATACGCCCACCCGGTTAGCCCTCTTCATCCGAGAAAGTTCCTCTGGATTTTCCGACATGGTTTTCCCTTGTTAGTGGTGCAGGATAGAGGATCTGACATGGAACAGTATCTAGTCCTTGGGATGGGACATAAAATTAGGTCCTGTGTACACATTGGCATGCACATCAAAGTACCCTTGACAGTTGGAATTAAAAATAAGAGTAGGCTGTAGTGGTGCTGCCCATGCAAAATTACCCTCATTGAACACTTTATGCTGTATGCCCATCTTCATTAGCCCAGACGTTCAACCCCATTTTCTTTCATTTATTTTGTCTTTGAGATTATTTAATTTTTTTTCAAACTTTCTGGGATTGTTTGACTAGTCAAAGGGAGCAACCCCATCAAAATTCAGAGTCAATTTCCTGCAAGGTGTCAATATCCTTGAACTTGAATAATATATACTACCTTTCAAAAAGCTGCTATTTGTTTGTTGCCTGACAATGCTATATTTCATTTAAGCTCTGACACATATTTTAAGAATATACATATATGATCAAGACCAAATGTATATGCTTGTCACCAGGAAAGATTTTCTCACTAGCTGCAGCCTACATTTATAAGAATCAGAATGAGTATAAATAGTGAGACCATTGTGTAATTCACTGTGAAAAATTCTAAATTGCCAAAAGGTCCAAATGTTAACTCAGAGATATAGAGTATTTCAAAAGGCTTTGATCACGTCTAGTATTGTAATTTATTTGTTATCTGTATTATAGATATGGTTTTCTACCTGATAAAGATCTAATAGTACCAATAATACGTGACAAACAAACTGGTGAAATTAGAAGTGTTTTACCAGGTGATCATCAAGAGGATAGTGGTAGTGATTTCGATATTGATTGATAGGTCAATCAGAATTTTATAAAAAGTGACATTCAAATTAAACTTAAAGATCTGGTTACAGTGTATACCGATAATATTTTTCTTCTGATTCATTCTAATCACACAATATTAAATTGAGAAAACCTTTCATATATTTTTGAAATAACTTTTTTCATGATCAAAGTTCACTTTAAGTATTTACAGTTGGACCAAATAAGAATAAATTGTGCATGTATACTGCCTTGTTATCTTAAGATTTTTATATTGTGCAATAAATGTACATACATGTATATATAAATATTATATTATCTTCTAATATAATAAGTACAGTGTAGTATTTAGATTCTTGAAAATAAATTTTACAGTATGTAGAAATGCTAGAGACACATTAACTAAATTGTAACCATAGTATATTGTAAGTGTCAGCTTTTTTTTTCTATCTAGATCTACATTCATGTTGTGTATTAAATAGATATTCACAAACGATTCAAGCATTAATTTAAACAGATTGTATAAGAAGTAAAAGTCTAGCTATGCTATTTATTTAATTAGGTTGGATAGTCAGGGAAGGACCATGATTGATTGAAAGTCTTCTGTGTCATTTATGCCAATAAAAATTATTTTCACTGACCCAACAATGTCTAATTCAAAAGTGCATGTAATTAGTTTGTATGTTTATATGTAAGTTTGTAAGTATATTTTGTCATCTATATGCTCTACTATTTGTATATTATATCAATGTTTAACAGGGCGTCTTCTTTTAAGAAAATGTATAACTGCTGTAAGACCTTTAGAAAATAAACAAACACAGCAATATTTTGATTTTAACCCTCTTTATATAAAACTTTAAATCACACAGCGCAAATTTCACAAATTCCCCCAATTAAGATATGATTTGAGTCATACATCTTCGAAAATACATTCATGGAAACAAACTGACTTCACAACACTCACATAAATTCTTCCATTTTTCTAGAATACCAAACCGAAAAATGTCTAAAGGAGCAAAAGCATTACCGTGACATCATTTGATAAAAGTCAAATCTTGATATATAGCAAGGATTGTGAATATAGTTATGGAAAGGGTATTCAAAAAATATGCCACAAAATGAAATTTAAGACAATAGATTATTAGCCTAAAGGCTACATTCTTTTAAATAACTAGTCTATTCAAAGCAATATGATAAATTAGGCATAGTTACATAATACTCAAAATTGACTTAAAATCATTACAATAACATCAAAGAGACAATCCGTGCTTTAAACACTGTGATAAGTTATATAATATTTATTATCAGGTAATTACTAGGGTTCTCTCATAAAATATAAAGTGAATTAAGCAGGTTACTCCTTCGGGCATATTTCTATTTAGCTGATAAATACAATCTGCTTGGCTGACAGGATAAAATCAGTAATTATGGCTTTGATCATTTCAACTGTCAGACACGCAAGTATGAGGGTTAAAATATTGTATGTATTTACCCAAAAATTTAAAGCAAACTAATATGATCAATTCGTAATGGGACTATCCCGATTTGAACAGAGTCTCAAAAATAAAAGTCTGAGGACGTATGAAATTTTTAGCTCTTAATATTGAGTCGTTTGGACGTGAACATCAAAACTGCTTATCCAGACATGTTACTCTTTTAAGATTTCGGGTCAATTTTTTCGTTGGGTGACCTGATAATCGATTCTCGTTCCTTTAGAGGTCTGTACAGTGCATGACCCACGTGCTGTACTTAATAACGAAAGGTAAATTTCACCTATACATTATTTTTATAAAATAAAAGTCTGGTTTTATCCATTCACCGCATCATACAGCTTGGGGCGCCGTCTCCATTTACAAATGAAGACTGACGGGTTTAAGTTGTTTAAAAATGTATCACATATATTGAGTTAGTTGCTCGATTCTAAGGTAGACGATTTTAAGGGATTTTAACACAAAATTAAACAGTTTTATTCTCAAAAATATTATCGGGATTGGCTCTTTAATAAATGGTACCAATCTCTTGCACAAAGCTAGCAATCTCTACTAACTAACTCGTTCAATGGCTATTTCTGATCAGATTAACATGAGGCCATGAGATTTCCAGATGGCATTGAATAGTGAGTGCTATTAGCATAGAATAATTAAAACTATTATATCTCCCCTCAACAGTTTGCTTCAATAATTTATGCTTAAAAAATCTTATTTCTTCTATTTTGAATCTTGCTAATAGACAGGATAATTTTCCCTCCAACATGGCTAATTTACACAAGTGTAGAAAGTGTTTGAGTCGAGGTTGGAAACTTTACATAAAAACATTTAAGTAGTGATAAATCAAAAAGGGAATATATACATGTATTAACTTTTTTCGTAAATGTAAATGTGTGTACATTGATACTATAACAATACATTAAATCAATAATGCTTCTTCAGTGCATTTACAAATTAATAGATACATATAGTAGATACATAACAATTAAAAATATAATTTCTAATCATAATTTTAAAAATAAGAGACATAAATTATAAGTGAAAAGGAGTTAATTCACATCCACATCGGTAATGTTAGCATGAAGTCCTGTTCCTGAAGCAACGACCCTGAGTTTTACAACATCTAGCATGTACAGAGTTAAAGCAGGATCAAGCCTTCTATTGAAGATGGCCTGAAGTATGACTTGTCAGGTTTTATCTTCTTGCCTATATACATTTATAAATACGAGGTTAGCATTTTGTGAACACAGAATTTTCAAACGAAGCATAGATTTCTATCAATCTGATTAAAACACAGATCCTATTTCATTTTGTTTTTTCTAGTTCAAAATTTCATTTTACTTGTCTTTACTATACTAGGATCTGGAAGAGTTGTTATATAACCCGCGTTGTGGACGATATGGTGGATTAGTCAATGAAACATTCTGGTGTGAGGTGCACGGAACTGTGGGTAACCCACTAGAAACATCAACGCTGATTGGTTAATCAAATGTCTGACGTCGTAGGGTCAAAAGCCGCTCATATGACCTCTGATGGGACCTTCCACTACAACCGGTCAGACCTTCATGTAGTAGACGCCACCGGAAGTATAAAAAACAACGAAACGAAATATAGATCTGTATTTTAATCCGATTGGATTTCTATCATCTTTTATACTTGTCCATTGAAACACGGATAACAAGTTATTCCATTATCGAGATGCATTTACTCTAAGAATAAGATCCTGAGATTTCAGCAAATCCATCAATAATAAATACATTGCCTCTTGTATTCGATTCAATTATTGGCTTAATGAAAGAAAAACCATCAGTGTATTGAAATGGGAATGTAGAGTGTTGCACTTTCTGGAATCATGAATTTTTCTAATAAAAATTTAAACCGGTGAAGAATCTGAGTCATTGTGAATGTAGTTGGCAATGTAACTATCGTGCTGTACATTCCATATATAACTGAATTAGTGATGCTATGAAATTTCTGACAAGGGGTTGTAAACTTTTTATATAATTAAAAAAAAAACACTGCCCAAAAGAAGTTGCAGCCTTTTTTAAGAATCCCCTCCACCCTTATCTGACTGCACCCCCACAATTTATAGAACCTTGAACCATAGATCTAAAATATCTAAAAACATTTTCCCCACATAAAGGAGGTGACCATTAAAATGTGTCACCAAACTTTTAGGTATTCTACTGCTAACATCTTTTATATTTCCCCCTTTTTAAAAAATAATAAATGCCAAATTATAAATTATGTAACAATCAAGTAAAAATTATGTAAAATCAATGAAAAAACACAACAAGAAATGAATAATAAATATAATTTATACCAAAAATATATCTATAAGCTAACAATTGTCACATAAAAATAACAACATACGGAATATCCAAAATATAATACAAATCCCTCTTTTATATACAATATTTTATAAACAAGTAAAATAAGTGTTATCTTTTCAGGTACATGTAGCATATGAAGTGTTGCAATATGGGGAATGTAGGGACTGAAAGATTTCAATATATGTAGTAGTAGTACAATCTGACTAAAATACAGGTCTATTTTTCGTTTCGTTTTTTTTATACTTTCTATGGCCTACACTACATGTACATGAAGATCTAACCGGTTGTACTGGAAGGTTGTGTCAGGGGTCATACGAGTGGCTTTTGACTCTATGACATTAGACATTGATTAATCAATCAGTGTTAATGTTTCTAGTGGTTTACCCACAGTTCCGTGCATCAAACGCCAAGAACTCGCCGTAACCGACCATTTCATTGGCTAATCCCTCACTTCAACCAGAACGCCGGTAATATAACAACTCTTCCAGATCCTAGTAAAGTATAGACAAGTAAATTGAAATTTTGAAATTATAAAAAACGAAACGAAATAGGATCTGTGTTTTAATCAGATTGGTAGTACTACTACCTCTGAAATTTACATTAATGTCTTTTAGTACATGTAGTACTACATGTACTGAAGGACACTAATGTCTATTTCAATATGGGGTTATACTGCAGACATGTAGGAAACTAGGGGCATATATGTGGTTACTTTTGTATTACGATAAATGATAGAGAATCTTGATTAATCAAGACTACAAAAACTTGAGCAGAGGTCAGAAGGGATTATCACATAGTTAATGAAAAACAATAATATGGCATTTTAGTGGAAAGCAGAAAAATGTGGTTATTGCATTCACACAAAGAAGTGAATACATGACAGGTTGGCGAAGAAAGAAAACAAAAACTGACGACAGATATATCAATTTTCACCAGTGTAGGCATTCAATATAAATATTTCTAGGGATGTATCTCACTGACACTATTTACATTTATTCTGAGATAATGATGTAATAATCTTTGAATGTAAAGCAAGGAAAGTGATTCGAACATGAGTTAACTAGGATACATTGGATGAATCTACATTTCTAGTAAACATGAACAAATGTTATGTTGTCTTCCTAACATTTAAGGTATGTGCAACTCTTTCACACAATAATTTATGATAAAATGAAATGGGGTTTAGGGTCTTATTTTTCTGCATCAATTGGGCTAGTGTGTGTGTGTTGGGAGGGGGGGGGGGGGCAGGGGGGTATATGCCATTTAGTGAGCTGTGAGGAAATTGTTTTGACAGCTTTCTTGACAGATTTCTAACTGTCCAGGAGATCTTTGAAGTGCTGTATATGGTGAACACAGGACTGTTTTTTGTCCTATCCGAACTACAAGATGCTTTTCCCACTGACAAGGGAAAATCTGACTGGAGTCCCAGGAAAATCATGAGAATCTTTCTCGGCCGACACCGGGAACGAACCTGGTTAGAGAGTGTGCGAGAGAGTCAAAAATTTACACTATTTTTAAAAGCAGATGAGGGGCAATGAATTACACATGTCATGTGTTACAATAATACATTGATGGTCAATTCTGTAGTGAAAAAAGCATCTCATAAAAATGATATGCAAAATGGTGTTAGATATGTGAATTTAAATTTAAATTATCGTGATTTAAATTTAACTTATCGTGATTTAAATTTAACGTGATTTAAATTTCACTTATCGTGATTTAAATTTCACTTATCGTGATTTAAATTTCACTTATCGTGATTTAAATTTAACTTATCGTGATTTAAATTTAACTTATCGTGAATCAAAGTTCAATAAATTACATATATCATTATAAAACACACCATGTAAAATCCCAGTTTACGATAACAAACATTGTAAACCAAACACTCAGCTGTAAATTAAATGAAGGAACTGAAGCAGTACACTATTATATATAAATTGTCAGTATGGCATTCTCTGTTAAAATACAAAATTTTACAGGATTAAAAGATAAATTACCAATGAATGAATGAATAAAATGGAGTTTAACATCCTACTTTTCTGCAAAATTACCAATGAACAAGTGAAAAATGTGATTACATAATTTTATCCCAAGCCTGAAACCATCAGATAGAAATAGCTGAAGATAACCAAAATTCCAAATACAAACAACACTTGGCTATAGGACATACCTACATTACCTACACTTTCTTATCTTGTCTGAAAACTAAAAGCAATCTATATGTTTATAGATGGTGAACAAATTGCTTCTATTATTCATAAATCATAATATACATTTAATTTGTAAATACTCAACAGTAATTCTACCTGCAAAATACAATCATTACGCTGTCAATTAGCTCTCTCTTAGTTCTAAACATGGTGCAAGATCAATGGCAGTGCCAGTAGAATAACATATTTTTCTGGTTAACTTTTAATGCATCAGACTAATGGGAGTGAATCTTTGTTTTAAATTAACATAAATTATGGTTTAATATGTGATTACAAATTGAATATTTAATAATTGATTTGCCCCCAAAAAATGGTATTACTGTATATAAGTAACTTTTTTGCCATCTTACCACGATAACATACATTTTATATGAACCCACATGAAATTAATTATTTCAGATTTATTTATAATAAAATTCTCTGTAATAGCAAGCAAAGCAAATCAAAATAAATCTAATAAATACATTGGCTTTTAATCTATTTGTAAATAGCTCCAGGTAGATTCCATTAAAATCAGAAAAAAGTTTTAATTCACCTGATCGATTGGTTTTTCCCTTTATAATAATGAAATTATTTGGAACAATTTCAAATAAAAAAAATAATCACCCACTTTTGTCATATCATTGATACTGAATTGATACCGGTCAATATCGAAATGAATAAAATGATATTATGCACCAATTCTAAAATATATAGGATTTTTACATGAATCATATTATTATGTAAGATGATATAAATGTGATCACACCTTCTGTGGCAGAAGAGGACCGTCCTCCTCATCCTTGGGTTTTTCCACCGATTTAACTTGGTCCAATTCATGTTGCTGTTTCATTTCTCGACGTTTAACTTCTGTATAAGCGCTTGATCCGAACAGTACAACCATATTACTAATCCACCATAAAAATGGCTTGACTTCACTAAAAGCTATACAAGCTATAACAGTCTGTGCACAAGCCTTGGCGGTTCCAGATATGTTGTGGGTTAAAGGTGAAGTAAACTGAATTTGAAGACCTGTTGCATAACCAATACCAAATCCACAAACTCCAGCCACTGTCATCATACACCAAAAATATGAACTTGAGATTAGGGGAAAATTATAGACTTCTGAAGTCTCGCCAAATAAAACGATAAGGGGCACAAATAAAACACAAGCATTCAGATTATTATATAGAGATAATCTCCAGACATTATTGTCCACTAGAGGTAAAACTTTCTTTGTAAAGATAGAATTGAGTGCTACACAAGCACTGGCCATCATTCCAAAGAAAACACCCATCAAAGATAGAGATCCTGAAACCGAAAAACAACCAAACCATTAAAATATATTGTTACTATGAATGGTTAAATATAACATAAACTTGAGTAGATAAACATCTTTAAAGAACTAACTGGGTTAAGCTGGTTTGTTATTTCGAATATTGATAGGACTAGAAATGAAATGGGGTATTGTCCTACTTTTCTGCTCTGACTGGGATAATGAAGACAGGCATATGCCATGCTGTGTGGTATGAGGGAAATTTTGCCCGAACAGCTCCTGATGGTACTAGATCTATCTATTCATTATGTCAAATTTTTGTTTTGAAAGATGTAGTGGAAATCTGTTAACTATTTTTAGTTTCATTTATAGCTTGCTATATGTAGACATTAAAACACAAAATCTGTTTTATCTCAACATCAGCTTTAAACACAGAAGTAAAAATCTGAACAAGTATTCAAAGGATTTATTCTTAAATTTAGCGATTTCAAACATAATTTTCTAATGAATTTACTGGCCACAGAGCCTTGTTGCGTAAAGTAATTAATCTACACATCAATATCGTGGATAAATTTTGCTATAAAATCTAATGGTCGTATTGACGGTTTCTAACTGAATGTCATATATATAAATGAAAAGATGTAGATTCTTGTCTTAGTTAAATAATACATCCAGATACACTGGTCAACCATATTAAATAATTTAAGAAAACCTAATCAGTACCTGTAGCTCCTTCCTGATTAACACCCAATAAAAATCCACTAATAATAACTAAACAACATGCTATAGCTTTTCCTGATGTAGACTGACCCAACATAAGATAGGTAAATACCTGTGGACAAAATAAAATTCAATTAAATCTATATATATATACCTCATGTTAAAATATAAATCAAATACTAGGAAAGTATATATTAGATAAGGGAATGGAATGGGGTTTACCATCCCATTTTTAGACTAACATAGTTATCTTATTTACTGTATTATGTGTAATCTGACAGCAGTTCCTTCTATTCTTCTGCGAATTCCAGCTGTAACAGGTTCTATTATGTGAAATGTATCTACAGATAGTGTTTGTCCTGGTGGGGACTTCTACTTCCAGACAAGCTGAAATCATGCTTGATTTTGAAGGTTCTAAATTCTACATTATAGGAGAGACTTTTCACAGCTCAACTACCTCAATTAAATATGTGATGACATAAATAATAATAAACAGCATGTACTTGTATACATGCATGCCAACTTTGATACATGAACTCTTATTTCCCTCCCATTCAAATGACTAGATAGTAGATGCTAATCCTTGCCAGGTCCTAGACCACTGAGGAACTTTCTTGACCAACACCAAGATCAAACCCGAGAACTCCTGTTTTGTGAACCAGCTTCTGAACAACTGATACCACTTAGACTCCTATTGGCATGTAACGACCAATGAATGATATTTTAGAGTACGCTACGGTACCAGAATAGACTAAATGATTTAGTTAGTTTACTAGCATTCCTGGCCAGTAAAGCTTGTCAAAAGTTGGCCTGGTATAATTATCCCTCTAAATGAATATGCACCAGGAGATTAGAAGTAATGGTGAAAATAATGCAGCTGAAATGTGATTTCTGGAATGATATTTGGCTGGAAATCAAAATCAACGAACCACACAGACTATAACAACTTCACTTTATATTACCTTACTTTCATTGTGTCTCAGTATACGAGTTAAGTGAAACATGAATAATGTTGGTTTGACAAGCCAAGCAAAAAATATAAACACCAACTATACATAGCTAAAATTATAATACATTTTACTTACCACATTAAATACTGTTGTTAATGATCTGCCGATGTAATAGAAAGCCACGCCTACATATTTTAAACAAAGGTTGTTAAAAGATATCATAGACACAAAGACTAATGATAATGGCAATACCTGTAATAAATTAACATTAAATTAACTTTCATCCAAACTTTAACAAGATCATATTTAATGTGAAAGGAGCAGTAGACTAGAATACCAGAAGGTTTGAAATATAAAACAGATACAAAACAAATTGTTTGCTATGCTAACTTCTAAAATATAAATATAACTAAAGTAAGAATTTAATGGTAAGGGCTATTCCATTACAAATTACTATCTATATTTGTAAACCACTGCTACAAACAGTTCTTTTAAGAAGAAATTGCATCCAGTTCTTGTAGACCCATTGCACCCTCAGCTCATTTTAAAAAGCACTCCTCTCCCCTAAAAACAAATAGTTTTAAAAGCAATGGTGCTTAGTTTGCCCAGACTTGTAGCCTTGATCAATGAATACTAAGTTGCATTACTTTTTTACAATGTTTTAGTTCAGCAGTAGTTTCTGCTTCACACTCCTACACAGTTTATCATAAGTGGAAACGAATGTCAAGATACTTACGCCTCTGATAATAGCAGGATCAATTTTAAAAGGAGGTACTTTCACTATATTTGGAATAACACCAGCCAGAAAACTAAAGAATGCAATCAATAATACACTCACAACACATTGAAACCATGTGATGAAGAATGGGGCATTTAGCTGAAAAAAAAAATTAAATATTTCAATATAACTGATTTAATATCTTTCGTTAAATATCTTTTAACTGGCAGTTAATAGTTTTGCAAAGTGAACAGGGCTATTTTTGCCAACGATTTATACATACATTTATAATGCAAAAACATAATTACAGAGTACAAATAGAAGTCAAAAATTCCAATTAATGTATCTGCATGAAACCGTACACCTAAATTGCATACGTCACCCTACTAACTCAAAACTATAGTATAAAATAAACTTGTTATGTGTGAAAGAATGTTTTTCACTCTTATTCTGTTGTGAGTATGTTGCCATGTTGGTCTAAGAAATGTTTTATCTTTTGGATTGGTAAAGAGAAGGTGAGTTTGTTTCAAAAATACGTAAACAAGCGGTTGCCATGCAAGATACGCCAACTTTTTGCAAGAGATGGACAGAAAGCAATCTAAAAAAGTGATTTTTCGTTCAATCAGGGGACATAATCCAGGAAGTTATGGTCCGATATGTGCGAATATCAAAAGCGGTCGAAATCTCTAGGATATAAGCATATATTTTAAGTTTCATCAAAATTGTGACCTCTAGAAGGTCCACAACCTTGGTATTATATACATTTACATTATTTGCGTTTAAGGAGCGGCCATTTTGTCAGGTACTTTCAGTCCAATTTTTACAAAATTCGAACTCAATCACTATCCAGGGTGTAACTGTAAATCAAATCAAAATTGTGACCTCTAGAGGGTCCACAACCTTGGTATTACATACTTTAACACTATTTGCATACATAGAGCGGGCATTTTGTAGAGCAGTTTTGGTTTGATTTCCATGAAATTCAAACTCGCGTAACGTAACGGTGATATTTGAATGATTTTTTTAAATCGAATAAAAATTGTCACCCCTTGAGGGACTGCAAGCTAAAAACAGGATTTTTCACAAAATTCAAACTCGATCATCATTATGGTGTAACAGTGATATATTTGAACGCTTTTTTAAATCAGATAAAAATTGTGACCTCTTGAGGGACTGCAAGCTAAAAACGTGATTTTTCTTACGGTCAGATATGTGCGAATATTGACAGAAACCAAGGAATTTGGGTTATAAACATATAGTCCAAGTTTCATCTAAATAGAATAACAATTGTAAACTCTAGAAAGACCACAAGCTAACGTGATTTTTCGTACAATCAGGGGCCATAAACCTGAAAGTTAAGTTCCGATATGCACGATTTTATCGAAAGAGAAAAACAGAGATCTTTGTGATATAAACATACATTTTCAAGTTTCATCAAAATTGTGACTTCTAGAGGGTCCACAACCTTGGGTATTACATACTTTACACTATTTGCGTACAAATTGATGTGTAACATCTTTAAATTATGAAATGTTACGGCGATGTATTAAGGCGAATTCTGTAAAATCTTCCCCAAATTCCAGGTAATGGCATTTCAGGGACTTTAGATTAAAAAAAACTCACATCTGCGGTGCTTGGCTCCTGACTATGTCACTCGTATTAGGGACATGTGCATCAGTCAGTCGCATTTTTGCTACCCCCGCCCCCCAAACAAAATCGTTATGTACACCCCTGATTATAAGTTGATGCTTATAGATACTCACAATACACTCCCTTCCAAAAATTACATTCTTACCTTTAAGTCCTTACTACTGAGTAAATATTTGTTTAAAAATACCATAGATATAGATATTGTCCTGAAATGTATAAACATAGGGTACAATTACATTTTTATTAATAAATGTAACAATTATAATAATATAGGCTTATTTATCCAAGAGCATTTGACGCCCTAGGGGGGCCCATAAATATCTTTTTTTGCAGCGGCATAGCCAGTATTCATGAGACAGAAGATGAATTGTGATGTACATTATACTATAATTTATGGTTCAGTGTGAATAGACATATTTCAGTTATTCATGAACATAAATATATTAAACTATATTATATAGTCTTAATATACATGCACAGGGTGTGTGTGGAGGGGAGGTGGGATTTCTAAAATCTGTTTTACTACAGCTCATAAAGATAGGTTGCCAGGCAACGAAACATATGCCCACAGCAGCTAAATCGTCCGGGCAGTCAACAAGAGTTGTCGCATATTTTTAATTTTCAATAATGAAACATTTATAATACAATAAAATCTGATTATAAATTTAAAGTCAATCGGATATTAACTTTGACCTCTAGAGCGTCCACAAGATTTTTCAAACTGATCAAGGGCCATAACTCTGGCAGTAATTATCACAAATCGCTGAAAATCAAAAGGCTTCTTCGTCTCATGACCGTAAACACTGTGTATAAATTTAAAGTCAATCGGATATTAACTTTGACCTCTAGGGTGTCCACAAGATTTTTCAAAGTGATCAAGGGTCATAACTCTGGCAGTAATTATCACAAATCGCTGAAAATCAAAAGGCTTCTTCGTCTCATGACCGTAAACACTGTGTATAAATTTAAAGTCAATCGGATATTAACTTTGGCCTGTAGAGCGTCCACAAGATTTTTTGAAGTGATCAAGGGCCATAACTCTAGCAGTAATTATCGGAAATAGCTGAAAATCCACAAGATTTTTCAAAGTGATCAAGGGCCATAACTCTGGCAGTAATTATCGGAGCTTGCTAAAAATCAATAGGCTTCTTCATTGCATGACCTTAAACACTGTGTATGAATTTAAAGTCAATCGGATATTAACTTTGACCTCTAGAGCGTCCACAAGATTTTTTGAAGTGACTTTGGCAGTAATTGCTGAAAATTGCTGAAAATCAATAGGATTCTTCGTATCATGACCTTAAACACTGTGTATAAATTTAAAGTCAATCGGATATTAACTTTGACCTCTAGAGCATACACAAAATTTTTGAAGTGATCAATGGCCATAACTCTGGCAGTAATAATCAGAAATAGCTGAAAATCAATAGGCTTCTTCGTCTCAAGACCTTAAACACTGTGTATAAATTTAAAAGTCAATCGGATATTAACTTTAGCCTCTAGAGCGTCCACAAGCAATTGTGGACGCCGGACCGCCGGACCGACAGGCGGACGGGGGCGTTGACAATATACGACCACATTTAAATGCAGGCGTATAAAAACGATCTTGGCTGCCCTTGGACTAGGAGTTGAGTGACCAGTAAAAACACTTTTATACTAAACTGATTCCCATTTGTAACACACATTTGGGGTGGGGAGAAAAACACAAAAAGTTTTGATCACTTCAATTTATATGGTTTCTGTTTTTGTTTGCTACAGGAAATCAAAGGTAAAACTATTTCAAATAACTTCATTACAACTAGTTGTTTTACAAAGAATTTAACGGTGCTGTATAATTTGATTTCGGTGCAGTATTAAATGATGAAACAATCTGATTAAAACACAGATCCTATTTCGTTTTGTTTTTTATAGTTCAAAATTTTGTTTTGTCTGTACTACATTAGGATCTGGAAGAGTTGTTCTATAACCTGCGTTGTGGATGGCGTGAGGGATTAGCCAATGAAACCATCTGTTACGGCGACTTCTTGGCATGTGGTGTACGAAACTGTGGGTAAACCACTAGAAACGTCAACTATGATTGATGAATCAATGTCTGACATCATACGGTCAAAAGCTGACTCGACCTCAGATCTTCATGTAGTGTAGGCCATTGAAAGTATAAAAAAATGAAACCAAATATAGATCTGTATTTTAATCAGATGAATTGACAGTTTTGTCTCCCATGATAGGATGTCCAAGGAAGAAAACTCCATTTTGCAATATTGGGTTGTAGGAGTCATCCACCTTTTACAAGACGTCAGAGAGTGAATTTAAATTACTTCATAATAACCAGGTTTTTTCCAATTTTTAAACAGTGTAGTCGGTAGCCTATATTCGATTTATGGATGCTACAAAAAGGGTCAAGCTCTTAAATGTGGAACACAAGGTAACATCGATTTATGGATGCTACAAAAAGGGTCAGACTCTTATCCGTGGCATGCAAGGTAACACTGATTTATGGATGCTACAAAGAGTCAAACTCTTATCCATGGAATGCAAGGTAACATAGCTACGGTAGTCTAGTTGATATATACTGTATTCTTCAGTGGATTAAGCACAGTCAGGTATTGAAGTGCAGCATAGGACTGGGGTTTTCTTTTTTAAATCTCATTATTTTCTTTAAAGATATACATGTATATATTCTAGGGGTTTTTTTAATTATTTTTTATATACGGTTTTTGAGTTCAATACACACAAAACCCCTTTAGTTTGGTTGATAAAGACTGTGGTTTTCTTTTTTAAATCTCATTTTTTTCTTTAAAGATATACATGTATATATATTCTAGTTTGTTTTTATTTTAATTAGTCTGGTTTATAAAGACAGTGTTTTATTGGTAATAAAAATTTTGTGGGATGGCTTAAAAAGGGAGGACGGTATTGGCTAAATCTTAGGAAAACTTGAGTTGAACAAAAATATTATAATCACCCAGGGCACAGAATATTGAAACAAATATTAGTCTAGAGATACATTACAATAGCATCAATTGCCATTGCCCATGGCAATTGTACAATTTATTCAGATCCCTTTTGTATATACTTATATGTATGTATTTGCACATAAACAATATTATTTACAAAACAAACAACAATATTTTTATTGACACAGAATTTTAATACAAATATTAGTCAAAAAAATAAAATACTCTGCTGGAGCGTTTGAAACTATGCAGCGATAATTAATATTTATTGTATTAAGATTATTTATTGTAACTTGTAATACATGAAAGCCTGTGGCAAAACATAATACAACATGTTACAGACTGATTAGATAACAGTTAAGTCAACATGTAGCTAAAATTTAAGCAACAATGGGGTACCTGCAACTTGGGATTTACATTGCAGACAACATGTGGCACCATCAACATGCTGAATTTATAGCCTACATGTATTATAATTTATTGACTTCAATTCTCTCACTTCTGTTTCTGAGATTCACATACTCATTTGCCAGGATCCATATTACAAAAATTATTACACACAAGCAGAAATATTAAAATTGTTTAAATATCAATCAGTGACAATTAATTATCTCTTCAACAACAGGAGATTACTTATTTTCAATTTTCTTAAGAGGGGGATAACCAGGCACGATACTGGATCTTGACCGATCTGGAAAATATCTTTCCATGTTTATACCCACAATTCTAACCCTAACCCTTCAGAATAGTTTTAACCACAATCCACCGTTGTTACAGCTTCAATTTGTACGTTTGACATGTAATTTATAAACCTAACCCAAACCCTAACCCTAGAGAAAGATATTTCTCAGATCGTACAAAGATCTAGTTTTGTGCGATAAGCAGAGTATGAGTGGTAGATCAGGCCTACATGTACATGTTTCCTTGTCACCCATGACATGCATTGATAACATCCCTATAGGTGCACATATTAAACCACAAACAGTAAATGTCAATCAGGAACAATAAATGCAATACATACAACATTATATATATACAGTATATAATAAATTAATAATGAGAAAAGTATAAAAACTTAAAAAGGGCAGAGAATCTTATTTGTCTGCCGTTCTAAAGTAGCCTATAAGTATCATTATTATTTTATAGGCCATGGCAATGTGATTGTAGATCTAGCGAGCACTGGACTAGAACATTATTGTTTTGTGTAGTACTAAAGTACTAGGCCTAGTAGGTAGGCTACACTTGTACAGGACTCACATTGACATTGCACACAGGGACAATAAAATACAGTTTAATACTCACCAATAAAATGCCACCACGGCGGCTATTTTCAGGGATTTTGACGTAAGCGATTCCATTGCTACTCTCTTTCCGTTTACGTACGTAAATGATCGCATGTCACGCTTGACAATCTTTATAAGAATTTCATCGATTCACTTGACTGATTCCCTATTCTCATTAACAACAGTGCAGGATGAGAATGAGAATGTAACTTGCGTGTCGATGTCGCAATTTCTGAAACCGGTTTTTGTTTATTTAAATATATTATTTCTTAATCATATTAGAATTCTTCTTTTCTTTGAGTTAATTCAGTGCCATAATTGAAGACATTTCTTAAATTAAATTATCCAATAACTTCCAACGATAATATAAAATATTTACGACAATGCATGTGGCAGTGTCTAGTCTTGTTTTACAGGTCGCATTAATTTTGTCGAAAGAGTAGTCTAAAATTTCGAATTTTCCAGTCCTTCTGACTAACCCGGTTATTTACGGGAAAATAAAGTTTTGTGTCAATAATATATATTTAAATCACTATCTTCAACTACATAGATAATTCAGTTGTATTTATTCTAATCAGATTGTCATGCCTATAATTAGCCTATATGCCTATACCTGATACATTAATACCTTTCGTTTCGGTTGTTGTGTTTGTAACTAATTTTATAACTTTTGACCGGATGTAAACAAAAACAAAAGGTGAACGTAGAAATTGAGAAATTGTGGAAAAGTAGAATCGTGTTATAAATCAAAATGGTACAGTAACTAACTGATATAATATGTAACAAGCATGGCCTGAGTAGAGCGAAGCTGATGTGATTGTTGTTAAATATAAACCTTCATTATTCAGTTTCTCTAGTGATACAAATAATGCTAAATAATTTCGTTTTTCCAATTTCCAAATAAATTGATTTTTAATTTAAATCTAAATTAGCAATGCAAAAGCTTTTTTAAATTTTTGAATCTGACTAAAATTGAATATTTACTAGTTTTCTAACCCCTCTCCCATTTAAAGATACATTATGGGAGATTTTAATAGAGAGTTGGCCATTCTTGCTATAACAGTTCAAAAAAAGATGATGAAAGAAGAATATATTGAAAATTTCAGTCAAATTACTTTATTCTGAACAAAGTTATCACCATTGTAATTTTTGACTAAAAATAAGAGTCAAGTCTCTCTTCACCGTCTCCGAGAATGGGTGATCGTTTGATTGACAGGCGTTAACTCCACCTACATAATCTCGATTATCAAGTAACGTTTTCAATGACTGTGGTTTGAGACGGGATTGCAATTCAATTCGTATCACATTTATTTTTACTACAAATTGAAAATAAGACTTTTAATGATAAGAAGCGAAAGTTTGAAGGAATGGACCAAATCAATGAGGCATAATTATAGCCGACTTCTTGTTAGCCTGCGTGTACTCTTGTACTAACTGGTAGGCCTACGTAACTCCCGGAGCAGACAAATACTAATAGGAAACAGTGATCCAATAGGGCTGGAATTCAACTGGGGTGATGCGATGTTTATCATTTTCCGTAATTTTTCTGTTAACACAAGTGACAAAAGAGCGTATAATACCGACATCCGAACTCTCATTTTAACCACAACTAAACATAATATCAAGGCCGTATATATCGAACTTTCAATCAAATTGACTGACATGTGGCCTCGCTAAACAGCAGTCTCGCTTCGTACACTCTATCATTTAGCCTCGATCTAAAATTTCCGGGAGTATGACGTCAACGTAACAGTTAATCTCCGCTTACGACGCCATTTAAAAATTTAATCAGTCAATGAAATCCTGTTTAAATCCAAGCCGAATCCAAACCATCCGTGGGTCTACAGAGTTGATTTTGTGCTTGTTGTGTAAATAAAGATCTAATTTATAATTTATATGTCATCTGAAGCCTAAATAAAGACTTGCAATATTCAGATTTAGCTCTTTCATAATGTATGTTTAAGAAACGCCAAAAAATTTTAAAATCGATTAAGAAATAAGAATGTTATTTCACTTTTATGACCCAAAATTGATCGATGTCAGTGACAGTATACACTTTTTATACGTCCACATTCATAATGTGAACGTATTATGCCGTCGCCCCTGTCTGTGTGTGTGTGTGTGTGTGTGTGTATGTATGTGTGTGTGTGTGTGTGTGTGTGTGTGTGTGTGTGTGTGTCTGTGGTTCGCCTACAGGGCGCAATTCTTCATGGATTTTCTGCAAACTTGGTATACTTATTCCTTATACCCCAAGGAAGATCCCTATTGTTTTTGGTGCATGCCCGACCCCCCGGGGCAGAGCCACGCCCATTTCTAGTATTTGTTTGTTTGTCGTCTACAGGCCACATTTCTTAACTAATAATCTTGAAACTTTGCATACACATTCTTTGTACCCTAAGGAACATCCCTATCGTTTGGGGTGCATGCCAAACCCCCAGGGGCAGAGCCACGCCCATTTTCTTTTCGTGTGTCTTTGTGTCGCCTACAGGGCGCAATTCTTACTGGATTTTCTTCAAACTTGGTATACTTATTCCTTATACCCCAAGGAAGATCCCTATTGTTTTTGGTGCATGCCCGACCCCCAGGGGCAGAGCCACGCCCATTTCTAGTATTTGTTTGTTTGTCGTCTACAGGCCACATTTCTTAACTTATAATCTTGCATACACATTCTTTGTACCCTAAGGAACATCCCTATCGTTTGGGGTACATGCCCAACCCCCAGGGGCAGAGCCACGCCCATTTCCCATTTTCTTTTCGTGTGTCTTTGTGTCGCCTACAGGGCGCAATTCTTACTGGATTTTCTTCAAACTTGGTATACTTATTCCTTATACCCCAAGGAAGATCCCTATTGTTTTTGGTGCATGCCCGACCCCCAGGGGCAGAGCCACGCCCATTCCTTATATTTATTTATTTGTTTGTCATCTACAGACCGCATTTCTTAACGTATCAACTTTACATATTTATTCCTTATACCCTAAGGATGATCCCTATTGTTTTTAGTGCATGCTCGCCTCCCCGGGGCAGAGCCACGCCCATTTTTGTATTTGTTTGTTTGTCGTCTACAGGCCGCATTTCTTAACGTATCATCTTGAAACTTTGCATACTTATTCTTTGTACCCTCAGGAACATCCCTATCGTTTTGGGTGCATGCCCACCCCCCAGGGGCAAAGCCACGCCCATTTTCTTTTTCTATGTGTGTGTGTCGCCTACAGACCACAATTCTTAATCAATTGTCTTGAAATTTTTTCATATGAATTGCTTATACCCTAACGATGACCCCTATTGTTTTTTTACCCCCAGGGGCAGAGCCACGCCCATTTTCTTTTCTTTTTATGTCTGTGTGTCACCTACAGGCCACAATTCTTAATCAATCGTCTTGAAAATTTTTCATATGAATTGCTTATACCCTAAGTATGATCCCTATTGTTTTTGGTGCATGCCCGACCACCAGGGGTAGAGCCACGCCCATCCCTTATATTTATTTATTTGTTTGTCATCTACAGATCGCATTTCTTATCGTATCACCTTGAAACTTAGCATACATATTCCTTCTATCCTAAGGAACATCCCTATTAGTTGTGGTGAATACCCAACCCCCAGGGGCAGAGCTACGCCCATTTTCTTTTTTTATGTCTGTGTGTCACTTGCAGACCGCATTTCTTAATCGATCATCTTGAAATTTTTTTTAGACTTATTCCTTATAGCCTAAGGCTACGTTTTTACACTTATTCCTTAATCCTAAGGCTGGCCTCTATTATTATTTTTGGTGCATGCTCAACCCCTTGGGACAGAGTCACGCCTAATGTTTGTGTGTCTTGTGTTTTGCCTACAGGCCGCAATTCTTAACCGATCCTTTTGAAATGGGGATACCTATTCTAAACGTCATGCTTTTAGAATAAAGACATCGATTGTTTTAAAATAAAAATTGTGTTCTGTTAATGTGAACGAAACGTTAAACTGATAGCAGTCCTACAACCCAGTTTTATTTCACAGACCCTCAATGCAAACTGGACCATATCAAACAAAACAGGAATGTGGACGTATATTGCTGCGTTAGCGATGCTCTTGTTTTTTTAATTTGCAAAAAAAGCAATCATTGAAGATATAGGCATTAAATTTACAGGAAACATCCATCAAACCATTAAAGGAGCTAAATCGCTAACATTTGGGACCTAGAAATTGACCCAAATAGGTTGCAACGCATATATAATATAATCTGATTGTATATGAACTGATTTACATTCAATTGTTTCCGTTTTGATTCTAATTTCAAATCAGTTATGTCCAGCGAAATACGGCCTGTGTCTCAACCCTATAGCAATTTCTAGCGTCTGGTTATTCCAGTCTATTGAGCAGGCTCTCCAGTTTAATATGTCTAGCGAGTAGCCTCGTTCTATCTGGTCACTTGATGCAATTGAAGCTAAAACGCACTATGGTACACGATTCGTGTACCAATGGTAAAATGTTTATTTTGTCTTAAATATAGGATATCAGAAGCCTGTCTTTTCCTGGTAAGATCACAACATCAATGTTGATTTGAATTGACAAATAATTCATATTTTCAACGTGTATGACTTTGGATGATATTGAGTTAGAGACTTAGCTACTTTAACTATTGATTGGAATTTTTAAATTTTGGCTATATAATTTATTTCCTTTGATATAGGGGTCTTTCTATGAGAAAATACATTTACTTTCAGTGACGAGCGCCATTTTTGTCTTTTCATGATAATTTTATTTTTTCAAAATATAAGAAATAAGATGTCGTTGATGTTGGTGTTCATACAACTTCCCGAAGTTGCAGAACAAAAATGACACATTTTACAGTCAGTGTTTTTGACATTGATAAAAATAGTATCAGTGGCGCCTCTAGCAAGCATTTGCATTGCTATCTAAATTGTCTGATTAATTCTGTTTTTAAAAATAAACAAACAAAAAAGTGTGAGAATTATTTTCATTGATGTCAAAAATATGTGATGTCATTAATTACACGCGTCATAGCATGACTATGGGATGTGTAAACGAGACTTGTTGGTAAGTTGGCATGCACTTTGCCAGTTTTGCCCAATGCTTTAGAGCTTCGCTTTATATTATTAGAATTTGTTTACTTTTGTTAGAACTATCTTTGTTCTAACTGTGTTCTGTTTTTGAGAAGGTCGTTGTTTGTAACTGACGTAACTGCCT